GGCTATTACCCTGGGAGGGTGCATGGGCACTCCTGGCACTATAACCACTAAAAAGGCTGTACTCATGTCATGGTGTTTGTAGTGCTCCTTTAATATTTTTATTTTGATAGAAGCACCTGCATCATGTCTACAGCTTAAAAGCACAGCCAAACTGTGTTAAAGCCTTTGTGTATGTCATTTTGCAAAGCATACAGGTAAATAGCTCATCTTTACATTCTCCATTGACAAAATAATCAACCAAACACTTTATAGGACCACTGGACATCTCAAAAACATGGTCTGAGACAGTTTAATCTGCTTTTAGTTGGAAAAACACTGTTTTTTACCAAAGAGGTCTTAAAGGTGGCCCATTCTGCAGAGGAAGAGAACTCATCTAGGACAGGGATGCCCAAAAGGTAGATCCCAGATGTTTTAAAACTACAGCTTCCATGATGCTTTGCCATGTTTTGTCATTCTACATACATGCAATGCATCATGGGAGTTGTAGTTCTGGAACATCTGGGAATCTACCTTTTGGGCACCCCTGGTCTGGAAGATACATTCACATTACCAACTAATAAGCTAAGGTGCTATAGTAAATGTGATCTTTTATTTTCTATAGATGTAAAAAAATTGACAGTTTCCTTCAATGGTTTACGCAGATGGAAATGAAAGAAACAGTACAGTTCTGACGCAGGCTTCAATGCTTCAAGGGTTGCGTTTGAAATCAAAGAGCTTACATCAAAGAGCTTGAAGACTGCTGCTTATTTTCCCTACAAATCAAACTCACCATTCAAAAACAATAAATATTAATTTAAAAAAATTACATGGCCCACATCTGGGGCCGTGAACATCCTTAACCACACCTACTGCTATATAATCCTTAGCTGAACTAAGTGCTTAATTTATTCTTCGATATTCTTATCTAGGCACAGCTGGTGAGGTAGCAACCAATTAGATATGATTAATGGGGAACGATTCCATCACTTGTTAATGGGACCCTTAGATGGAAACCCAGATGCGATGACACTAACTGCTTAATTATTGACCACAGATTGATTGCTTTTCCCTACAGTCCTGAGGCACGGGTGCATTGTAGTGTGTCTTGTCAGGAGATGTAATATGATGTTAACTAATTCGTAAGCAGCAACAACTGCTGACATTGTGCAGCTAAATTACTCAAGTGTAGCAAAATGATGGTATCAATTGTAAACATCGCCCATCATTTAGTAGGGTGAGAAAGACAATTGAGGAAATGGCTGGAGCACCATCAGAAGCCACCGTTTTTCTTTTGTATCCCAGTTTGTTTGTATGTATCTGCAGCTTTTAATATACCTGTGCATCTAAACCAGAACAAATCATTGTATCTATTCAAAGTCGTTTTATAATATTGATGGTTAATGCGGCGCTCATGATTGCTAAAATACATAAAATCTTTGGAACTCTTAATGTGGCGCTGTCTCCCTATATTTACCTTGCTTCAATATGTTCCTCTTCTTTTTCTCCTAATCTCTTCTTCTTTTTTTCTTTTGAAATCTTTTTCTCCTGAAATACACAAGGCATTATGTGTTTTACCTGCGCTTGACAAAACTTGACAAAAGGCAGGGCTGCCATCTCGAGACAATATCCATGGAGACTCCTGCAGTCTTGTGAGATATTCCACAGACCTCGGTATTGTGCTCTTGTGCATGTGGAGAAGTGTCAGGAACTGAAGAGGAACAGCAGGAAGATGATGGCGGTTGCCACAAGGGATAGGTTCAGGTGAACCTTTCCCTGCCACTGGTCACCAAGCTGTGAAGGTACCATCAGAGGTCTATGCAAAGAGCTTAGGTGACAAAACCACTTCAAGAAAACTATTTTCTGTCCACTGGTGATCATACTCTATAAGCAACGTATACCGTTAATGGAAGCCAATTAGAGATAACCACATGAGAAGGACTTGGGAATTGTTATAGACAACAAACTATGCAACAATGTTCAATGTCAATCAGCAATGGCTAAGGCCAGTAAGGTATTGTCATACATGAAAAAGGGCATTAATTCTCGGGATGAGAATATCATTTTGTCTCTTCATAATTCGCTGTAAAACCACATCTTGAATATACTGTGGAATTTTGGGAACCTGTTCCAAAGAAGGATATAATGGCACTAGAAAGAGTGCAGAGGTGGGTTACAAAATTAATAAAAGGAATGGAACATTTTAGCTATGAAGAAAGGTTAACAAATTTAAACCTTTTTAGTTCAGAAAAAAGTTGCCTCAGAGGGGATATGATAACATTTTACAAATATATTCGTGGCCAATACAAACCATTGTGTGGAAATCTATTCACAAATAGGACTTTACATAGGACACGAGGTCATGCGTTTAGACTGGAAGAAAGAAGATTTAATCTAAGTCAAAGGAAAGATTTTTTTTAGCATTAGAACAATAAGGATATGGGATTCTCCATACAGATGTTTAAACAGCAACTATACGCATACTTGCAAAAACAGAATATTCAGGGATATAATTTTTCAATTTAGGGCTAATGCTTCTTGATTAGAGTTGAGCGGATACCTGGATGTTCAGGTTTGGCCAAACTTCGTAAAAAAGTTTGAGTTCGGGCTCGAACTTGACCCCGAACTTGACCCCGAACCTGAACTCCATTGAAGTCAATGGGGACCCGAACTTTTGGACACTAACATGCCTCTAAAAAAAGTCATAAAAAGGGCCAGAGGGCTGCAAAAGGAAGTAAAATGGGGGGTAAGAGTAGGACAAGTGCCCTGCAAACAAATGTGGATAGGGAAATCACTTAAAATAACATAAAATACATAAAAATGAAAAATACAGCTGAGCCATAAAATAGCACTAGATGGAATCTTTGATTTTAGCTTTGGAAGAACATAAATCAAAATCTAAAACATGGCTGTCAGGAGGATCACCAGAATTATCCATTTGAGAGAGGGTTGGAGTGCAGGGTATTCTCTTTCATTGTTCAAACTGAGCTCAACTCCTGATGCATGGAGAAAAGGCCTTCACAAGCCTCTGCTATTGTGGACATAGTTTATACTACGTGACCCATAGGTTGAGGAGGCAGTGACCGTGGCGGTGTAGGTGGAAGCGGCGGAGGAGGAGGTAGCCAACACTGTTTTTTATTTGTTTTTTTGTTTTTTTATTGGGGTAGCCCCCGAAATATTGGGACATGTAAAAAAAGAAATAATTTGCGGCCTGCAGTGCATTTCTTGTAGTCCTGATGCATGGAGAAATGCTCAACTCCTGATGCATGGAGAAAAGGCCTTCACAAGCCTCTGCTATTGTGTACATAGTTTATACTACGTGACCCATAGGTTGAGGAGGCGGTGACCGTGGAGGTGTAGGTGGAAGCGGCGGTGGAGGAGGAGGTAGCCAACACTGTTTATTTGTTTTTTGTCTTTTTGTTTTTTAATTGGGGTTGCCCCAAAAATATTGGGACATATAAAAAAAAATACCGTATTTATCGGCGTATAACACGCACTGGCGTATAACAAGCACCTCATGTTAAGAAGGAAATTTCAGGGAAAAAAACTTAAATTTCAAATAAAGAACTTCTTACCCCCCTTTCTTACTCCCCCCTCCCCCTCTTCTTACCCCCCTTTCTTACTCCCCCCTCCCCTCTTCTTACCCCCCTTTCTTACTCCCCCCTCCCCCTCTTCTTACCCCCTCTTACCCCTTCTTACTCCCCCCTCCCCCTCTTTCTTACCACCCTTTCTTACTCCCCCTCCCTCTTCTTACCCCCCTCCCCCCTCTATTCACCCCCTTCTTACCCCCCCTCCCCCTCTCCCCCTCTCCCCTGTAGCGTGGCCGAGCCGCTCTGCTGTCCGCGGTGGCCGGCCGGAGTGATAGGAAGGTGCACGCTCAGTGTGCACCTTCCTGTCAGTCCGACCGGGTACAGGAAACAGAAACTCCTGTTCCGCAACTAAAGCATGGCTGTCAGGAGGATCACCAGAATTATCCATTTGAGAGAGGGTTGGAGTGCAGGGTATTCTCTTTCATTGTTCAAACTGAGCTCAACTCCTGATGCATGGAGAAAAGGCCTTCACAAGCCTCTGCTATTGTGGACATAGTTTATACTACATGACCCATAGGTTGAGGAGGCCATGCGGAACAGGAGTTTCTGTTTCCTGTACCCGGTCGGACTGACAGGAAGGTGCACACTGAGCGTGCACCTTCCTATCACTCCGGCCGGCCACCGCGGACAGCAGAGCAGCTCGGCCACGCTACAGGGGAGGGGAGGTGAGAACCAACTGCAGCCGCCTGACCGCTCTTGACAGAGCGCTCAGGTGGCTGCAGCATTTAAAGGGCCGGCGTATAACACGCACCCATAATTTGCCCCCTATTTTCAGGGAGAAAAAGTGCGTGTTATACGCCGATAAATACGGTATTTGCGGCCTGCGGTGCATTTCTTGCAGTCCAATAACACCTTCAGGTTTTTAAAACTGTCCGTCTCCACCAGACGGAATGACAGCATTTCAAAGGCCAGTGTGGAGATGCTGGACAATTGTGTACCTGGACTATGCTGGTGCAGGAACCCACCCTCCGAGCCACTTGTGAATGACTGGCCTGATAACCATGGAAAAGACCCCTCTTCCTCCTCCTCTTCCTCCTGTGCCACATCCTCTTCCATCATCGCCCAAAGCATTTTTTCAAGGAGACATAGAAGCGGGATAGTAAGGCTGAGAACGGCGTCATCGGCACTGGTCATGTTGGTGGAGTCCTCAAAACAGCGCAACATGGCACACAGGTCTCACGTGGAGGCCCACTCATTGGTGGTGAAGTGGTGCTGTTCCGGAGAGCAACTGACCCTTGCGTGCTGCAGCTGAAACTCCGCTATCGCCTACTGCTGCTCGCACAGTCTCTCCAGCATGTGCAAGGTGGAGTTCCACCTTGTGGACACGTCGCATATGAGGCCGAAGTTACGCTGCAGCGCAGACAGGCGAGCAGCAGCAGGGTGAGAACTCCAAAAGCACGTACAGACGGCCCGCACTTTCTGCAGCAGCTCTGATATATCTGGGTATACACCATGGCAGTGTAGGTGGAAGCGGTGGCGGTGGTGGAGGAAGCCAACACTGTTTTTTATTTTTATTTTTAATTGGGGTAGCCCCCAAAATATTGTAACATATAAAAAAAGAAAAAAAAGAATAAGTGCATAAGTGTCTATTCTGCACAAGGTACAGACATGCCTGGTTCAATTTAATAAATGTGAGCTTGTCCACATTGGCCGTGGACAGGCGGCTGCGCTTATCTGTGATAACCTCGTGTCTGTGATAACCTCGACAACGCATTCGGATGTCTGCCCTATCAACTTTCGATGCTATTTTCCGCGCCTACCATGGTGACCACTGGTAACGGGGAATCAGGGTTCGATTCCAGGGAGGGAGCCTGAGAAACGGCTACCACATGCAAGGAAGGCAGCAGACGCGCACATTACCCACTCCCGACCCAGGGAGGTAGTGACGATAAATTACAATACACAACTCTTTCGAGGCCCTGTAATTGGAATGATTACACATATGAGGCGGTGAGCGGGAAGGCCGAAGTTACGCTGCAGCGCAGACAAGTGAGCAGAAGCAGGGTGAGAATGCCAAAAGCGCACACAGCCATTACACAGAAACTACAAATGGCTCATTAGGAGTAATTAAATCAGTTATGGTTCCTTTGATCGCTCCATCTGTTACTTGGATAACTGTGGGAATTCTAGAGCTAGTATATGCCGACGAGCGCTATGGGACGGCCGCTCCGCTTTTGCATCCTGCTCCCTCTTATGCTGATGTAGTAAATTTGAATCAAAGTTCCATTTGCCAAAACAAATTCTCGCCCATCTTCTGTGGGTTATTGCATTTTTAAGATGTAGACTTATTGTATCACACAAGCCATGCACAGGTAGAATGTCTGGCACAATATGAGGTGCACACCCCAAATGTACTATTTAGCACCATTTAGAGTGTGATGTAACCACAGTATTTGATGGTTCTGTTTGACTCTCAGATATGAAGTGCAGGCCCCAAATTTACTTAGCACCTAAAGAATTTGAATTAGGCAAACTGCAATGTCACAGCACTATTTGACGCTTCTATTTGACTCTCAGATATGAAGTGCAGGCCCGAAATGTACAATTTATCACCTAAAAAATTTGAATGTTTAAAAATGCGCTGTAACCACAGTATTTGACAGTTTTATTTGACTCTCAGATATGAAGTGCACCGCAGGCTGCAAATGTACTATTTAGCACCCAAAAAATGTGAATTTGTAAAACTGCGCTGTAAGCACAGTATTTGACGGTTCTATTTGTCTCTCAGATATGAAGTGCAGGCCCCAGATTTACTTTTTAGCACCTAAAGAATTTGAATTAGGCAAACTGCAATGTCACAGCAGTATTTGACGGTTCTATTTGACTCTCAGAAATGAAGTGCACGCCCCAAATTTACTTTATAGCACCTAAAGTATTTGAATGTTTAAAACTGCGCTGTAAGCACAGCATTTGACGGTTCTATTTGACTCTCAGATATGAAGTGCAGGCCCCAAATGTACAATTTAGCACCAAAAAAATGTGAATGTTTAAAAATGCGCTGTAACCACAGTATTTGACGCTTCTATTTGACTCTCACATATGAAGTGCAGGCCTCAAGTTCACTTTTTAGCACCTAAAGAATTTGAATTAGGCAAACTGCAATGTCACAGCAGTATTTGATGCTTCTATTTGACTCTTAGATATAAAGTGCAGGCCCCAAATATACAATTTAGCACCTACAAAATATAAATGTTTAAAACTGCGCTGTAAGCACAGTATTTGACGCTTCTATTTGACTCTCAGATGTGAAGTGCAGGCCCCAAGTTTACTTTTTAGCACCAAATAAATGTGAATTTTTCAAGGTGCGATATAACCACAGTATTTGACGGTTCTATTTGACTCTCAGATATGAAGTGCACTGCAGGCCGCAAATGTTCTATTTAGCACAAAAAAAGTGTGATTTTTTTTTTTAAACCAACAATGTAACAGTAGTATTTAAGGGTTTTATTGGACTGCAAGAAATGCACCACAGGCTGCAAATGTTCTATTTAGCACAAAAAAGTGTGATTTGTTTTTAAATGAACAATGTCACAGTAGTAGTTAAGGGTTTTATTAGACTGCAAGAAATGCAGTACGCAAATGTTCTATTTAGCACCAAAAAAATTACAGTATTTAAAAATGCCTAGATGTTTCCCACTGAGCTACCAGAACAGGTTTAAGTAATGTTCCTGGCACACATGCAGTTGCAAGTGAACTGCAATCTCTGTGGCACTGGGCTCATGGCAGGGTACAAAAATTTAGTATAGCACCCACTAAAATAATCGCTGTAGTTTGAATAATCGCTGTAGTTTGCAGATTCAACACCAGAATTCTTTCCTAATCTGCCCCCCACAGATGCAGCATCCTCTCCCTACACTAATAAGAGCTCATGTGACATGCGCCGCTACGTGACTCCCGTTTATATATAGAGGCTGGGTCACATGCTGCACTGGCCAATCACAGCCATGCCATTAGTAGGCACGGCTGTGATGGCTTCTAAGGGCACACGAGACAAACGCTTGTTGATTGGCTGCCCTGCAGCCTTTCAAAATGCGCCATTAAATCGCCGTACACCGAACTCCAACCCGAACATATGATGAAATGTCCGTGTTTGGGTCCGGAGTCCAAAAAACTTAATGTTCGGTACGAACCCGAACTTTCCAGTTCGCATTCGCTAAACTCTATTCTTGATCCAAGGATTAATCTGTCTGTGATTCTGGGGTCAAGAGGGATTTTTTTTCCTAGTTTGTTGCAAACTGGAAGTGCTTCAAACTTTTTTTTTTTGCCTTCTTTTGGATCAACAGCAAAAAACAAATGTGAGGGAGGCTGAACTTGATAGACACGTCAGCCTATGTAACTATGTAACTAAGTAACTATGTAACTATAACTTACTTGAGACCTAACTTTACTGCAAACTCTCAACTCATAATCACCACTGACAATTTACACCCTTTATTGACAGCATTCATACGTAGAAGGACCTTCCTCAACAAAACATGGGTGGTAAGGATTAATATTAGCTTTAAACTTACTGAAGACCTGAGCAGGGTCTCAACAAAGGGATATTTATTAGTGTTGTTCTCCGTTCACCTTTTGTCCTGTTGTAGTTAAGTTTACAGATGCTTAGATAAAACAACCATCTGCGTTTGCTAGATGCCTCGTGCAGAGGGAACTTGGGTGGGCTCAGTATAATATGCAGACAGTAAAGGTAATTTTTCTATAATGGCACATGTGTGCTGAAAATAGTTGAAGAATTGAGTGGAGAGTCATCACAGGGAAAACTTTTTGCATTATCCATTCACAGTGTTCTTTTGCAACCTGTTAAGATTTTATGTGCAAATACCTAAAATGTTCCTATTGTAAACTATAAAATAGTAATCCAGACATAAATGTTGTGCTCTCTCTCTGCTTAGAGTGGTATCAAGTACAGCTATCGATGAGGCTTAACAAAGGCTAAAACTAATTTCTATGGATGATGTATTCCTTGTGCAAAAGATCCTGCTGACATTTTGATCTGGACTGACTTTTTAGGTTGGAACAGTCTGGTAGGCAAAAGGCAAAGGTTCACTCTGTAATGTAACAACTAAGCTAATGCCAGTTTGAGAACTGAGGGGGACTCACCAAAGGACAAGCTATTTGAGTTGTATTTTGTTCTATTGCTCCTCTTTTAGTTTAGAGGAAGATAAATACGCACTTGTTTTACCTTCTCCAATTCCTTCAACTTTCATTACCAGAGATCCTACAGCTCTTACTTGTGGTCAATATTTTTTAGAGTGCATCCGAAACAACAACAAAAATTCAGATTGACCCCTTAAGGACACAACTTCTGGAATAAAAGGGAATCATGACGGAATATTTCCGTCATGTGTCCTTATTTTTGGTTTGTGTGTTTTTGGTTCTTCCATTATAACGTTCAATAAGCCCTCTTTGTCATATCACTGACCCTCTCACTGCCTTTGATAAACAGTATCCTTTTACAAGTGCAAAAAATATATATATTTTTAAAATCATGGTGGTCATTATCACAACTTCACAATCTTTATAGTTTATCATTTCAAATCACTAATTTGAGTTTATAATTTTAGCAAGCATCATTATCTTGAGTTCATAATTTCAACTGTGCCTTTGCTGGTGTTAGTATAGGTTCCTATCATTTTGACTTGTATCAAATTATAGTAATTCCAACCTCGACAATTATGGTCAATTTGATCACTTGCCTTATTAGTTTAGGCTTTTGGTTTATGGCTAAAGTGTTAAGATTACCTTTATGATTACCTTTTAGTTTAGGATTTTGGTTGTGTTATTGTTCAATATTATAACACCCTGATTTATGAAATATATATTAGTGAAATTATTGTGTAGTTGTGATGTTATCTACCTGTTTAGGTCTATGTTTTGATGCAATCACCATGATTGCTAAGGACTGAGACCCATAAACACAAGCTTAATGCCAACCCCCCAAAAACGTAATAAACGAATATTTTGGCAAAAAGCATAGGCCACAATTTTATGACATTAAACTTATCTACCGGCATATGCCATTAACTCTGCTAGCTGTGACTCCAAAACAGCAGGCAGTTCCCCAAATAAGTCAGTAATGAGCTCATGCCCCCCTTTTTCCTACTAGGCCAGACACGTCTCCCCAATGAGCCTAAATAAGCTTATCTGATTCATCCTTTGCTGGCAAGGCACTTTCTGCTGTAACAACCACAAATGAGAGAAAAAAAACAACAAAAACAGCACAAAACAAACCACCAAAATAATAAGGGTGGCGATGATGTTGTTGTGTTGATCTGAGACTAGTCTCGCTGACTAATCAAAGAAGGTCAGCCCACCATTTTTATCGCAATTTAAAACCCCAAAATTTAGCAATTTTAACCCAGTTCTCCAATCCCAGAGATTAGTGTTCCCAGCCTTAAAACCAATAGAAGCTCAATTATCATGAAGTCCAAGTCCAGTAGTCATGAACACCCTTCCGAACTACTCCATACTTAATCTACATTTAATCAATGTTATGTTGCTGTTGACATGATTTTAACATGTAAATTTAACTTGAAAACCTATGCTCTCAACCCTCCTTTTGATCACTGTATCGCCCTCATACATATTATTATATATCTCATGTATATACATTATGCAGATAATACCTTCAGAAGACACTCATCTCATGGACTTCACCATTTATTGATATAGAGATTAGGTAGCTGTAATATATATAGACAGGTCCAAAACGTTTACTCTATCTCACAAATCTTCCACATTCCACAAATCCGGCTTAAGTTATATTTTTACCATACCTGATAAATTGTCCACAATTTCTTCTCACCTTAGTCCTGATGATGCATTAGAGAAATAAGCACCCATTTCACCATATAGTTGTCCTGCTCTCTCATTTATCCCTGCTGAAAATTTTTTCTAGGACCATGTTAAATGTTATATCTTCTAATGTTTTTGAAGAAAACCTCTATAGTTCTATCCAAAGCACTTACATATTAATAATACAGATATTTTTTTTTTGATTATGAGTTTTCTTTGTTTAAATCCAGAAAGTGTACATGGATGGATGGTAATTTATGTTGTGATGTTTTTGACAAGTCTTTCACCGATTGTATACAGTATGTTTATGTACCCTCTATTAATATCGTGTTAAATATATACATATACTTACTTATCTGCAATGCCTAGACATGTGCGAACTATGGGCAGGAAATGCTATTGTATATTTTGCAGATGTTATCTAATGTTAATTGTCTCCTACTTTGTTTCATAATTTCAATACTATACATTTTCTAACTGTCTGAGTAGCACAATTTATTGATATTATGAGACACTACATGGGTGTCAAAAGTATTTGGAAAATAAGTAAAAGAGCCGCTTTAGTTTAACATATTGTTAAATAAAAGGTCCATTCCAAGAAAATTACTTTTTGTGTTCTTAAAAATGAGTGAAAAAAATAACAATAGGGCTAGTCAAGTAAAAACACTGAATTTCAAACAGCACCAAGATAAGAAATGTTTTGATTAAACCATTGGTATGTAATGGTTAATTTTCTGTGTGGCCATTTAAAAAACATATAGAATATAGCAAGTTTGCATATTGTTTCACAATGTAAAAGTGATCAAATTGGATTTTTTTTCTTTTTTATACAAGGCTGCCCATGAGTGGGGTTGCACTATTTAAAAAAAATTCATTTGTAAACTTAATATGCACCAGTGGTTCCCAACCCAGTCCTCAAGGCACCCCTACCAGTCCAGGATTTAGGGATTACCCAGATGTGTCTAAGGTGTTTTTATTTTCTTCGAAAATCACTTTAGACACAACTGCGTAATTCCACAATCCTGGATTAATATGGGGTGCCTTGAGGATTGGCTTCGGAACCACTGGTATACGCATATAGCTTCCCCAATCTAGTAGGATATACCAAATGCCAAGGGAATCAAAATTAATTAAAAGGACTTTCCACGATATAAAAATCACATTTTTTGCCTGATGTTATTTTTACTGAAACTGCAAAACGCATTTGTTCCATTGCACTCCATATTCTTCCTCTTTCAATAGATAAATAACATGTACAGTGAATCCATTTTCATGAGATTCTCCATTTTATTTTACATTTATTACTAAAATTTAGCAAATTGCATCATAATCCTGTTCAGACGAGGTTCCTTCAGCCTTTGCAAATCAAGAGAAATAGAAACAAATAGAAACATTATTTAATTACTTCTCTTCTCTGTATGCTTTATCTATGTTCACTGTCCAGTGCAAAGGAAATAACAATATTTAACAGGGAGCTAAGGTAGAGGCGCTCATTGCGAAGGGTAAAGAAGTTTGGATTTCAACATTTAATTTTCTTTCAAACCTTGAAAAATAGGTAATTGTTAAATATAAGCAACTAAACATTATATTACAAATTTGTAATTGACATATCTACTATAAATCCATATATTTTTAGATTATGTGCAAGATTCATTAACATAATAAGTAGTAAATGCACTGTGAAAAGTTTAATTTGACAATAAGCTTTTCTAAGACAGGACAGTGGCTATTTTTTCCTTAAAGGGAAAGTTTAATGTAGTTGTTCTGGTGTGTATAGTCAGTCCCTGCAGGCTTTGTGCTGTAAATAGGGATGTCCCGAACTGTTTGCCAAACAGTTCGCCGTGGTTCGCCACGGACTCCAGTTAGCAGACACATTCCAGCCAATAAGCAGCAGACCCTCCCTCCCAGACCCTCCCACCTCCTGGACAGCTCACTAAGAATGCAGCTTCAAAACCTCCTGCTGTCCAGGAGGAGGGAGGGTCTGGGAGGGAGGGTCTGCTGCTAGAGTCCTTGGCAAACCGTTCGTGGCGAACCGTTTGCGAACCGTTCGGCGAACAGATCGGGACATCACTAGCTGTAAACACTGCCTTTTCAGAGAACACCTCTAGTGGCCATTCCTCTAGTGGCCACAAGTGGTGCTTCCTTTGCATAGACATGCTAAAATTTCCCCATTAAGATGAATTGACTCAATGCATCTCTATGAGAAGATGTTAATTGGCCAGGGCAGCGTTTGGGTCTGCCCACCCACCTCACCTTCTTGGCTAAGATCATCAGAATTGACAATCTCAGCCAATCCAATGATTTCCTTTCGGAAAGCTTTGTGATTGGCTGAGATCATCAATCTGATGTCAACCAAGGAGGTGGATCGGAGTCCCGTATGGCACTGGAAAAAAACAAGTAAATCACCTTTCTAACCCTAGGTAAGGGTGGTATGAGATATATAGTGTCAGGTGGTTTTAGAACTAAAGTGTCAGTAATACACACATGTGTTTCTAACACTATAGTGCCCCTTTAAGTTTATATGCTTTGTAGGTCATGTATGTACTTTTAATATTTTACTCTACATATATGTATGAACATTGAAATAAACCATGTGAGTGAATGAAATTCAGACACAACTCTAAAACAAAAATCCCGATACTGTGAATTGTAATATACTTTATTCTTATGTACAATTACTGCACATCTCCATATTTCATTCATTATATCTCCACTGCCATTCCCCTTCTCAGAAAACCTATCCATGCGCAGTACTGATTTTTTCATTTCTTTAAGCTAAATGTGTAGAATGCCTTGGGTTTGGCTGGTAATTAGATAACACAAACTTACAACCCATATCCGGAGAACTAAATCCACCGGAATAGTAGGTGATAAATTTCTAAAAAAAAAAACCCCACTCATCAATATTGCACTCAAACACTCTATACACATACAGTATAGCCCCTTCAATGCTGGAGTTAAATTTCTTCCACCAAAACTGAAGAAACTAACAGTTTTGCACAGCTGTCTTCTTTGGATAAGGTTTGAAAAGTCCAGAAAGGGCTTTGGCATAAAATTCTAAATGCTCGATATTCAATAATAATGGAAACAATTGTTGTGATGGGGGCACACTCTACACCAAGGTTTACTGCAATGTACAATGAGGCCACAAAGGAAACGGAACTGTAATGCACTTATCAGGCTCTGACTATGGGGCATGTTGAATTTTCTCTGTTTTCTTGGACATTAAAATAGGTGGAGAAGTAATGAAAACTTAGAAGATGGTGATATTTTTGAAACTCCATTGGTCCAAAGAACAGTGCTGCATGCGATGACTTCATTCACTCAATTTCTCACTCGCTGAACAATACACTAAAAGTTCTCACCAATTACACCAATCACAAACTGACTCCAAAAAAACTAGACATCGACAACACGCTCCACAATGGGAGATAAATTCCAACCATCTCCTATGGAAGAACACATGTTATAGTATCACCGCATGATATGTTGGTTGCCATTAAGCCTCATTCACTCTTGCAATAGTATATAGCGTTATGGAAAAGTTGTTGAACCATATTTATCACCATGGTGTGAAAGGTGGTAGGGAGTTATGCTCTCTGTAAATCCATATTTTATTATTTACTGCACCACTCTTGAGAAAATAATAAATGAGCTGATCAACCTGACATTTATGAAGTGGTCAGTAGACCCTTCACATTTTACAATTATTTAATCAACTGGAATGCTCAATTCTATTCTTTGTTTTAGATACAATCTTGAGCTTCCAGTGAAAATGTGAACAGGATATGTTCACCATCAATGATAAAATGCACCTTTTTTATTTGTTATTGCTTACACACTTATACAAGTGATGGACTTTAGAACATATATGTGGCATCTATACATATAACAAGCAAACCACTGATACCAGAAACAAAAAAAGGCCCTTGGACACCATAAATATTTTTGGGGGGGATTTGGAAGAGGGATTGGGAGCATGAAAAGGCACTGCCTATACTCCCCTAACATATAATACATTGACCAGTATTTAATTAACTGAAAGGAAGTTGCTGTGATCATGTGATTCAAAGTGGGAGATTTGGCAACACCAGTCACCTCGCGTTCCATATTTTTTATGCTCATCTCAAAGTTGGAGTTGAGACATTACTATTTTAAAATTTATATATTTTGTTGTTTGTTTTTATGTTCAAGACAAGTCCCTTTCAGCAGCTGTCCCATATAAATAGGGGTCTTTCCCTTCATCCTGTATAAATTCTTCTTTCTTCTCCCATTCTGCTGGCCACCCACCATTGGCAAAGCTTGTGCTCTTGGTGGCACCATAGCTACCGTACCCTCCATGAACCTGAGGCTGGTCCTCACTCTCTTCAGCTAGTTCATCTTCGTGGATGAAACCACACTTTTCATCCGTAGTTTCTTCTGGTTCTGCCCATGGCTGCTTCTCTCCTGAAGCAAATATTCCATAGAAAATAACCCCACCATAGTGAACAAGGGAAGCGATAAGGAAAACGTATTGCCATTCTTCTCGAGTCTACAGATGCAGGTAGGGATGTAGAGTTAAAAAAAAAAGGAAAATACAAGAACGATTAGAACAACCATAATTGCATTTAACACAAGTATCCATTAGTTTAGTTGTTTCACATATTTAATGTATAGGGGAAAGAAAAAATAGAAAATGAAACAGGTTTTACTGTAGAGTTATCCATTGAATGTAAAATGTCAAAAATTCTAAGTGAATTCAAAGTGATTTTCAAATTTAATTTAAGCTAGGAAAACTGGAAACACAGCTGATTGGAAAATATTCCACTGTGGCTATTTTGACACAATGTTTGAAATTAATTTTAGTTTAGTAAATAACCCTTCAGCTATATTTCACTGAATACACAACATAAAATCGCATTACATTTCTTGAAGCAACAGAGTCAAATAACCTTATCCTAATAGGTTTGCCCTGCATTGTCAAATGGAGTGTAAGATCAAGGGTAATTTCTACAGTAGAGAATGAAATTCACTAATCAAAGCTGATACCTTGTGCTTCGTCATGGCCCCCACAATCAAGGGACAGACCATTCCTGATAAAGTTCCCACACCATTGGAAATGCCCATAAGAATACTAGCATAGCGAGGTGCAATGTCCAGATGATTAACATTAAAACCTAGAGGATTGCAGAAACAAGACAAAAACAATGTAATTTAATAAACATGTAACATACAGTTGGATGCATTATGTAAAGCTAGCATGTTCTTGTATATAGGTAGTCCTCACTTGACGACTTACCTGCATAACAACTGCTTGGACATCCAACCAGCTCTCTTGTGCGGGGAATCCCCCAAATCTGAGTCTTGGGAATTCCCCTGAACATAGATTCGAGGGATTCCTGTGCTAGAGAGCTGGTCTATGTTTAAGGGAATTTCCCCCTGAACATAGATTTGAGGGATACCCCATGCTAGTGAGCTGATCTATATTCAAGTATTACCCAAACATAGACCTGCTCTCTGGCGCATTCAAAACTTGGTTGTCACGCTGGACTTAGGCATCCTCTCTTAATGACCTATTCAGTAAGTGAGGAATGCCTGTATATTGTTATATATGTGACTAAAGTTATTCAAAATTATGTTTTTTCCCCTTATCCTCTATTAATTTAGTTGCTGATATTTCCCAATATTCCCTTTTTCATTAAATTGACTTGAAAGAGCACAGTTGCAGGCATCTCAACGCAGTACTGTGAAAACTTCTTGGCCAAACTAATGTGATTGTTTTCTACTTGTTCTAAAACATCAAGTCATACTTTTTTTTTAATCTGAACTTTGTTTTATGTCTGTGAATTCCTTGTAGCTATAGATTTGTATTCCCTGTACTGGGAATTTATACTGAAAGTATATCGCAGGATAATGGTGATCTATACAACATTTTGTCACGTTACTTTTGAAATCATTGCACTAATGTTCTAGACCAGGGTCCTCCAAACTCTGTCCCTCGAGATGTTGCTGAGTTAGCAGTTGTAGCAACATCTGGAGTGCCAGAGTTTGGAGAACCCTGTTCTAGACAATCATCTTCTGATTCTTTTGCTATAGACGTCTTTTTGATATAGACGTCGTTGTTACCCAAATTAACTACATGTAAAGAGGGAGAAAAAAGGAATTCTGAGACAAAGCCATAAAATGTAACTACAAATACCTAAAAACGTTTAACCTGGGCTGGCCTGAGGATAACAATATTTCACCAAAGTAAATGACTGCAATTCTAAGGCCAGTCCTTTGGGCATCAATGTCTTGGTTTAGTTGTCAGTTTAGTATGGACCTATGGACTGAGTGTTAAGCAAATCATACGTCTCAATTTTCCTCTTGATGTCATTTACATCACATGTATGAATTTCATCTGCATATGTAATGAAAGTAAAGAAACTCGCTTGTCTGAAAAACACATGTTCTATCGGCACAAATAGAAACATTGCAACATGCATACAAACTTATATATGATGTAACAAGCTTGCTAGAATCAGTAATTCTAGTAGAAACAGGTGGAAAGTTTACTGAATTACTGAATATAATGCACACCTTCACTCACAGAATGGACCTAAGCCACGGGAGCCCATCAATCAGCTGTTACACTCAAACTGCCTACAGGTTAACTAGACAGAGTTATGTTCATCCTAATGCAACTCATCTATTGCTCATTATTAGCCGGTACTGCTAAAGTGGTGGGGATTAAACCACTACTGCGGATCATCCTGTGAGTGTGAGTATAATTCCACTCATTATATCGTTATTGTTTATATGAAGTACACTATGTTGTGTTCCATTCTGTTGCATGTATAATTGAGACTTAGAAATTCAGAATCTATGCTTATCAATTTGGTGGAGATTATACCACCGTACGCTTCATACGCTGAGCTTGGGTTACAAGCTCTTTCATTGACCAATACTGGTTTTATGGTTATCGAACATAAGAAAGGCCCACCTGCTGTTGGATATATCTCACTATATGCTACAAAACTAGAGCTGGTTGGAAGCTCTAATAAAGGTAAGTGAACATTCACAAAGTGTACACTATTTGCTGTCTCTTTGTTTACAACAATTTGTACTATTGGTTTCTATTCTTTTGTATTTTGTGTACCTGCTGTCTAAGCCTTATACTACTGGATACAAGCTATTTGACACAAGGGAAATGTGGTCTATACTCATTTGGACTACACTTCTCTCTATTTGGTGCAACCTGTTTTTTTTCTTTCTTTTTGTTTTTTTGTTACACTCAAACTGCCTATAGGTTATCTCAACATAATTATGTTAATGCAGCATCTTAATGCAATGCACCCATTGCTTATTATTAGCTGATACTGCTAAAGCCAGATGTAAATGAACAACTCAAATTCACATAAAGTTACAAATTGCTTTTAAACCAGATTGCCATCCCAGCTAACCTGCACAAAACAAACAAATATTATAATTTATAAAGCTCCAATCTTTCGACAGCGCTGTACATTTTTTTTTTCTGTACAAGTAGTTGCAGCAATATAAGTTGGACATGCAGGAACACACTTACCTGATATAGCGAAGCCACTAAATCCCACCGCCAGAACAAGAAAGGAGATGGCCACTCCTCTGCTATGGGAGTAACCTACGACTAACAGAAGTGTTGCCTCCATGCCAAACCCTTCAGAAAATGAATAAGAGCTTTTGTTTTACACATTATAGAGAAACAGAAAATATAAAATGTCAAAATAACTTAATTTCTTTCAATACCTGCAGTACATAGAATATCACACTCAGATCCTTGTTTTTCTGGTTAAGCACTTTTGAATTCTTTTTTAAAAAGTTTGGAAACCATTTTGTTTGTATTATATTCTTCTATTTCTGCATTTTTTGCTTCTAATATTACTTTTCTATATGCTTCCTAGCCATAGGTTGGGCCGATGCCCCCTCCTTCCCTGATTATTCCTTGCCCTCCCATGTGACCCTCTCCCTCCCCCACCCCCCTTCAGCCTGCAACTAACACTTCAGTTAGCTTGGAGGACATCAAATAGCAGATAATATGTTCTGACAGTCTCACAGTATAACATGGTCTGCTTTCAGTTTGAGTGTGAAAGGGAAGGGAGGGAGGGTTTGGGGGGGGGGTGCGCCTGCCAGGAAAATTGATTGTTTTCCTGGCACTGGAGAGTCTCTTTAAGATAAAGTGTGTATTAATTTTAATGTTTACAGCTACTGTAGTGTGCACCATCTGTTAAAATATATCATTCAATATTCAACATCCAATATTCAATATTCAACATTCAATATTGTAAATAAAAATAAAAAAAACAGGTGGCCAACCATCAACTAAGCAGGGCCTTTTATACACCTGCTAATGTTTTTATAAATGTATGGTTTAATGTAACTGTGCAACATCGTTGCAATTAAATGTGCTATATAAATGATAACAGTTACTCTGCCCACTCCAGTTGTAGACTACTGGTGGAGGCAAGAACACTTCACACAATTTCCCCAGAAATTGTAGCTTTTCTAGTATACATATATTGTTTAATCTATACAATTGCCGCTACTACAACTCCAAAGCACAGATTAAATGTATATCTCCAAATAAGGCAATGTGTCATCCATACATTTTGTGATAGATGGGTTTAATTCAATTTTGTATAATTGTACCCTCAAAAAGGATTTATATTTATATTTTAGTGTTGAGGAATAGCTTTAATGTGCCTTTTGACTTACCACCACAGTTCATCATTTTTCGCACGTTGGTAGTAGACATTATCCTTTTGGTACGTAGAAAATCAGCGATTTGTCCTCCGATGGGCACTATAATAGTCATGACCAAGTGAGGTAAAGCTGACAGAAGTCCAACCTGTTAGTAGGGTAAATAGGCATTCAATGCTTTTCATTGTGGGTATACCTACTTAACAGTGTTTTTTGCAGGTGGTGGGAGGGGGGGCAGTAGAGTCTCTTTTTAACTCTTTTTATGTCTTTGGGGTGAACAAACTCTTTCTTATTCTCATTTAAGTTAGAAAATAATGTTGGCCTACTGGAAAAGTAGGCTACTCTCTATAGATCTTATTCTCAAACAAAATATGGCACTTCGAGGTGGTTGAATGCCTCAAAGAACCCGTACAAGAATCCACTGAACTTTTTAAGGCATACATGGCTGTTACAAACTTTTAAAAGCCCAGAACTCTTGACTCCCTATACCCACATAATCTAGTCCTCTACAAGAAGAAAGACAAGGCCAGTTACCTGCCTTTGACTAACTGTACTATCTCTTTTCATTCCTCTGTAGTTGTTTTTCATATTTATCCCAGAAAAATAATGGTAAATATATGCAATGCCTCTCATAGATTTTTAATCATTTTCTGGATTGATTACATTGTTTTGTCCTTCAGTAAAACCATTGTTAAAAATAGAAATAATGTTGGCTGATATGCAGAATCAATTGTCTCCTGAGACAACCTCTTTTGCGGTGACATTAACTATCCCTTTTTATTTTTATTACCAGTGTGCTTTCTTGCAATGTTTTCTAATGAAAAAAAAAACCAACAGAATAAATTATTCATTTAATGAGATAGCAAAATTGAAGGCAAACCGATCAATGTAATAAACTGACACTGCTTTCACAAAGTAAACTTACCTTGCTAATTGCAAATCCAAAGACTTCTTCAAAATAAGCAGGTTGGCTAATAAGCAGAAGGTAGAAAGTCCAACTACGGCAAAAATTTGCAACGATAATGGCATACACTGGCATAGAGGTGAAGAACCTTCTCCATGGAGCCTTGAATTTCTGTAATAGATGGAGTGGTATTATTCGTTTGAAGAACATAAATACAGTTGCCCTCTCAAAAAAACCTGTTGTCCTCTTATGTCCAAATAAAGAGAAGAAGGAAGTTTTTAATGCGTGGACAAGACAGAATATTGACAAATAATGGGTGAAGCATAACTCAAAATACCAGTACTAGAAATGGGTGGTACTACCAAATTGTAGATTGGTAGATGGTACTATCATATTGTAGATTAAAGCAGTCTGATTGACCATATTGGGTTAGTGACTTAGCAAGATATGGACAGGAAATGCATAGTTTAACACTTAACATTTAAGCATGACTTAAACAAGTTGCCATAAAAAAAAACTTTCATTCAGCTTTATTAATTAAAAATAAAAGTCAGAATGAAAATGCACATTAATTATGAGATGTGTCAAGCTGTTGTTTTTGATTTTGCCAATCTGCTACTAGAATTTTGCTAATTCTGAATGCATTACATTTTCCTGGATATTTCACTTAGAATAAAAACGGAATTGGGGTAACACCAAGAAAACACATATCTAAGTTTTGTTGCTGCTTGAAAGGCCAAAATATATGCATAAAACAGATCAAGGGTACAGCACACATACAAAAAAGTTTTTGAAATCTATATATTGTTATATTATATTTTATATAGTTACATAGTATGGCCCACCACTTCTTCTAAGTATCCCAATATGAGTAGGTCCCATCCTAACAAATAAAATTGCCTATCTAAGCAAACAAATACAGGGATTTGGTTATACCAGTCACACATGGTGTAGCCCAAGCATGTCAAACTCACGGCCCACAAGGACCATCTTTGCGGCCCGGCGAGCCGAGAGTATGTGCTGGTGTTATAGCAGAGTAGGCACCTGCTTTCCCCACATTGCAGGTGCAGGTACCTACTCTGCTAACACTTATCCGGCTGGGGGGGAGGGCCAGTGAGGGAGCTCAGTGTTCTGCTCCTCACTGCTCCCTCGCATGCACCAACTGAAGTGAAGCCGGGTGCCGGAATATGACGTCATATTCTGGCACCCAGCATCACTAAATCGAGTGAGGGAGCAGTGAGGAGCAGGAAGGACCCCAGGGAGATGCCCCTCATCGACTCCATAAGGTAAGGAGAAGTAAAGTATGTGTGTGTAAGTGTGTGTGTCTGTCTGTCAGTCAGTGAGTGTGTCTGTGTGTGTGTCTGTCAGCAAGTATGTGTGTCTGTCAGTGAGTGTGTGTGTGTGTGTGTCTGTCTGTGAGTATGTGTGTGTGTCTGTATATGTGTGTCTGTCAGTGTGCCTGTATGTATCTGTCTGTGAGTATGTGTGTGTGAAGTGTGTGTCTGTCTGTTAGTGTGTGTCTGTGAATATGTGTGTGTGTGTCTGTCAGTGTGTGTGTGTGGCCCACATAAACTTAAACCTTGTTTATGTGGTCCGTGCCACACTTTGAGTTTGACGTGCTTGGTGTAGCCAAAAGTCATATTTGTTTGCTAAGGTAGGTGAATTTAAATGTAAAGGAACACTTGGGACCCCTATAGCACGTTATCTTGCTGAAGTACTTTTTGTGTGAAGAGTGTGTCCTCTTTTTGTCATTTTACAAAAAGTGTAGATTTTAATAGAAACTGTCACTTTTATAAATTAACCTTGTTACACTCCCTCGCTTTCAATCAGACAAGAAATGTTACTTCCTGGTTAAGTTAGCTCAGTGGAGTTAAACCCAAGAGGCAGCAATTGCCCAGAGCACCTGCCTTGCAAAGACTTCTCATTGATGTGCACTGGGAAGTCTGTAATTGGAAAGTTGGGGCATGGCTACAAGGGGAGGGCTTGCAAAAGATGACATGAGAACTATAGGTTTAAGATTTTTTTTAGATATGCCCTAATTTTAAAAGAATTTTTATATTTAAATGCATGCATGTTTTCATTTGGAGTGTATCTATTAAACAGTGATTTTTATTTGTATTTGGGCAATAAGCAGACTTGTAAGATTTAAAACTGTATTTTGTTTTGCGTGTGTGCACTGTTCCATTAATCTGTATTCTGTATATATCTTTGTCTTTACAGCAGCACCTCTAGGCCCCAGCCCCAGATGCCGCGGCCCACCGGGAAATTTCCCAGTATCCTGGTTGGCCAGTCCGACCCTGTCTACTAAGAACAGTATGCGGACTGTGCACATGCTTAAGATATAGCAGACACAAATCAATGCAATACAAAGCTATATGAATTTTAATATGACAGAAATTGTTAACATAACAATGTTCATGATCTTATACGGCAATCCTGCCTGAAATTTGTTTTTATATATATATATATATATATATATATATATATATATATATATATATAAAATGCAGCAGAATAAATATATCATTCTGTGTAGATAATATGGGAAGTGATTATGGTTTAGTATTTATAAAGTAGAAATATGCAAGAGTTGTCAGTACGACCACCTTTTAAAGGTAAATTAAATCATGAAGCAAAAATAAAAAAGAATCAACAAGACAGAAAAAAAGCTAAAATAAGGAGAAAGATAAATGAAGAATTCTGTTGGATATTTTGCAGAAAATCTTGAGGTAGCAGCCTTTTCTAACACCATTTTTAGCACCTCTTCGTGCATATTGATGTAAAACCACAGTGATCTGAATCCCTGCTGAGATTATTTTCACATTTTCATTATTCAGTATAAAAAATATAAATGATTAGTAATTTGCCTAAATTAAACCATGCCTCTAAGCCTGTAGCACACTAGCACAAGTTCACAACCATCACTGATTGTACTTTTTATATATATATATATACACACACACACACGGTATATGACAGTATGACAAAAAGATAATTATAGCTTCTTAAATTGAAAAATACATTTGTACACTGTGAGTGCAACAACCTTTCTACCAACAGTTAGTATGCATGCTTGAGTTGAATATAGCAATTGCCCTTATCTCACTGATGTCCCTAAAGTACACTTCAAATATATATAAATGGACAAGTCTATTATTACACTTTGTTATTGTTGTTCTTTCCCATGGTATTTAATATGCTTTCCAGGTACTACATATTTATTTTATTTTTTTATTATTTTTTTTTTTTTAATATTGACACTTTACCAAAAAAATTAATAAAAAAAGAACAAACTAATTCTACTGACCACCAATGGGTTCATGAAGGTTGTACTTTCTCCAATACTCTCTTCTATGTATTGTTTTTCCTCCTCTGATATTGTAGGATGCTGTGCAGGGCTTTCGTAAGAAACGAGGATCCAAAACATGTACCATGTTAGACCAAAGCTCCCTAAAGATAGAACACAATATGTCACTTTATTAGCCTTTTTAGTTTGTAAAATTGAAGTATAAATTTATTGGATTTCTCTCCATGTCCCTCTCCACCGTACTACATTAGGGATATTTTCTAAGAGTGCCTGTGTGTAACAGTGAGTTTGTGTGACTGTATTTGGGAATGTGTGCATATCTGTGGTTGTGTATATGTTTGTATGTGCATGCATCTGTCAGTGTGTATAAAATTGACTGATTATTTGTGTTTTAGTATGCTTGTCTGTATCTCTGTGTGTGTGTGTGTGTGTATGTCAGTACGGATCTATGTGTGTGTTTCTCAGTACGGGTCTAAGTGCCTGTCGGTGCAGATCTGTGATTGGGTCTTGGAAGTACTGATCTATGTGTGTGTTTGAAATACAGGTCTGTGTGTCTTTCTGGAAGAAAGAATCTGTATGTGTGTTTGGAGTGTGTTAGGGCGTTAGAGAGTAGGGAACACAGGCTTTCATATAAGAAGATGTCTTAGCCAGTGGCTCCCACTCAGCCACTGGGTTTCAACCTGAGCATCTTACGGCCTACGTTTTGTCAGCATCCCAATTAGAATGGAATTGGTAATTGCCTTAATTAGAGGTAGGCAATGTTCGGCACTCCAGATGTTGTGGACCACATCTCCCCTAAGGCTCTTACAGCCATAAGGCTGGCAATGAATCTGGGAAGATGTAATGCAGAACATCTGGAATGCCAAAGGTTGTCTACCTCTGCCCTAAATCCTGGACTATTAGTGTGGTCTGAGGAACGGTTTTGGAATCACTGCTCAAGAGATAGCCTAGCACAGTACAAAAAAACAATATAAAACTAAAATGAAAATCAAGTTTTGGAATGAAAGTGTAACACAAAATGGACAGAAATGAGAATAATTTGACTTTCTCGCAATGCAATCTCTTTTGTGCTTACACCTCCTCCTCCCCATGCTTCACATACCAGTATGCCAGTCCTTATAAATTACCCTCATTTTCCTTTATTTACTTCTACTGGCACGTCCCCTCATCTTTCACCCTATATCATTTCCTCCATATCCCACCTTTTACTCATTACTAACAAGAAATTTAATGTCAATACCTAAGGAACCAGTCACACATTGTTACTTACCATAAACATAGAACACAGAGCTCCACCCGGAATACTGTACCAATACCCCAGCCAATGGCATTGCCACCACAGCTCCTGCATAAGAACCTACAAAAAACAAATATCACTTCTAATTAATGCACAGTTCCTTTCTGGAATTATATTCACATGTGTTATGGGGATCTAAGAAAAGGGGATATAGGATCAGAGTGGGTAGGTGGTGGTGACAAGGGGTAGCCTCCATTGTTGGCCCCACTCGGACAATGTACAGAATGCAACTGAGATTCTTCTTTCATGTTCCTAGTGCCTTAGCACCATTCAGCAAAGCAAATGTGCAGTTGCACAATTGTATTATTATTTTTTTTTAACTCGATTGGAAAATGTTTTCTTGTGTCAATAGTCTTCAAATATGTAAAAAATAATAATAATAATAGTAATGTTTGACTTTTTATTAATTTTTTTATTTCTAGATATAATTTTTGGAAAATCTTTAAAAAAAAAAGACTTAAACAAAATCTTAAAAAAAAAAAACCATGAAACTGTAAAAATTGGCCCAAAATAATTTTTTTAAAAATGATAACAGTCTCTAAGCACAAGTTCTTCTCCTTTTATATTATGTTTGGATAATTTTTCCTAAAAATTCAATATGAATCTAGTGCCCTGCCTGGCTAACATCACAGTGTTACATCAAGCCGAGCCAGCAGAAGTACTCGTTGCTTACATCCCGTATTTTAAATAGTACCCTAGGGATACAGGGCCTATTCAGATTGCAGACAGGTGCAGACACAGTAGTAATTTGCTATATTTAGCAATATGAGTAATGCGTAGTTTGGCTGATGCTAGTGTAACACTATGCAAGATATGACAATCCAAAGTCACAAAGGAAAGTAGTGAGAGGGAGGACGTAAAATAAGATAATAAAGAAAAACAGAAGTAATCCAGGAAATTATTATCAAGAATAACAATCGTAATGTTATTTAGTAATCTGGGTTGACAAAAAGACTCCATCAAAGTCCATCAAGTTTAGCACATCATTTTTAGGCTATAGATTAAAAAGAAGAAAAAAAACAAACCAATATGATTGGAACTGCCAATTTAGCCACAAAAATAAAAATAAAAATCTTCTGGACTTCTTAATAGCAATTTGTCCTTGGATTAATTTAACAACCTCTTCACATACATGTCAATTATATCCGTGAATATTCTGTTTTTTCCAAAAAAACATCCAGGACTTCTTTAACCCCTTAAGGACACATGACATGTGTGACATGTCATGATTCCCTTTTATTCCAGATGTTTGGTCCTTAAGGGGTTAAACATATCTACAGAATTTCATAAAAACATCTTCTTGGGAAGTGAATTCCACATCTTATTGTTCTTACTGTAAAGAACCCTTTTCTCTGCTGTAAGCAAAAATGCCTTTCTCCTTTACAGGATGACCTCTTGTCTTTTGTAAATGGATGGATGGATATATCACAGTCTTCCATCCATACATATACAACAGACACGAGGTCATCCATTATAAATATAGTGTATGTATACACACACACATACTTGGAATTTAGCTTACAAATATCCTAGGGGTAGTAAATAACATATGTTACTACATACCCCTCATGTGGTTCTCAAAGTACTTCTCCAAAACAAGTTTTAGATTTCTTTCATATTCCCATTTGTACAGAACTGGTAGTTTGTACATATTTTAATAAGGGTGTTCCTTGAAAAATCGCTTTAGAACTACTACTTAAGATTACTTCTTCTTTTCTTTGCTACTTGAGAGAAAAATCCAACTTTTTTTCCCTTATGCTACGTAGGATGCATAATTAATTTTACAGTTTTAATTATATGAATAAAGAGAAAATTCTATTGCAAATATTAGACTTCTGCAAAAATATGTTTCAGCTGGTTTCGTCTGATTCACATTCCTTTTAGTCCAAAGCCACACAAATTGATTAATCTGGTATTTACCTGTGGAGTCTAATTCAATAAATCAATTATTTGCAAATCAATTTGCTCAGGCGTGGATTGAAATGATTTTGATTTGGGTGTATTGGGCAAAAAAAAAAATTGAGGAAATGTAGTAAATGTTTTCTGATATATCACTTTATATTAAAATTTTTGCTGTGCATCTTCATGTATTTATTCCTAAAAATTCAAAATAAACTTAAATATAGGTTATATGATATAACTTACTAATGTTTAACATATTGCTTCGATGTACTCTTTTTTTTCTTTAAATGTATTAAAAAGTGTACAGAGTATACTGTATAAATGTTATGGGATTTGCTTGGTCAAACAGTTTACTGTGTCTTTAACAGCTAGGACATCAAAATAAATTCTGACGCACGTACACAAATGTGTCAGATATCTTTTATATGTCATCACACATCTCCCCCGTGGCATATGGTGTTCTGTGTGCAATAGTCACTGCAGAAATGTGTAAATTATGTGAAAATTACATTACCGCAAAAGGCAGTTGTGGCAAGCCTGCTGCGTTCAAGAGGTGGGGCCCATTTACTCCAGATCCCATGGCACGCAGGATACGTAACTCCCTTTAAACAATGGAAATACAAATATTATAAATGAATTATTTGGAATAAGCATCAGTGAATGTTAAACAAAAAAATAGACTTTATTACTAAACAAGTGAAATTTGTTACTTTTCTAACCAGAGCTGGAAAAATATACAAAAAACAGATATACCTGATTTTTTTCTCTCTATTAAATTGTTCTTGTATATATTTACAGGTAACAATTTATCATTTATATAACAGTGCCCTTTATACTTTTTTTGCTTTATTTTTCCTTTTCTTTCCCTCCCTTTCACCTCTTTTTCTTTTCTCCTTTTCAATTCTTCCCTTTTATTTTTTTAACCTTTTTACTTATATTTTGCTAATTTGGATATCGGTTCTCAAGCTCATTAGCAGGTAATGTTTTTATTCATGTAGTTTGATTCATATTTTGCAATCAGTTGGCAATTAGTTACAACTCACAGTTTAGTAGTTTGTAGTGTCTGGTATTTTGTGATTGGAATTAAGTAAATATTTTCTAGTATTTTGTGGTCTGATTAAGTCTCTCTTGATAGACGAAAACTGTGAGAAATTTGTTATGCCTTTTTACATTTTGAAATACGGATATACCGGTAATAAAGGAATGCATTTTTGACTGGTACAATGATACATTATTTTGGTACAGTTTGGTATGTAGCTCTATCTTCTTTATTTATGCATATGCAAATGACCCCCCCAAAAATCAGTTTGGGACACATTTTCATACCAATGGAATTAAGCAAAGGGAAGGTAAAAATAGCCAAAATGGATACATTCTCAAAGTCAGCTTAGCTTCTCGTTCAGCTATTATTGAACTTATTACGTATTGAACTTTTTACCTTTGATTCTAGAACTTGTTCTGCCTCTGTCCATCAGACTTTCTCCTAGTCTTCAATCCTTTAAGAAGACCCATCTCTTTAGGCTAGCCTTCGGTGTCAATGGGAAACTGTCATTCCTTAAATCTATCTCTTGCTCTCACAAAGTAATAAGTGGGTCCAGACTCCAATTTACTCACTCTAACCTTCCATTTCGACTAGTCCCCCCTTCTTACTATTTGATGATATCATCCACTCTGCCCTTCATCTCGTGTTTTTATACCACACCTTCTCTAGGTTCAAGCAGATTCCTCATTAACCTTGTGTTACGGTCAACATTTGTAATAGTTTGTCTTACTTGATGTTATGTCCTGTATTGTAAAGAACTATGAAATAGGTTGACCCTATTTAAATGCCAATATTAATAAACACATCCACAACACCAGGTGAAGCTGCTAGAAGATAAATGTATTCAAGCAGAGTGTTATCCTGGCAATGTTTTGACCCATTTGACAAACAATCTTAGTGGGTCAAAATGTTGCCAATTATTATATATCGATGTGAGCAATTGAGGGAAGTGATATTACATTATTTATAGTCCTTCTGGCTAATTCACCTGATAGTAAGATGTACAAAGAGGGACACTTTGATTTTGGGGGTGTGAATGGTGTGGTAACTTGTCTTCCTTACATCTCCCTAAACAACGAAATAGGCCTAGGCGGGGGGGCTTAGAATCTTTTCTAACCTCCCACAATCGCTTAAAGGAAGTGATGCATTAATATATTGAAAATCAGTATGTGATGTAAAACACATCATCTCAAGTAAGTGTAGGTAAGATATTGCCAGGCAGGAAATCAGTTTGCTGTTGCCTCCTTTTCTTCATTGGTAGATGTGATGTTGAACTTGCAGCAGTGAGCCATGACTTCATGTGAAGGCCTAACCGTGGGTGAGATCAAATGTGTGGGGAAGGGGATTATTATATGATAAATATATATATATATATATATATATAGAGAGAGAGAGAGAGAGAGAGAGAGAGAGAGAGAGAAAGAGAGAGAGATTAAAGGGGTTGTTGCTCTGTGGGACTGGGCTGTGTGTTTGTGATAACTATATAGTATTGTGTTGTTGCCTTCTAATGTTAGTTGTTATTGTTAGTTAGATTGTGTGTCATTATTTGTATGCTGTTGTTGTTTTGTCTCTGAATAAATGTTTGTTAAAGTAGACGGACCAGAGTTTATATGTGTATGCTTACATAATTTATATAGTTTGGTAATACACCACAAGTGGCAAGGACTGATCTCAGGGTTTTAGGTGACTTACTAATAACAATTAATACAACTAAAATGTAATTTAGAACAAGAACAATGTATCGTATTTGCACAGACTTATTTCTAAACACATTCACTGATGTTTGTAAATTACTGGTAGTGTTATTGCTGTGGAGCTAATACTATTATTCTCAGACATACAAGCAATATGGAGCACCTAGAAGTAAGGGACATTAGGATAGAAAAGACAGAAAGCATGATTTTGGTTCAAAATAGAGACTATCCTTCCTAAATAGGGAAACTTGGGCGGTATGGAGATGTGAAGGCATTTTATGACACTGCGGCAGATCGGAACATATACTGCTCCCCATTGGGTATACCACAGCATTTATTTGCTCTTGTCACTCATTGGATTTAACTGAGATAGCTCTAAGTTGACTCCCTTTATGGTTTTCTGGGCGAATCAATCCCCCTCTCTCATGGCAGCTAAAAAGTATGTAAATATGTTAAAACAGCTGTGATTATACAGTTTAAAAAAAATTTGCATTCAACTTCTTAAAAAACATAGCATACATAGACTCTCACCTCTACTAATCCTTGCAGGACCCTGACAAAAATTACACAGCCAAAGTGTACTCTGGCAGCCGACGGGATCAGCATGTTCAATGTAGAGGTAGCCACAATGGCAAACCCAAACACTCTGTAAGAGAAATAAAAATTAAGGTAATTAGCTGTATTAAGTCACTTAGGTAAAGATACAGATTTGTCTTTGATGAGAAAATAAAGGTAATAAAACAGTGCTCTGTGTTTCAAACTACACAATAACTGCACCAGCTTTCAATTAACACAAACAGGACTGCTAATAACATATTTAGAAACATATAATAATTTTTACATCAGCAAAATTAATTTCAAGTTTGGGTAACAACACTTTAATATTAGGGGAATGGGGGGTGGCAGGATCAGCAATTTAAATCAAATAATTGAGAAGTGCATTAAAATCGGTGCTGCATTATAGTGTTTTTTTTTGTTTTTGTTTTAAAAAGAAAACAAAAACAGCCCCCCCTTTTTTTTTAACCTGTACAGAACTGCTTGTAGATCAGAGTAACTTATTTAAGCTGAAATGTATCACAGAGATATGACAGAGCTTTTGTTAAAGGATGTTCCACAGTTTTCATATATCAAAACAAAATGGCTGTGTCCTGAAATCAAAATGGCTTTCTGTGTATTTTATATGAGGATGCTTTTACAAAGGTGGTTTATTTCAAAGCCAGTTTAATTTCAATTCAAAGAACGACTGTCATCAAATTGCACTTTTTATCGTTTTTTTAAAGCTTGCTTCAAGTTACAGTCTATTAAATGTAATGATTTTTTTTCTGAAGTATGTTTATTGAGTTTTTACAATACATTTCACTTTTTTTAATATAGCTGAGCAGTTCTGTTGAAGGGACACTGAAGGTATTGAGTTTACTTCATCTTATTAAACTGGTTATATTGTCTGGAGTTCCCGGGTACTGTCATTTCATTTAGCAATAAACAATGTTTAATGTTTTTATGTTTTAATGCTTAACGAGAGTTCCCAGCTGCCCATCCCCTCTGTGCTGCTTTAGCTAATGAGGAAGTATTAGCCGGAGCAGCAATGGGCAGCTGTGATTGGCTGAGAGTGTCAGCTGACTGCTTTTAGCTTATCAGAGCTTCAACTGAAAGTATGAATGTGTATGACTACAAGGAAGTGTGTAATTTCTGCCTTAGTCACACTTCCAGAAGGGGCCGGACTGTGGGTGACCAGGGTCCCTTATTTAGTGTTAAACTGCTCTCTTGCAGCTTAACACTGAATGGAAGGACAGTGCCAGGTGATTCCAGGCTCTATGACCAATTCAATGAAAATAAATGTTACAGTGACTATAATGTCCCTTTCAGTCAGATTCTACTGTTACCTGACCAACTGCTGTTTAACCTATCTTGAATGGTGCTGCAGGTTCACACAGAGCAATAACATAAGCAGCCGCAGGCAAGTTAGCTTGAGCAGAATTTAGTTAGACGACAGTAGAATTTGGTCCAACGTGGATGCTCAGACAAATAAAAAAGTTAACTTTTCTGTAATAAAATCAATATACATAATTTTATAAAAATCATTAAGTTGTAATAAACTTTTAAAAAGCAAGAAGTGAAAATCTTATGACAATTGGCCTTTCGATTCTCTGAGTGTGCTCTCTTATGATGTACTTTTTAGATATATGTGAACTGATTGTTGCCTCACTTGATTCTTATTCTCACCTTTTATCGAGCAGGGGGTGTCCCTAATTCAACATCATTTAAGGTTTCCCAAGTACTGCTTCCAATAACTGAGTTAATCCCTTCCATGCTAGTTAAGATCTTCACTCCCATTGCATTCACAACATGCTGCACTAAAATGTATTGATAGCCTCTCTGGTATCAAAGTTAACAAAAATGTGTATTTATACCACTGTGAAGTGGACCTCATGTTGAATTGTCAACGAGCCAAGGATAAGGAGAGAGGAGAAGAAAACTGTTCTGAGATAGTAATATTGATTTTACTGAATTTTCTTTATACATTTGGCTCATTAATGCACTGCTATGGAATTGACTAAAAGGAGTACGAGTCAGGAACGTGTTCTAAGTGGTTAATTAAAATTTTTTATCTTTTGACTGAGCCATTACATGTGACTAGTACAACGAACAAGTACCCAGTTGGGTCTCATTAACTCATGCCTTCAAGCCAATACAGCAACAAATACAAGAATTGGTCTGTTTCTTCAATAGAATTGTGTTTATATATTTCTTTGCTTTTAGAACAAAAACGATGGAAGTAGGCATTGCTACTACTGTAGAATGTAGTACCTTAAATATATACAATTATTTATACATTATTAAATCACATTAATGTCCTCTTTTAATATATTAAAAGACTATATATAGAGAGAGAGAGAAAGAGAGAGTCAATTGAAAATCCTTGTAAATTTGCCCAAATAATCTTCAAAACAAAACATTCGCAGGGTGTCAGAATGAGGCCATATAATATAACAATATAAAAGAGGGTTCAGCAATCACAACTTGCTGTATCAATCAACTTTATTCCGTCAAATTAGAAGTTTCCAAATACAAAAGAAGAAACAGGACAACATTTCAGTTCCAGATCGGGACATTCCTCAGATGAACCTTCTAAAACCTTCTAAAAGGAAAATTACTTATTAAAAATAGAAATAATACTTAGCTATTGCCAAAAAAAAGTTTCAATTATCAAGGCAAAAATAGGTGCTCCTCTGGACTAAATAAGGAATAATCCTACAAAACAAGTCTAAGCTGAGTCAGTTTGTGCTCATCTACATTTATAATCCATGTGAGATCGTGATGCATCTCAATGAAGTGGCTTGGGTGTCATGTCTTTCTCCTTTTAACTCTGTCATGTGAAACTTCGCTATTTAAAACAGATGGTCTCATGGCTATGATCTGATTGGTGCAGTATGGCGTATTGCCACGTATGTGTACTAGTCTCTCAATGCTTTCCTATTGGATACGGGGCCAGTTGCAGAGAGAGCAGCATGGCCTGAGATAACAGCCAAGTAAACTACCTTTTTAGTCTACGCAGGGATTACCTAAACGGTGACTAGGACACTATGGCTTTAGAAATAAACATTTTTTTGTAGTAGTGTAGTGTTCAGAGGAAATAAAATTATTAATTTTAACTTTTCACAGTGATTCAATATGATAGAATAAGTGATCATGTATTTTAGCTGTTAAGTACTTACATCACAAATAAATACACAAACGCGCATTCAACATCTTGCATTCCAGTCTACTTTTGGTATATACCGAGATGTGCTTACTATCATGCCACACACAGCAGAATTTATTGTGAGGTCTTTCCTTTAAGTGTCTAGAAGCTATTTAAGCCTTGCCATTTACTGTAGACTGACAGTCTTAGATGCATTCTACTTTTACACAGTAGCTTGTGAGTGGTGTGTGACCTATTCCTCAATAAGAGTGAGATTCATATTTTGTCAATTAGAAATCACTAACACTGGATTTAATAAGAGATCAGAAAAACATATTTTGCAAAGAAAGGCCAAAGTGAACATAATCAGGAAATCGTGAAATTGTGAAATATAAATTTACCATTAAAAAAAAAGCGAAACAAATATCTATAAAAAAACAACTTTCGACTGATTGGCAAAAAAAATTTTTTTTCTTTTTATAGGTTAGTGTCATGGTGAGTAAAGGGTTGAGATGTTGCTGATATCTCAAAATTAAAAATATATGTGCTGATTTTCACCTCCTTCACTCCTTTTCTAACACTTTCTCTCGAGCGCTGTGAAAAACAATAAATTAGAGAGTGTGAGAAGTGTTCTGCTCAGTCTTTTTTGATTAGGGAATGTGTGAGGAACATTCTGCTGCTAGAGGTGTTCAGGAATAGGATAGTCTTGTGACACGTGTTTCTACTGATGGGTTTTAATCTAATGACTCACCACCAATCAATCTGCTATTAATATCTCAACATAAAGCATTCATTTGAAATAGATGGAGCTCTGCTGCTGTATTTTCCAGCAAGCACCCTCAAGACATGTCTACTTTGACACAGTATTCTTCATTATTTTATGCACACGAACCATCAATTCTAACGTCAGAAACTCTTCACAGCATAACAGAATCTGTGACTGATAGATACTTGCAGAAGACATAAGTGTAACAATAGAGGCTATAGGGCATCATAGTGCAGGCTCTGTAGCCTCAAAAACTCCAGTGCATGGTGATCTTAGTATGGGGCATCAGGCAAAAATTACTCTCCAATGCTCCTTCACAGGCCATGCTGGAGGTAAATAATGTAGTTTCTAGATAATGTATGATGGCTTGTTTCATTTCTTTATGAAACAGTAAAATTAGCAAAAAGATATGGAAACCCTGATATTTTTTTTCACAAAATCAGGAACCTTTTCACCATAACGGAAGGAGTGCATGTATAAATAAAACAAGCAATGCATGCACATAGACATACTTTCATGCTTGCAGTATCTCACAAAAGTGAGTACACCCCTCACATGTTTGTAAATATTTTATTATATCTTTTCATGTGACAACACTGAATAAAAGACACTATGCTACAATATAAAGTAGTAAGTGTACAGCCTGAATTACAGTGTAAATTTGCTGTCCCCTCAAAATAACTCAACACACAGCCATTAATATCTAAACCGTTGGCAACAAAAGTGAGTACACCCTTGGAAATGTCCAAATTGGGCCCAAAGTGTCAATCAAAGTGTCAGCCTCCCACCACCATATTTCCCTATAGTCATATTTTTCCTACATGCTGTCACATGTCCATCTTGTCTTTTGCCATATTATCCCATATACAGTGCTCCAGGAAGAGAGATTTAAAAAGTGAGACTCACATACACACACATACACACACACACATACACACACATACACACACAATTCAGATAGTTACCTTATGTGCCAAACCAAAGTAAACATTTAAAAATTTGTAAATCAACCCATGTAAAAGTAAGAAGAGAAATAAGTTTTAAAAAATTGGAGCAATATACAATATCTCAAAAGTGAGTACTCCCCTTACATTTTTGTAAATATTTTATTATATGTTTTCATGTGACAACACTGAAGAATTGACACTCTGCTACAATGTAAAGGAGTGCTGCCCACTCAAAATAACTCAGAGGTTGAAGGGGTTGGGGGTCAGCCTGTCAGTGCTCAGACCATACGCCGCACACTGCATCAAATTGGTTTGCACGGCTGTCGCCCCAGAAGGAAGCCTCTTCTACAGATGATGCAAAAGAAAGCCCGCAAACAGTTTGCTGAAGACAAGCAGACTAAGGACATGGATTAATGGAACCATGTCCTATGGTCCGATGAGACCAAGATAAACGTATTTGGTTCAGATGGTGTCAAGAGTGAGGAGTACAAAGACAAGTGTGTCTTGCCTACAGTCAAGCATGGTTGTGGGAGTGTCCGTGATGGCTGAATAATTGTAATCGTTCCGCATTATGTAATTGATGACATATTTATAGTTTTCAGTGTTAGAGACCTAAGAGAAGGGAGACCGTTTCTCTATCCACCATATATAAAGAATGCTCTGCTGACATATGGAAATATGGACATTGGAAGGCAGAGAAGAATTGCTGATACTTTGTTTTGGTGAACAATATTACTATTTAAAATGTAATTAGCTACTTGTTGATACTCTTGGATGTCATTTCACCTTGAAGTAACAAATTACATGAATTAAAGTAGTTTTATTGTTAGAGAATCTATGTATTTTTATGGTCAGACATGTAGAAATCTGGAAAGTAATTGATTGCCTGGGATTACCTTGGTGTATGTTTTTGGTGATGTTAACTCTTGTGCATCTGTTAATACTCACTATTTCAAGGACAGCAGAAACAAATTACACATTAACTGACCGAGACACACAATCTGAGACATTACAGTAGGAGTGAGATCACCCTTACGCATTTCACACTCAACAGATTCCAAGGTCAACATTCTATGTACATGCGTCACAGTAAGTATCATTTAGCTATACCCCTTCTATGACACGGCACATGCGTGTTGACATCATAATGCTGATGACCTTACAACCTGCCAAAATTTTCAAATTCAACGTTTTGGGCCGTGGCTATACAATTAAAGGCAAACACTATAAAAAGATCTCCTAGGGCATGGATTATTGCCCTGTTGTTGTTCTAATTTTGGTTCCCAATAGTGCGTCGTATTCTCAGTGTATTTTTTTTTTATTTGATCTCTATTACTATTCTGACTTCCTCCTTTCTTTCTATTGTACTGGACTTCCCTGGTTTCTGCTTTCCCTGACTTGGCTTGCTCTGACTATTCTCTGTCTTGAGACGAAGAGCCCTGCCACTCTATACGTTTACTTCTATTATCATTTACACTCTGCGTGTTGGGTCACTTAGTAATCGTGACAGTATGAAATTTGCTAACAATCACTTTAGGCAGATGGAGAGTGTCTTCTTTCAGTGCAATGAATGTATGGTTGCCATCTGCCTGGTATTATAAATATCCTACTTGTGGATGTCTATCTGTCAATGTGTGATATTTCTACCACATTCTAACTAAAGTAGTTAATATACAACTTGCATACTTTAATATGTATTTTTTAAATCTGAGCATGCTTCATTAATGCCCCATTACGCAGAAATTCTTGAGTAATATCAAGCTGAAATTAAAAAAAACAAGTTGAGTATTTATTTGCTTCTTTTAAACAGCAGATCAGACACATTTTCAAAATTTAATATTGATATTTTTCTGTCTTGGGGGAAAAAAGTATTATGCCGGAGAGATGTAGTCAGGGAGTTGAAGAAGGTTCTGAAATTGTGTGTATTTGAAGGATCTGTCAGGCACATTTGAGAGTCACCAGACACCGACAGCAGGATGACGCCCACACTCTCCTACATTGCATAAGTGACTCAGATCCTGCCATCATGTGTCACTTTCCGGTTTTCTGAACGAACAGGAGAAAGGATTGATAGGAATAGAGACATTACATAAGCTGACCTTTCACTTGCCATATTATTTCACGATCCAGTTCTGACAAGTCAACATCAGAGTAAACATTGCAAATGAAGAGGAGAAACACAAACATTGTTTCATCTATCCTCTTCTCAGAATGCTTTCTTCAGGGCTCCCCGCAGTCCTGTGACAGTCCACTTTCAGGGTCTTGTTCCACCGTCCCACTTTAGTTCTCTGGTTTCTCACATCTGAGGGCATCAGGAAACTGTCCCTAGGCAGCACAGAGTGGGTGCATCATTAGATTGATGTGCTGAGCAGTAGGCATGAGGACCACTCTCAGCAGTGCTCCCTGCATGTTCCTCAAGGCTGGGGAGCTGGTCAAGAAACCTATCAGAAGGTGGGTCTGCCATTTTTTCCACCACTGGTGATGCTCCTCAGGACCCCACTGACCCAACCAATTTTTGGGAGGTATGCTTTTTTTGTGCTGACAGCCAAGTGCAACGGATAGAGCATACAACAATGATTAACAAGGAGTTAAAATAGAGGCACCCAGCTGCAGGATTGAGAGATGTGAATTTCTATATTTAATTACATCTTTCACACCTGACAAATACATATTTGTTAAATATAGGGGATGGGTAAACATATTAGAAAAAAATCGTTGTATGTGACCGTTTTCTTTTAACTACATAGAGGTGCTGTTTTGTCATGGCTGATATATAAATCTAATTCGAATTCAATAATACTAATAGAAACTGGCTCTAAATATAAGCTGGCTCCCAAAAAATGTTATGACCAAAGTACATGTTAATTGATCAGCATGAGGATGGGAATTCAGACTACAAATATGGAAAATATGATGTACCCCTGCATTCTCTTCAAGGCCGTTTGAATTATTCATTGGAATCTATAACATTGACAGATTGTGGAACTCACAATCTGTAAAACATCTCCCCTTGGCTTCCATCAAAGCATGACCTTTTTTCAAGCAAAATCAAATCACTGCTTGTCTACAATGAAGCTATAGAGTAACAAAGCATATTCTAGCCAACCCCGAAGGTACCATCATAAATGAAAGTAGTAAGGATTAGTTCCGATAATATCTATAACTCTATGCGCAGTATCTATTATATATATTTTTCACAAATAAAAATGAAAATTAAATACAAAATAAAAATATATGTATAAACTCAATAACAAAACATTGTCTGTGTTTTTAACATGTACCCATACTGGGTGTTTAACAAGTACACCTATGTGAATAGTGAACACGATTCATATTGTTTTATCTGTAAATGACTTTGCAGAGTTATTTCCAAAAGTGAGAATTTAAGTAAAATTTAATGTAAGGTTAAAATAGTGGAACCAAAAAAGTTCTTTAAGTCGGGTATGTTTCCGGTTCAGCTTATTTATTTATTTATTTGTATGTCTGTTGTAAACATTTCAGCGGATCCATTTTGATTTATTACCTGTGAATTAGTTTAAATTGAGCATATGTAAACCTATACAGTGATCGGCCACAACATTAAAACCACTGACAGGTGAAGTGAATAACATTGATTATATTGTTACAATGGCACCTGTCAAGGGGTGGGATATATTAGGCAACAGGTGAACAGTCTGTTCTTGAATTTCATATGTTGGAATCAGGAAAAATGGGCAAGTGAAAAGATCATTCGTGACTTTGATAAGGACCAAATAGTGGTGTCTAGCCAATGGCATTTCCAAAACTGCAAGTCTTGTGGGGTTTTCCTGGTATGCAGTGGTTCGTACCTACCAAGAGTGGTGCAACGAAGGACAACTGGTGAACTGGCATCAGGTTTATGTGCACATTATAATTACTGTTTTCGTGATAATAGCATATTTTTCTTTCTTTCTATCTATCTATCTATCTATCTATCTATCTATCTATCTATCATCTGTCTGTCTGTCTCTCTCTATATACCTATCTATCTATCTATCTATCTATCTATCTATCTATCTATCTATCTATCTATCTATCTATCTAATCTATATATCCATCTATCTAATTTATTTATCTATCTATCTATCTATCTATCTAATACAGAGCCATCTTAACGCATGGGCATGCTGGTGAGTTGCCCTGTGGCCCCAAGAGCATAGGGGCCCCATAGGATTGTCAACTTTCCGGTAAATTGTTCCAGGAGATATATTCAGAACCTCTAAACCCTCATTATTAGATTGTTTAGGTGGACTAATCACCTCAGTATCAGCTGTTATCTGTACTTGCGATCTTTCTGTTTAGAAAACATATCTTGATCTTGACAAAAACAAGATACACATACTAATTGTACATAAGTAAGACAAAATCAACACATGTAATTTATTGAAGCCGTAATAAAGTTCTTCAAATATTTTTAACAGTCTACGTCAGTTGCCTCCTCATACTACCTACTAAATGTAAATAATGAAAGAAATGGAATGGAGCGCAATAAAGTTTAAAGTCTATGACTCTACAGTGGCTTTGCATAGAGCAGACTAGCACAGAGAAGAAAACTTTAGTGACAGTTGGCCTGTGCCCTGACCAGGCAGATGTCTTATGGGAGCGTACAGTCCTTACATATGAGTTGTACAATGGTACCAAAGTCGGGTACCCCTCCAGCCCCAGGCTTGTTGATAAGCCAGCAACTCTATCTATTGTAAAGCGCTGCGGAATTTGACTGCGCTCTATAAATATTGTAATAATAATAATAATCATCTACCACCTGTATTTTCCATCTTTTTTTTCATAAACTCTTTTTTCTTGTTTTTAACCCCCTAAGGACACATGACATGTGTGACATGTCATGATTCCCTTTTATTCCAGAAGTTTGGTCCTTAAGGGGTTAAGTAGGTGAGCATCCTTTGGTTTAAGCACATGTGCGCTGTAGAGATGTTCTATAAGACTGTGTCTCCATGAAAATGAGATCAGTTTGTGTTCATGGTAGATCCATTCTGCAATGCATAGTATCTTCATCATTATGATTTGTATTGCATGACCATGACCAGTGCTGCCTAGCAACAGATATAATTTAAATAACATGATCTTGATTTAATTTTTTTCTTTTTGGATAAAATATCATAAAAAAATTATAATGTACAATGTTGCATAGTAGTTCTACAAATGTGCATTACATTTGCCAGTGAAAAGAATTTTCAGCTTTCATGTTTCAAAAATTGAGGTGCGAATTAGATACAGTGGCGCAGAAGATTCCAGTAAATATGGTATTTTTTAATATATATGATGCTTTTTTGATATTTCAATAGTTTGAAAATATATTTTACAAGTGTATCCAAAAATATTAAATTATTTGAAATCAACGACAGCACATACAAAAAATAAGGGCTCCATTATGCTTTGAACCAATGCTAGAAATGTGTATGTGAACATTTGGTGAAATAAAACAGAACAGGTGATGTGATTTCTCATGGATAGCAAGGAATTTCAGAAGTAAAACTTTAGTGTCTAAGAGTTGAAAAAAAAATAAAAAAAATAACATAGGACAGACAGAAAATAATATATATTAATATTTCCTGCACAAACAAATTGCAAGGAGGATTACTTTATCCAATACTGTATATGTCTAAAATTAGAAAAGTGATGTCATTTTCAAAGTTGTAGTCTTATTTATGACTAGTTACCTGTCCTAAAACGCAAGATGCCGTGTTTCCTCAACTGAAGGCTGGCAATTAGTTTTGGGACTTTTTAGGACTACAGATTGCTAGGTTGCAAATTTGGAACAAAAAAAAAATTACATATATGGTTCCATTTGCAGTTTATAGCAGAAATAAACTATGGTTTGTGTACTTATTATCTGGCATTTGCATCATCTGACCTTTCAATTACCAGATTTTTATTTTGTTTGTGAACACCTGTTCATATGAAATCAGGTCACTCGTTTCTGCTTAAATGCTTCCAGATTGGTGTTAGATTTACAGTATGTCTGCAGCAAACACTATGATAAAACATATTTTCATGTCCCTATGCATCAGGATCGAGTAAAATGTTTAAGTAAATATATATTTAGATAAATTTGGAGACTCATTAATTTAGTTCAGTTTGTGCAATAATACATTTGGTAAATCTTATCTATAGTTAAGCTTTCTAATTGTGTCTAATTTCACCAAAATGTTTGTGCTTTTAGAAAATATCTTTATGAATAATATACCATTAGCATTCCCAGAAAACCATACGCTGACTAATGAGTAAGAACAAATATGTTCTAGAAAACAAGACAAGCCTGAATTTTCAGCTTAGCTTGGCCAATCACATGTGGGTCTTCTTGGTACACTGATTGGCACACTGATTTAAGATGCTGTATAATTTTCATGGTCCTGCTCCCTAAAAACTAATTAAAGGGATACTGTAAGCACTATAGCCATTTCCTCTCAGGCAATTGGGTATAGTGCTTGGAGTCTCCTGGCACAGTCCCTTAATTCAGTGTTTAAACATTTTTGACCAATGTAACACTGAATAAGGCTCTCTGGGTACCCACAGGCCAGCCCCCACTGAAGGTATGACTAATGCAGAGATTACACACTTCCTTCTAGCCATACCGATTCATACCAGCAATGGTGGCTGTGATAGACTGCCAGTGATCACCAGACACTCTCAGTCAATTGCCCATTGCTTCTAAGGCCAATGCTTCCTCATTAGCCCAAGAAGCAAGAGGCCGATGGGCTGTAGGACAGTCTAACTTAGCATTAAAATATGAAACACAGTTTAACACTGCATGTAAGGACTGTGTCAGGGGGTCTGCCTTGACGTTGGCAGGCGGGCATTACCTCCAGTGGCCATTGGAGTAACTAAATGACCTCCATTTGTCTAAATATACATAGGGATTAAGGAGAGAGCACAGGTAACTTTTTTTCCTTTCGCTTTTACTATATATTGGGGCTGATGTGTACTGTGGTCGTTGCAGCCGCCCGGGAGTGATGGGAGTGAGCGCAGGACTTATCTTTTTGTATTTGTATTCACTTTTTGTATCACACAGCTTTGTTACAATGCTGCCGCCCATCCCATGTGTTCCCTATTAAGGGTAAATAAGTATATAGGGGTGTGTATATAAAAAATACCCATCTCTGTCTCATTAGAGATATCTTTGCCAGAAGCTCAAGGAAGCAAGGTGAAGGGTAAGTGTAGGACCCACTTAGGGGGGTCTGCATTGACGATGGCTAGCGGCAGTGGTGTATCTTGGTTTTGTGCTGCCCTAGGCAGGACAAAACTCAGGCGCCCCCCTCCCCCCGCGCCACCCCCACCCAACCCTTCCCCCCGCCCCACCTTCTAAATACACACACACACAGTCAGACACACACACATACACAAACACACACACATACACAGTCAGAGACACACACACATACACAGTCAGAGACACACACACATACACAAACACACACACACAGTCAGACACACAAACACACACACACAGTCAGACACACACAGACACAAACACACACACACACACAAACACACACACACACAGTCAGACACATACACAGTCAGACACACACACACATACACAGTCAGACACACACACACACACACACCCACACAAACACAGTCAGACACAAACACACACACACACACAGTCAGACACAAACACACACACACACACAGTCAGACACAAACACAGTCAGACACAAACACACACACAGACACAAACACACACACACAGCCCAGACACAAACACACAGCCCACACACATACACAGTCAGACACAAACACACACAGTCACACACACAGTCAGACACGAACCACACACACAGCCCAGACACACACACACATACACAGTCAGACACATACACACACACAGTCACACACACACAGTCACACACACACACACAGTCAGACACAAACACACACACACAGTCACACACACACACATACACAGTCAGACACAAACACACACACACACAGTCAGACACACACAGTCAGACACATACACAGTCAGACACATACACAGTCAGACACACACAGTCAGACACATACACAGTCAGACACATACACAGTCAGACACAAACACACACACAGTCACACACAAACACACACACTAACTTTTTTTTTAATTTAAATCCCCCCCCCAACCTCCTTACCTTTGGGAGTGCTGGGGGGGTCTCTCTCCCTGGTGGTCCGGTGGTCCAGTGGCTGCAGGGCGGGCGGGCGGCGCTGGCAGGCGGGCGGGCGGCTGGCGAGGGAGCACTTCCTATGAGCTCTGTGCTCAGCTCCCTCGCGCGCCGGCTGCAGAGTGAGGCTGGGAGCCGGAAGATGACGTCATAGGAAGTGCTCCCTCGCCAGCCGCCTGCCTGCCAGCGCCGCCCGCCCGCTCGCTCGGGATGTCAGTTAGCCGCAAGGCTAAGTAGGCATTTGCCCTGGGCATTTGGGGGCTGCGTTTTTTGCCGCCCCCTGAAAAATGCCGCCCAAGGCAAATGCCTTGTTTGCCTCGCGGCTAATACACCCCTGGCTAGCGGGCATTTCCTCCAATGGCCATTGGAGTAACTAAATGACCTCCATTTATACATAGGGATTAAGGAGAGAGCGCAGGTAACTTTTTTTTCTTTGGTTTTTACTCTGTCAATTGCCCATTGCTTTTTAAGCCAATGCTTCCTCATTAGCCCAAGAAGCAAGGGGCCTATGGGCTGTAGGACAGTCTAGCTTAGCATTAAAACATTAAACACAGTTTAACACTGCATGTAAGGACTGTGTCAGTGGCACCAGATATTATAATCACGTAAATGAGATGAAACACATGACAGTGTCTACAGCAAGCATGTCAAACTCAATGGCTAACACGGGCTAAATAAACAAGATTTAAGTTTACATGGGCCCAGGGCATATGGGCTGCAAATATATCCATTGTGGGCGGCATGTGGCCCGCGGGCCGCAAGTTTGACATGCTTGGTCTACAGTGTTCCTTTAAAAGTATATAGGGCAAAATCAAGAACAACAATCAGTACATTATATTGATCATGAGATGGCAACAGAATATGTCACCATATTATTGATCCTTATCAGCAAATCAACTGTTATAAATATGGATCGATGAAAATTAATGTAAATTTAATATGACTGAATGGTTGAAAGGAATGGGACATTTAAACCCAGATCTTATTTTATGTTCTGTAAGCACACTGTTACAAAATGCTAAAATGACAGATTTTATAAGTAAAATCACGTGCACAATGAACTGAAATTTGAAAACATAGAACAGCACCAGCTATGTCGCTACAATTCTCCTACCTGTTCGCTGCAAATTTTTGACAGATGTATCCTCCCGGAATCTGCGTGACAATATAACCCCAAAAGAACGATCCATGTATCATGCCAACTGTTTCAGAATTCCAAGTGAACTTTGCTGGCTGTAAAAACATATAAAGATAGTGTAAGTATTATGCTTCCTATGTCAGCTAGTTGATAGTGGGGCATTGCGCTATGATGTTTCAATTATAAATATTTTAAATAACATGCCTATTTTTTTTACTTCATACTTCAATGGATCCCCAGTCACTCTTAAAGGGACACTCTAGGCACCACAACCACTTCAGCTCATTGAAGTGGTCTGGGTGCCAACTCCCATCACCCTTAACCCTGCAAGTGTAATTATGGCAGTTTTTATAAACTGCAATATTTACCTTGCAGGGTTAAGTCCTCTCTGGTAGACAGCCATTAGAGTGACTTATGGCTTCTTAGATGACTTTTGGTCGTCTAAATGATGCTGGACGTCCTCACGCTATGCATGAGGACCTCCAGCATCGCCGGAATCCCCATAGGAAAGCATTGAATAATACTCTCCTTTAAGGAGGTGTAATGCGCACACGGCCATTGCCGTCGGTGGAGGAGGAACGTGGGTGGAGCTAGGTTCAGGTAAGTGTCTGAAAGGGTTTTAACCCCTTCAGCGACATGGGATAGGGGAGTGGGAGGGAGGGGGGCACTCCAGGATCCTGTAGTGTCAGGAAAACTGTTTGTTTTTTTTCCTGGCACTGGAGCATCTCTTTAAGTTATCATACACAACACTTTAGCAAAGCTGTATTCTTACTGCACTGTATCCTCCACACCCAAATAACTATTTAGTTGATTTACCCCAATGAAAATGACTTTGCAAGGCAGGTGCTGTGGGCAATTGCTGCCTCTAGAGCAGGGCTGCCCAACAGGTAGATCCCCAAATGTTAAAGAACTACAACTCCCATAAAGCTTTGTCATTCTAAAGGCATGAAAAGCATCATGGTAGTTTTAGTTCTGCCTATGGGATCTACCTATGGGGCAGCCAGGCACTAGAGTTTAGTCCCACTGACCTGAGCAAACACAAAGCAACAGGACCAGTTGTCTGGCTTGATATTGAGGGGGGCGTGGAGTGTAACAATGTTAATTTATAAAAGTCATTATTTCAATTGAAATCTGCACTTGTTACAAAATGAAAAAAAGAGGACACATTCTTCACACATAAAGTACTTCTGTAAGCCTTAGTGCTTTAGAGGTCTAATGTATCCCTTTAATTCCCTAATGTATCTGCTTGAACTGGGTCTCCATCTTCGATGCTGGTTACACCTCTTCTAAACAAAGCAAATTAACAGGAACTCATAGAAAATTCAGCATGCATGCCCTTCATGGGGAGTGGGCAAAATATTTAAATAACGTTTTTTTTAAAAATTACGTTTTATTGGGATCCGGATTCAAGGGCTGAGTTTTCTGTGAGTGCCCATTAGAAACACAGAAACATAGAATGTGACGACAGATAGGAATCTTTCGGCCCATCTAATCTGCCCAATTTCCTATATACTTCCATTAGTCCCTGACCTTACCTTAAGTTTAAGATAGCCTTATGCCTATCCCACGCATGCTTAAACTCCTTCACTCTGTTAACCTCTACCACTTCAGCTGGAAGGCTATTCCATGCATCCACTGCCCTCTCAGTAAAGTAATAATTATTGATATTATTTTTATAGTCTCCTCCTATCTCCACTAATGTGGTTCCCTTATTGTCCTATTTAGGATATTAAATGATATCATTGTTAGTGCATAGCTCTTTTAAATTGGGTACCATTATGTGGATTTGACCTATTTAGGAGGGCACTATTTAAGTGCACGCTGCCATATACTCTGTAATTAACCCCATATGCGTGCAAACTCATTTGCTAATTTATGCATACTGTCATATAGTCATTTACCCATACAGGCACACAGTCAGATACACATTCATTTACCCACACAGGCACACAGTCAGATACACATTCAATTACCCATACAGGCACACAGTCAGATACACTTTCAATTACCCATACAGGCACTCAGTCCGATTCACATTCATTTACCCACACAGGCACACAGTCGGATTCACATTAATTTACCCATACAGGCACACAGTCAGATTCACATTCATTTACCCATACAGGCACACAGTCAGATTCACATTCATTTACCCATACAGGCACACAGTCAGATACACATTCATTTACCCATACAGGCACACAGTCAGATACACATTCATTTACCCACACAGGCACACAGTCAGATACACATTCATCTATCCACACAGGCACACAGTCAGATACACATTCATTTACCATAAAGGCACACAGTCAGATTCACATTCATTTACCCATACAGGCACACAGTCAGATACACATTCATTTACCCATACAGGCACACAGTCAGATACACATTCATTTACCCATACAGGCACACATTCAGATACACATTCATTTACCCATACAGGCACACAGTCAGATACACATTCATTTACCCATACAGGCACACAGTCAGATTCACATTCATTTACCCATACAGGCACACAGTCAGATACACATTCATTTACCCACACAGGCACACAGTCAGATACACATTCATTTACCCACACAGGCACACAGTCAGATACACATTCATCTATCCACACAGGCACACAGTCAGATACACATTCATTTACCATAAAGGCACACAGTCAGATTCACATTCATTTACCCATACAGGCACACAGTCAGATACACATTCATTTACCCATACAGGCACACAGTCAGATACACATTCATTTACCCATACAGGCACACATTCAGATACACATTCATTTACCCATGCATGCAGAGTTATTTAACACAACATAAAAAATGGGAAAGATTTAGCACTGGAAATACTGATGAAGTAGACAGGCAGTTTAACAACTCAAACCGGAGGGTTTTCATGAAACCCTTTTATTTGTGAAACGCGTTAGTGTATATAGGATGTTTTGTTTTATTCATTGATGTCCTTGGACATAAATCAAACCTGTGATTATTAACACCCAGTAATAAAGTAATTAAATGCAAGTACTTTCACATGTGGATGCAGACTATTTCTGGAAATATAAAAAAAAATTTTTTAAAATAATTCTTTAAATTAAAACAAATATAACGTTTCCTTTTTAGAATTCTATAGTAAGACCCTACCTTAAATACACAGTGAAAGGGAAGGTATTATTTATATAATATAAACAAATAAATATAAAGAAAAAGTATAAAGAAAAAACAAGGCTATAAAAGTAGCATTTGTTTATACTTGAAAAAACTTCAAGAGAATATGATAGAAAGATTCATATATATCAGGAAAATACAAATATCTGTCTAGTAACATGTTCATTAACGGACCTCTCCAGACAGCCCTAGAAATCCTTTGAAATCTGAAAAAAGCAATTTCACCTTCTGCAGCATTAGAGCTCTCCACAGTAAGAACAATAAGCAAGTATGTAGTGTCAAATGCCTATGAAACAACTGTCTGTATACCTTCTGTAACAGCGAAGATATACAGGACTATGAAGAGCAGCTGGCATTTCATTAAATAGCCTTTTAATTCCAAGAAAGGACTTCTTCCCAATTTCTTTAGGCAAGCTGGAGATCATTTCAATGTGGGTTTATTATCTTCTTTTTTATGAACAAAAACAACATGGATTGGCGACAAGGCTGAACTGTCAAAATGTTCAGAAACTGCAAAGTTTCACATTGTTAGAGACAAGGGACCTAAGCCACCGCTATATTAAGACTGCACTACATCTGTAAGATCAATTTTGTTGTCTTTAGAATAAAGCAAATACAAACAAACATATGATTCCACTGGTGTTTTTATTCTACAGCCATGAATTCCCATAATTAACAGTAATGCAATAAAAAAACTCCCTGCATAGAGTTCTTCACAGGATCGTGATTAGTAATAAATCACAACTGTTTAGTGTAACACATGTCGACATTCACCCTTATAATTACTTTTTTCATTAAGTAATTAAGATCATATTAAGATACTACTCTGTCACCATGACAATGTCACTGAGCAGAATTTGTGTTTTTCTTTATTTTCGTCTGAGCACGGGAAGCTGTAAATAATAATGAGCAGGGCTACTCTTTGACTACAACTTTTTTATGATTGATATAATCATATGATTGGGTGAGTCTTCATTTTCCAAATTCACCAATACCAGAATTTGCCAATAAAGAATGTCAGGTCCCCTGCCCCTGCGCCGCTCGCGGCGTCCTTGCTTACCCCATCACCTCGAGCGGCGTCTTCTGGTTCCTGTCCACAGCTTGCGGCTGTCCCTGCTGCCACTCCCCAACCTGACATTGTTTCTGACGCTGCACGCTCCAAGGGAGCTTCCTTATATCTGTGTCAGACCCGGTCATGTGACCAGACACATAGTGATGACCTCACTGATCACAAGAGAGGGAAAAGACATCTCCCACGTCTTGTTATTAACACTAATTGGAAGTTAGCCAATCAGACATACCCTGTGTGTATATAAGTTTACCTCCCCCTTGCCTCAGTGCCCTGTTGTGGTCTTTCATAGCCCGATAGCGCATTTGTATTGTGGTTCATTCTCTGGTTACTGACTTCGGCTTGTACTCTTACTACTCTATCTCTTTGCATAGCCCGGCCATTCTAAGGATCGGTATTACAATATCTGTGTGTCTGTGATCTGTCTGCGTGTTTGGGTTCCCCTGGTAATCGTGGCATTGACACTGAAATATCAGTCACTCATTGGCGGAGCAATCAAAAGAGTGGGAGTTCTATTTGTGATTGAGCCATTATGTTTTAGTGTCTGATGTACTTGGAACCAAAGTAACCCTTTATATACCTGATGATCTATCTGAGAAACACAAAACCTCTATTTCCTGCCTTTAATTGGACACACTGTCTCCCATATGGTATTATGTTGCGTATGACATATCCTGAAACCATTTGGCTAATAGAGATATGTGCATGATTGAAAACAAGGAAGGTAATTCTGTCCTTTTCATCAGCAAATTATTATATGGTATCTTTATCCCCTTATCGCCCAACAGAAAATGATGCAGGCAGAACGAATACACAATTTTGAAAAGAAATGGATGATAGCAATATAGTGTGTTTGGGGTCAGATAACTGACATTCCGACCAAAGGGGCATAAAGATGGTTATCAGAAAGGATTGCGGGAAAGGTAGGTATGTGATTTATTCAAGAATTGTAATATACGTAAAATTAAATAAAAATAATCAGTTGGTATATCATAGTATACAGATGATATTGAGAATTACAAAAAAAAATAGTGTGGTCCTATGTCTATAATTGAGTTCTCAGGTTTGGGATAGAGCAAAGAAAGAAAGGGGTGCAGTTGCATATAACTCCTTCACCGTCAGCTAAGTGGTTTCACACAAATATCAACTAAAACACTGCATTAACCACTGAATCACCCTAATAACATAAATGGTGAAATTGGATGTTTTTTTTTGTATGTTGTAGTTGGCCAGTAAAATGCAAGCCACGTTTGCCTGTAATATGTTTCATTATATGACATATAGATTTTTTTTTATTTATGTGAATGCTGTGATCCTGTGGAGTAAGCCATTTTCCTGTATAGGACCTATGGGAAATGTAGTCTGAAACAGTTACTATAGAACAAAGTGACACTCACCTCCACCTCTTCCTTGCCCTCCTTAAATACTGTGTTGTTGTTCACCATGCTGACAATGGCCACACCAAGGTTGCATCTGATACCAAATGAGATGCAGAAACCCAAACCACTCATGATAGCGATGATGTAACGACGGGGGAGCCCAAAACAAGTGCAATCAACCATAGGTTGGCGTTTCTGATCTTTGGTAACAGGTCGTCCATCTTCAGTGAGCTCAATGGTTTCTCCATTTGCTTGCCTTTTCTCTAATATCCTGCGAATGAAAAGAGATAAGATAAATGATGATGTCAGTCTTTACTCAACCAGATGACATTATTAAAATGCTAAATAATATGAATACATGTAGCCGCACCTTTCATTTAATAGGATTATACTCAAAAGTGTCAGGATAATAGAAATTTACAACATGCAGATATAGAACAGTTCAAAGGACAGTAACATAGAAACATAGAAACATAGAATGTGACGGCAGATAAGAACCATTCGGCCCATCTAGTCTGCCCAATTTTCTAAATACTTTCATTAGTCCCTGGCCTTATCTTATAGTTAGGATAGCCTTATGCCTATCCCACGCATGCTTAAACTCCTTTACTGTGTTAACCTCTACCACTTCAGCTGGAAGGCTATTCCATGCATCCACTACCCTCTCAGTAAAGTAATACTTCCTGATATTATTTTTAAACCTTTGTCCCTCTAATTTAAGACTATGTCCTCTTGTGGTAGTTTTTTTTTTTTTTTAAGTAAGGACAGTACTGATGATGGTATAATCGGTCTTTAGAGGTTGACAGGTTTAACGTAGTATAGAGAGAGAAGAGACAAAGAACAAGCCAAAGTCAAGGTAGTATAGATAAGCTACAATACAGGTAAGCAAGCCAAGGTCAGGATTAGAGAGTTTAGGAAAGTCAAAACAAGCCAACGTCAAAAACGAAATAATCAGAAAATACTGAACACACTCTCTGGCTATAACAGACCACAATAGCACACAGGCCTGTTGAACAGTGCGTTTATATAGGGTTAGCATCTAATGTCATCAGAAAGATGACAGAATGTCAAAGATGTGCGACACCAGATTTCTTGGATCACTTGGGCTATCTAAGGGTGAACAGCTGCATTGTTCCACGTCGTTCTTGACGCTGAAAGGATGCATGACGTCATCGGTGTGTTGCTGGATTGGAGAAAGACAGATCTCAATATTTTTGACACTGCAACAGTGCACTCCGTCATTACTGTATTGCACATCAGAGAATGCCGCATCCAAAGCAAAGCTGCACAGTGTGGTGAGAAACAGAGTAACCGGCACCAAAGTGGGCACAGCATCACAAAGAATGGGCAAATGATGTTGGCACAAAGACAGTGAATAAAAAGAAGAAAATTATTATTTTTATTTTACAATGGACCTTTTCATAATTCTTAATTTTTGATGTGCTTGTTTTTAGAAAGAACAATGGTACAAAAATATATAAGTTGGCATAAGAGTTAACAGTTCCATTACTGGATTTGTAGAAATGGTAAACAGCACAATTTTAATAATTTAAGACAAGAGAGCCTTAATGCAGAGCTAAATTAACAAGCGAGATGGTAGTGAGAAAAGCTAAAGCACTGCAAGTAACTTCAACTGCTTAGAGTGTAGTGAGAATAAATCAGGTATATGACAGGATTAACAGTAGTCATCTCTACTTCATGCAGCCCAGACCATGAGAAAGTCCCCCAGACATCTCAGGCTCAGCCAACCCACGATCTGTAAGGCCTTTAGCATGACAGGAGTGAGTCCAGCATTATGTGTGATGAGAGGGGTGAGTGCCCTCCTAGTGTGTAATCCCTTGCCTGTACCCAATCTTCCACCGGAGTCAGCTGTAAAGCAGGAGTGCAATGCAGGTCGGCAGGGGTAACAGTGATGAGGGACTGGGTAGCAAGTCCCAACTGCACATTACAGCAGGAGCTGGGAATCCCACATGTTCATTGAACGGTAAGTAGTAATTTAGCTGTGTTGAGGAGCCTTTCTGCCATCAGGAAGGCTGCAAGAATGCTGATCAGCTGTGGCATGGTGGTCTCTGACTGTGCCACCATCGCAGGTTCCCCACCTCTGCCATTTTGGTTATGGGGAGGGCTCCTTGGCATTGGTGCCGCAGATCACGGAGACAGTCTCCTGGGAATGGGATGACACCCACCGGTCCAGAGGGCGGAGCGATTATGGCCCAGAAACGTGTCTCCCCCGCACCGACCATGCTTGTAGAGTGCAGAGGGTAATTGAGCAGTTCTGCAGGAATGACAACAGAAAAAGGTATCCCTGTGGGCACCACGATGTCCTCTGGCACATAGTGAACAAGGAAAGCCAGATTATGCCATATATCTGTAGATAATTAGTATAAATCAGTTGATCATGCAGGAGCTACTGTGACTTGAGTCTGCTCAGCTCTGCGGTCAGGCCCCGCTGCCCCTCAATGGATCTTTTAGATCAGATACACTCACAGATGCTGGATTTGTTTTTATTAATTTTTGACTAGAGCTACAGTCAATGGAGAAAAATGTCCAGGCACTCCAAGGTTTAGATCAGCATTTTATTGAACTACAGTGTCCAGCAGCAATGTTTCGACCCTAGGGTCTTTTTCAAGCTTGATGACACCAGCTTTGGTTGCACCAAGGCTTTAATATGGATTGAGTGCAGTCCCGCCTTTTGGCTTTTGTTATACTAGACCTACAGTCTAAAAAACTGAAGCCTTGAACTGCCTGTCACTTCCTCCCAGCTATCAGAGAGCCGCGCAGAGGAAGGAAGGAGTCAGACTCCCATCAGGCTGAGTCCCCACTGGACCCAGGGAAAGTCACCCTCCTGCAAAAGGAAGGAAACAGGAAACATTTTGTATGTGTGTGTGTGTGTGTCTGTGCCTCTGTATGTATGTGTATTTGTGTGTGTGTCTCTGTGTATGTGTTTCTGTATGTATGTGTGTGTGTGTATGTGTCTGTGTGTATGTGTGTATGTATATGTCTGTATGTGTGTGTGTCTGTATCTCTGTATGTATGTGTCTGTATGTGTGTGTGTATGTATGTGTCTGTATGTATGTGTCTGTGTGTATGTCTGTCAGGGTGTGTGTGTATGTGTCTGTATGTATGTGTGTCTCTGTATGTATGTGTCTGTATGTGTGTGTGTGTCTCTGTGTGTGTGTGTTCCTGTATGTATTTGTATGTATGTATGTATGTGCATATGTGTATATCTGTTGGGGGGGCGTATGTGTGTCTGTCTGTATGTGTCTGTATGTATGTGTGTATGTGTCTGTAGGTATGTGTGTCTGTATGTATGTATGTGTGTATATATGTATTTCTGCCATGTGTCCTATTAAATATGATGGGTGAAGCATTACATGTATGTGAATGGTGTCACATGTGTATCTATGTACAATGCCTCTTCCTTTAAAGCAAATGAAGGGGTAACCACATGTTGCTCTACATTTAATGCTCAGATGGCTCCTTTTAATTCCAATGTGGAAACCTTGCTTTTGTAATATTGGTCTCTGGACATCTGGGTATTAAGAAAACTAAGGACCGCCTTACCCAGACGTTCTTCTGGCCAGGGATATCAAAAGATTTGCAGACGTACTGCAGGACATGTGACACATGTCAAAGGATAGGGAAAAAGGGGGACCACCCTAATGCCAAGTTACATTCCCTACCTATAATAGAAGAACCATTCTACAGAGGGGCAGTAGACCTGGTAGGGCTCAACAAACCCAGCTCCTCCGGAAAGCGCTACCCACCAGGTACCCCGAGGCTGTGGCGCTCTCCAAGATTGAGGCGGAGACGGTAGCAGAGGCTCTAGTCAGGATCTTTTCCCGAGTAGGATTTCCCTAGGAAATACTTTCAGATCAAGGAGCGGAGTTCACGGCAACTGTAACTCAACAGTTGTGGCAGAGCTGCGGGGTGAAACCGTTATTTAGCTCCCCCTACCATCCCCAGACCAACGGCCTCTGTGAACGATTCAACTGCACGCTTAAGCAGATGCTCACAGCGTTCACAGAGTCATACGGTCAATGGGAGAAATTTCTACCCCACCTCCTGTTTGCCTACCGGGAAGTACCCTAGGCGTCCACCGGGTTCTCCCCCTTCAAACTCCTATATGGGAGAAAAGTCCGGGGACCCCTGGACCTCATACGGGAGCACTGGGAGGGCAACACAGGAGAGGAAGGGATCCCAGTCTTGCCATATGTGCTGGATTTCCGGGACCGCCTGCAGGCACTGACTGAATCAGTTCGGGAGAACCTGCAGGCGGCCCAGAAACAACAGAAACAATGGTATGACCGGGGGGGCACAAGATAGGACCCTGGAATTGGGGCAAAAAGTATTAGCCCTCAGACCTTCCAAAAAGGACAAGCTACAGGCAGCTTGGCAGGGGCTAGTTAAAGTGGTGGAACGGATTAGCGACACCACCTATATTGTAGCCAAATGTTCAGATGAAAGGATCAGACGAGCCTTTCATGTGAACATGTTGAAACCATATTCCGCTATCTGTGCCCCGTCCACTGATGATAGTGAAGGACTCCCCTTGCCTGACCTACTGGCAGCTAACCAACCTTAGAGCAGGTTGGGTTAGGGGAGAAACTAGACACCACACAGCAGGCAGACGCAAAACAACTGCTCCAGGAATACGGTGGGCTGTTCTCGGTCCTAACTGGGGACACCTCCACCACAGTGCACTGGGTAGAGACGCAGGGGGAAACCCCATTACGGCAACAACCGTACCGTATTCCGGCAGCAGTACGGGCCAGCATGTGGAAAGAAATCCAAGAAATGTTGGAATTAGGAGTTGTTAAGGCTTCCCAAAGTCCCTGGGTGTCCCCGGTGGTTTTAGTTCCAGGGCGAGACGGTACGACTCGCTTTTGTATTGATTACCGGAAATTGAACAACCGGACTATCACGGACGCATACCCCATGCCACGGAATGACGAATTGCTCTATCGCATGGCCAGTGGGCACTTCCTAACTACCCTGGACCTGTGCAAAGGATATTGGCAAATCCCGCTAGACTCGGCCTTCATCCCTAAGTCGGCATTCGTCATCCCATTCGGGCTATACCAATTTCGGGTTATGCCTTTTGGGATGAAGAATGCCCGGCTACATTTCAACGGATGGCGGACCGACTTCTGGATGGAATGCAGGACTTCGCATGTGCCTACCTAGATGATATTGCTATCTATATCGGCACATGGGAGGCTCACCTGACACACTTGGCTACGGTATTTGGGAGGTTACAAGAAGCCGGCCTCACCCTAAAACCCGAGAAATGCCATGTGGGTATGGCAGAGGTTCAATACCTGGGGCATAGAGTAGGGTCTGGGAAACAGCGCCCCGAACCAGCCAAAGTAGAGGCCATAGCCAAATGGCCCCAGCCCTACACCAAGACGCAGGTATTGGCCTTCCTAGGCACAGCAGGGTATTATAGAAAGTTCGTCCCTGAGTATAGCACCCTAGCAAAACCCCTCACCAACCTGACCAAAAAGTCCCTACCCAAGCAGGTAGCATGGTCCCCAGAGTGTGCAACGGCGTTCCAGAGCCTTAAAACTGCTTTGAGCGAAGCTTCAGTATTGACAGCCCCAGACCCTAATAAAACATTTCTCATTCATACAGATGCCTCCATGTTTGGGCTGGGAGCTGTGCTGAGCCAAGTGGGGGAAGATGGCATGGAGCACCCGTTGGCCTATATCAGCCATAAGTTATTACCACGGGAGGTCAGCTATGCCGCTGTGGAAAAAGAGTGCCTAGCTCTAGCATGGGCCCTAAAGAAACTCCAACCGTACCTTTATGGCCGTGCCTTTACCCTACTCACTGACCACAACCCCCTCATTTGGCTCAACTGAGACTCTAGAGACAATGCCTGGTTGCTGCGCTGGAGCCTAGCGTTGCAGCCCTACAATTTTACACTGCAATACTGCCCGGGCAAGCAGAACGGCAATGTGGATGGGCTTTCCCACCAAACCGTCTTGGATGTATAATTATGTTACCCGGACATCCCCTAGCCAACCCGGCAGGGTCTAGGCGGGTATGCCGACCCATGGAACTAAGGGGGAGTATTGTGAAGAAAATAGACTTAGTTCAGTATTTTCTCCTATGTTCTGGCTTTTTCTGCAGTATTTTGTGCATGTTGAATCTATTGGTTCGGTAGTTTTGTTCATACGGACAAGGGGAGCAATCGCTCCTATAAGCCAGGAGGATCCATTCGGGACTTTTATTCATTTTATGCCTTTTTCTGAATTGACCGACCGCACATGCTGAATTCGTGGAACTGTTTTGGGCAGGAGACTCGTGTGTGGTCGGTAACTTGTGACTTTTTAAAAACCCCTGAACCGATCTGGGTGAAATTTGGATATGTTGTTCCCCCAGATCGGGGCTATCAGGGGATATGTGGGGATACCTTGTGTGGAAAGGGGTGTTCTAACTTTTGGGGAAATTGTGTGCCCTCTGCCTGGAGATAATTGGGTTATTCCTTAACTTATCTCAATATCTCCCAAGCAGAGAGAGGGTGGGGGTTACTGTAAAGCTGTATGTTGATTGGTTATTGTCTTTGTTTACTGTGGGAGGTCCTCTTGCAGGAGGATTTCTCATAAAAGCCAGTGTGTTATCAATAAACTTCATTCCTGTTACACCCTTCATGAAGTCTAGGCTCATGTTTGGGGAAAATTCTATTTGCTGGGGAGTATTAGCACAATTTACTAATACTAAGTCATTTTTACTTAGTATTAGTAAATTTGGCTGAAAGACCAATCTAGGTCTTTCAGCCTTTTGGTAGATAACTCCCTAATACCGTGGGAATTAGGGAGTTATCTACCAAGCGGCTGCAAGATAAGTCCTGAAATTCCGAAGTCCCGAAGTCCTGAAGTGCCGAATTGCCGTAGTGCCGAAGTGTTGAAGTGCCAAATTGCCGAAGTGCCAAATTGCCAAAGTCCTGAATTTCGGAATGCCGAACCGAACCGAAAATGTTTCCCATGCACATGCCTATTGTATGTTATTGTCTGTTGTTTGGATGCTTGCCAAGTCTCAGTTTGAAAGGACATTCCTAAAAGTGGACTTCTGCCCCATTATCAATAGAAAAAAAGAATAGTGAAAACACAGGTTTCAATAAAAGCAGGTAAGAATGCATAGTATTTCAGTTATGTACGAGCTACTTTGAATGGTAGAATGCCATCTTCATTTGTATTCATGCCACCAATGATGCTTACTGTGTCACCAGCAATTCAGCATGAATTAAAAATGGATTCCCTCCAGGTCTAGAGCCCCTTTTTGAAATGTTATATAATAATAAAAATGCAATCCATTTATAAAACATGAACAGAGTGACAAGAGATTCTTCCTGCGCTATGGTTCCACTAAAAACAGAGATATCCATGCCCACAGGTCACATTGATGTTAAAACTGAATTCTAAATTTAGTTTTAAGCTGTTAGATAACTTTTCAGCAGCATTTATAGTGTTTAAAAAATTGTTAATTAACAGCTGTGAATTTTCACAGCTCCACATTACAGCTGTAAAAAAAAACAAAAAAACTCACAATCAGGAAAAAAAAATTATTACTTCTCCTGGATAAACGGTGTGTCCACAGCTTGAAATGATTGAACAGTTCAACGTCTATGGAGTGATTAAGCAAATCTATATATTTCCAGTCTATTTTTTTTTTGTGTGTAAGAATAAACAATAAGTAGTCTTAGTATTTAGGGGATCTAGGTAGTCTTTTGGGCAGTGAATAGTATGGAGTCTACATTTCAGACATTTATTCCATGATTTGACAGCTTTGCAGATTTGGGTGTCTACTGAGGACACTTATCTGCATCTGCATCAGACTATGCTAGAAGAAGGACTAGATCACTAGACAGAACTTAAATCATACAATAAATATGGGTCTAGTAGCACACGGGCAAGTAAAATATGAGAAAAAATTTCTTTGAAAAAGCATAACCCTCATGTCAATGCCAAGTGCTATAAAACAGTAGGAAATAACAAAGTTAAGATGACAGAGTAGATAGGGAAATCAAAATAAAATAAAACCAAATGCATACAGTATACTTTAGTAATGCATTTATAGTTGAACAGTTTAGGATTTTGTATAATTATATACAATATTATTTAACAAATCATGTTCAAGGAATGACACAAGGGGTGTCATTATTATTATTATGTTATTATTTATGTAGCGCCAACAAATTCCTCAGCGCTTTACAGTGGGTGGACGAACAAACATGTAGTTGTAACCAGACAAGTTGAACACACAGGAACAGAGGGGTTGAGGGTCCTGCTCAATGAGCTTACAGGATAGAGGGAGTGGGGTAAAGTGACACAAAAAGGTAAGGATAGTATTAGACTAATGACAGTTGCCAGACAGGAATCAGTCTGGCGCTATTAACAGTTTAATTGATACGCTTTTATGAAGAAGTGGGTTTTTAGTGATTTTTTTTGAAGGAGTTGAGACTGGGTGTGCATCCAACGGAGGAGGGAAGTGAGTGCCACAGGAATGGCGCAGCCCTCGAGAAGTCCTGAAGGTAAGCATCAGAGGTGGGAGTACGGACAGAAGATAGACGTAAATCTTCGGCAGAGCGTAAGGGCCTAAATGGGACATACTTGTGTTTCAGGGAGGATAGATAGGTGGGAGCAGCGTTATGTAGAGATTTGAAAGCAAGAACCAGATTTTTATTGAGTCCTATATCTTACAGGAAGCCAATGTAGAGACTGACAGAAGGGTGAGGTGTGGGAGGTGCGGGCGGACAGGAAGATGAGCCTCGCCACTGCATTGATTATGGACTGTAACGGCGCAAGCTAGGAGCACGTAAGACCACTGAGAAGCAGATTACAGAAGTCAAGGCGAGAAAGGACAGTGGAATGGACCAGCGCCTTAGTAGCATAACAGTGGGCTGTGAGTCTTACCTTTACAAATCTTGGTTAAAAAATTTTGGGAGGAAAAAAAATCACTTGCAAGGCACAGACAGGTATAAAAAATAAAACATAAGGGGAATGCTTAAAGAAAATGCTCCAGGCATCTAAACTACTTTAAGGGGTTAATTTGCTGAAGTTCTTTAGATATAATGTTCATGTCTCTGTAGATTTAGATTATAAAAGTGTTATTTTTTAAGAGAGTGCTATAGTACGATTGACTGGTCCGGTTCACAGTTTTACGTCACTATGAGCAATTCATTTTTTATTGCAATGTGACATCAAGCTGGGAAAACGTAGATTTGAAAACATAACCTGCGCATTGAAACAGCAGGCATAGCATATATTGTACACATTGTTTAAACCACCAACAAACAAATTAAAAAAGCTTTGCTCAGCCCACGAAAAAATACTTTGCTGAGCAGGTGAAAAATACAGCGTTTGATATGCAGAGATCTTCCTGCCTCAGCTCTAAGCCTATGACCAGTTTGATAGGAAGACACTTCACATCTGAGAGCTGGGGTTAATATATCCTTCAAATGAGGCAACCACATCTTAATTGATGAACACGGACTGCAGTCACGTCTCTGCTCCAGCAACTGCAAATAGACCATTCTATTAAATCTGTGAAGCAGGATTCACCTTGTTACAACTAGCAAGCTGTCTGAACTGAAGGTTACATTGTATTCTCTACAAAAGACCAGCAGGTTACATTGTATTCTCTACAAAAGACCAGCATTATTAATATTAGCCTGTCTAGAACTTAATGTATGCAATATTAAAAGAGCACTACACGCACAATAACCACTACAGCGCACTGGCTATTAGTAGTAGTCAAAATGTTTGGGAAGGGGATGGCGACTTACGTGAGGCCACTAGGTGCTGGTCATCTTCCTCAGGAGACCAGAAGCTACATCCACACTGTAGTAGTAATGTGAACAGAACTTTCCACAGAGTTGGACATAAATAATGCAAACACATACCTGGTAATCAATCACCCTTGGTAAATTATGTCAAAGTGTAGTTAAAGGGACACTATTGGCACCCAGACCATTTCATCTCATTGTAGTGGTCTGGGTGCACAGTCCTTGTCCCTGAGCCCTGCAATGTAAAACTACAATTTCAGAGAAAGTGCACTGTTTATATTTCAGAGTTAAGACTGCCTCTAGTGGCTGCCTATCAGACAGCCATTAGAGGGGCTTCCTGCTGTTTAACTCCATGGAACAAAGCTGGATGTCCTTTGCATGAGGACGTCCATAGTCTTGCAAAACCCCATACGAAAGCACTTGCCTCGCATGCACATTAGGTTGCCCCGTTGGCTGCCTCAGAAGAGGAGGAACTCAACCCAGCACTGAGGGACCTCGGCTCTGGAATTAGGTAAGTGTTTAAAGGGATATTTAACCCTTAGGTAACGAGGGAAGAGTGCCATGTAGGCAGAGGGACACTGTAGTTTTAGGAATACAGTTTTGCGATCCTTTAAAATGTACCCAATTTAGGAAAATGAGGAGAAATTATGTAACCCATTATATATCAACTGTTTTATGTTTTAAAAAAGGAGACCAGGCTTGACCAATTATGGAAATTGTGGCTAGTTGTGGAAAGACTGTATTATAGTGCTGCATCTAGCTCAGTTGCCATGTACCCTTCATAAACTAAACTAATCTCTACAGTTACTGCTCAGGTTTTTACACTATCATTAAAAGTTTCACATCACTACTAAGCTACACCTATCATTACTGGACAGATTTATACATTTCTAACAATACTACACTACTTATATCATTCCTGGATAGGTGTATAATGTTACTACACTGCAGCTATCATTACAGAAAAGGTTTATAACATTACAGGGGTTATTAAGGTCACAAATGCAACCAGGCCCTCTGTGTTCCACCTGTCACAGGGAGCCCAAGAGCTGACCATCTTAGTACGCTCAACTAGGCAGATGGCTATGCGCTAAGATAGAGTAGGTACCTGCTTACCCAGATGGAAGGTGCCTACTTTGCCAAAGCAAAGCGGAAGCTCCCTCGCGTGCCCTACAGTGATGCTAGTAGCCAGGATTTGAAGTGACTCCAGCATCACTAAAAGGCGCACAAGAGAGCAGTGCTGACGAGCATGAAGATCGGAGCCTCACCAAACGCCAGCGAGAGGATCCACTCCAGCTCTTTCAAAAGTAGAGGCTGGGGGTATCACAAAAAAGTAAAAAGCTATAAATAAAATGACTTCATTAGTGTGTATAAGAGAATGTGTATGTATGTGAGTATATGTCAGTGTGTGCCAGAGTGAGTAAAAGGGAGTGTCTTTTAGTGATTGTGTGTTATTGTGTGTCTGTATCACTGAGAGTGTGTCTCTGTCAGTGAGAATATGTGTATCAACAAAATATATACATAATGGCTCTTGAACCTGACGAAAGTCCCTGTGTGGACTGAAACGTTGATCTATCTGGAGATTATGATTTTGGAATAAAGAAATACCTTTTATGGAAAGACCGTAAGTGCAGCCAAACTTTTGACTATTTTTGTGTCACAGAAGCCTTATGGGCTGGCAGCCAGCAAACTAAAAAATTGAGCCTGAGTGCAAGGATTTTTCATTGTGTGTGTATATATATATATACATAAACAAACATACACACTATATATGCACATGTATGTATTATTAATAAATGTATATTATATTAGTGTTTGTAAAATAGGGGTATGTTACACTGTTTAAATTCAGTCTATACATTGTGCTAGTAGAAATGCTAGCAAATCTATAGATTTTAAATTAAAGCTCTTTAAAATAGAGTCCTTCCCCCACCTGTCAATGAAATCCTCAATATTAAAAGCTGACACACAGGGTCACAGATTGAGTTACAGGTTTTTTTCTTGATCCCTGTCACTGTATTATCCACCAGCTGGGGGAGTATGGGATGTCCTGCAAACATTGCAAGCAAAAAGGGGAAATAGCAATATTGTTAAATTTTTCCTCCTCTCTATTTGATTTCTCTATGCTGACTGCCAGGAGCAAGACAGAGTTTATAAGAACGATTGGCAGGGAGCTAAGATTGAGGCACCCAGTTGCAGGATAAACAGATGTGAATTATTACATGTAATTAATTGTTTTTACACCTCACAAATACATATATGTTAAACATTGAGATATGTAAACATAATATAAAAGATTCTGGGAATTTTTATTTTCCCTTTAAACAACTAACCTAGCTTTAATTTAATAAATGACTTAATAAATAGCTGATAGCAGACTTGTAATTGTTTTAAGATGTAGCCAACTGTAACCAAACTCAGTAGGGGGACTTTGCAACCAATATTTCATTAGTAAATAGCTGCATTTTCTACAGGATGGATATTTTTGGCAGTATTTGTCAAGTTGGTTGCATAGTCAGTGGGATTCAATCAGGGACCCTTAATCACTGATCTGTGTATAAATATTTTGCAACCACGTAACTATCTTTCAAATGAATTTGCAAATTTTAGGAAGGAACACTAATAAATGTCAGCTATTAACTTTGCAGGCCAAAAGTGAGATATAATATAATAAATACAAAAAATAGATACTATTCCAAATATAATTACTCCATCCCAAACAACATTCCCATGTACAATCATTTGTATTGCCAAATAAAAAAAAATGCAAAATGCGCAAAATTAACGATTTGCTAATACACAAAGCGTTCTTATTGGGTGCCAGGTATCAAATAATAAGATGCAGTGCCAGCATTTAAACACACAGAACAAACTGTTCAATGTCACTGAATGAGTAACACCGTAGGGATACCTGGCAGCTAAAACTAAAATAGAATAAGAATATATGCAATTTATTATAATACATTTATGTATATTATAATGTATTTCAATTGACTAATCATCTGGAATTCCAGACCACCCTCTCTCAGATTATTCTTATAATACAAAAGTTGGTAAAACAAAAATAAAATGTAGAAATATATAGATGATAGATAGATTATTTTTACATGTGTGTTTTAATCATTTAAAAATGTTGCCATTAATCAGTTTTGTATCCACTGATCTGTTGTTGTTGTCTGGTACCCAAACAACCCTTACATCAGTGGCTAATTAGCACACCTGACTCCTGGTCATTGTGCAAAACCTTCCATTATATAATTGAAGAAACATTGCTTTTCCATTTCCAGCATTTTCTATTAAACTACAATTTTAAAAGGATTATATTGATAATACTTTACAAAACCAGTATTATTAAATATTGGAAATATATATAGTAAAACTTAAGGAGGTAGAACTTTTACAGTAATCCTTATCCTGTAATGTCCTTTTTGTCATGATGAAATATCTCAGCCAGTGCCTGATCTTTCATTGAAACCGACAAGGACGGAATATGCATTACATCTGCCGTACTAATAAATGTAAACCTTTTTTCCTGCATAACTCCCATAAGTACTTCTTTTAGAAGTATGGTTCCTCTTCGAGGCCGATATCCTTTTTTCCTTACTAAAACGGAATGTATGCATTGTTTACATTAAAGAATAGCAATCACACAGGAAACAGGTGCTCCTCAAAAGACCTATGATAGCTCAAACCATCATTGGTCAATACAGGGTTAAAGTATCCCATAGGAGTTTTTATTCTGCCCTCATAAATGCTAGATGCCTCACTCATCTCTCTACCCAAGTGATGTTTCAGGTACGTGTCTGCTGAAGCCACATTAAGTTTCATAATTTCCTGCTGTACAAACGTACTATGCCCATGCATGTAGTTTATTATTTCAGTTCATTAATATTGTGTTTTTTGAATGAGATACTATTCATATAAAGGTACCTTCTTTTATTGAGAGGATGAATATTTTACAACCTATTTCAATATTTATCACTGCTCCAAATGTTATCTTACAACATAGGAGTTTTACCATATCCATTTTATCTTCTGACATAAATAAATTCTTTAAAACACCCGTGAGACACGTGTGATCATTCTACTCTTCCATTTCAACATCAGTTAAAGAAAATCACATTTAAACACATCTCTGATGACATGTCAAGACAAATACCATTTATAAACTTTACTGGCTAAACTTCAGGCGTATGGAAAAATATAACATATGTTGCAACATGAGGGTTCAAATAAAATGCAGGAGATGAGCAACCACCTCTGTTCTGGTGCAACAGGACAATTCACTATATAATAATTTACATACACAAGTCAAGTGGCCTTGCTAGCTTCCAAAAAAAACACCTGGAGCTTGAGCCCAGAGCAAAACTTGGTGACTCATACCTTAAAAGGACATGGATCATTTGACAATATTTTTTTAAAACCTGCAAGAAAACACTTTTGTACAACTATACAAACTAAAGTAATGCAAGAAAAGTTTAAAAAAGTATGTATAAAATGATTATAAACTTACTATAAACTTTGTCAGTTTCTTGTTCTGGTACATAACTCAGCTAGAGGAGTTTCTTCAACCTTCCCCACCTCTTCCCCACCTCTCAACCCCTAAATCACTCATCCAAACAAAGAACAAAGATTGATGAAAGTCAGGGAATCAATAATGACAAATTGATGCTCTGCGTTTCTGCATACAGAAAATAGTGTAACAAGTGATTGTGTTTGTGTGTGTGTGTGTGTGTGTGTTTGTGTATGTAGTATGCACACACACACACATATATACATGTTTGTGTATGTGTATATATATCCCCTTATCGGTCTCTCCGCGCTGCCCATGACTTTCTCCTATCTGCTGCTCGTACCCGTACAGCCAACTAACGCATGCAGGACTTCTCGCGGGTGTCTCCTTTCCTTTGGAACAGCCTGCCTATGACCATCAAGCTCTCCCCTAGTCTTCAATCATTTAAAAAGTGCCTCAAAACCCACCTCTTTAGGAAAGTTTATGTCCTCCCAGAGTAACCTCTTCCTCACATACCTGTCTCTTGCTCTCTCCTAAAGGGCACCACTCTACTCTCTCCTCCATCTCTGCTTCACTCCACCTTGTTTGATTGCTACTTCCTGTCCTGTTGTGTTTTACACCCCACCTTCTATAGACTGTAGGCTCGTTTGAGCATCGCCCTCTTCAACCTATTGTTCCTGTAAGTTTTTGTAATTGTCTCATTTATTGTTAAATCTCCCCCTTTGATAATATTGTAAAGCGCTATGGAACATGCTGGTGCAATATAAACACCAGTTATAACAACAGTAATAATAATATATGTACTTTTTGACACGCATAATCAGGGCCATTCCCGGACGGGTGCACGAAGTGCACTGCACTCAGACACCTGAAGGTGGGGGCACTGAGAGGACCCCTGGTACAGGGGGTACAGGAGGTGGCGAACCCCAAGAATTCAATAAGGCAGAGTAGGCACCTGCTTACCTAGATGGCAGGTGCCTACTCTGTTGATATATGACAGGGCGGGGGTAGAGGAGGCAGGAAGCTGGCAGAGGTGACGATGAAGTGTTGATCTTGCATAGAAACATGCATATCTTGACATTTGTAAATGGGGAGGAGATAGTAAGATGATTATGCTCTCATGGGGCGCCAAAAACAAATTTTGCACCCAAGCATCTGTGACCCTAGGATCAGACCTGCACATAATTTTACACATATACACACACATTTCCTTGTTTTTGAATGAAAAGTATTTTTTTGTCCATTAAAATAACATCAAATTGATAAATACAGCATGACATTGTTAATGTTAATGTTGTAAATGACTATTGTAGCTTGAAACAACTGATTTTTAATGGAATATTTACAGAAGGCATACAGAGACTTATTATCAGCAACCATCTGTCCCATGTTCCAGTGGCATGTTGTATTTGTTAATTCAAGTTTATCATTTAAAAGTCAAATTGATCATTAGAAAACCCTTTAACAATTATGTTAGTAGAGCTGAAAACTGTGCGCAATATAACTGGCCTTCATTAGACTACATGAGTATCTGGAGCATCAGCAATTGTGGGTTCCATTACAGGGTCAAGATGGCCAGAAACAAAGAACCTTTTTATGAAACTTGTCAGTCTATTCTTGTTCTAAGAAATGAAGGCTATTCCATGCATGAAATTACCAAGAAACTGAAGATCTCATACAACGTTGTGTACTACTCTCTAACTGAACAGCAACAACTGACTCTAGAGTGTCAAGTTTGAGAAATAGTTGCCTCACAAGTCCTCAACTGGAAACTTCATAAAATAGTACCGGCAAAACACCAGTCTCAACGCCAACAGTGAAGAGGCGACTTCGGGATGCAGGCCTTCTAGGCAGAATTGCAGAGAAAAAGCCATATCTCAGCCTGGCCAACAAAAAGAGAAGATTAAGATGGGCCAAATAACACAGACACTGGGCAGAGGAAGATTGGAAAAAAGTGTTATGGATAGAAGAATCTCAGTATGTGTATTCAGATTACAAAGAAGAACACTTGTGAAACAGACCAAATGAAAAGATGCTGCTGGAGTGCTCGCAAGCACTTCTGCACTCCTCCTGCAAGCATGATGGAGGCAACTTGATAGTCTGGGGGTGCTTTGGTGGTGGTAAAGTGGGAGATTTATATAGGATAACAGGGGCCTGAAGAAGGAATGCTATGTTTTGCATTGCCAAGCTCTACACTGTTGATTGCGCTTAATTAAATTCAATTTCCTTCTCCAATAGGACAATGACCCAAAGCACAGCTCATGTATATTTTTAGGGAAAATATGGAAATTTCCGAGAGACCACACATTTTTGAAAACCAGTCTATCTATCTATCTATCTATCTATCTATCTATCTACAGACACACATATACTTTTACACATAAACACTTTTACACACACTTTATACTGCAACATCCCTACCAGCTCACAAACCAGCAGATCTACCAGCAGGCCTCTCTACATTCCAGGGGCTAGCAGGACATCCAGGAGACTGGCGACCACAAGCAAATCCTTTAAATGCCACCATGAGATGCTGTTTTGGGGAAGTGCTCCTCTATTTGTATAGAGTTGATTTTTATAAATTACAAATCCCCACCTAGGGATAGGACACTGATTGGCTGTATCTGGAAAATTTGAACAACAAACAAATATCATACTTTCCTGCTTTCTTTGCTCACAGAATGAGACTACTGTCTCATTAAAAACTAAAGCTTTAGAATGAGACAGTTGTCTCAAAGTGATGAATGCCCCTTTAAGTATTCGCACTAGAAGCCATATCCCCACCTCTATACACAAATCTTGCCAACTATGTGAGCTAGGATGGCAATGAGGTAAATTGCCAGAAATAAAGAACCTGTGGCATTGCTACAAACTAAATGCAGTCCTAGATCCTAAAATAGATTATTATTATTTTAGATTGGATAGTTTTGTAAGAGGCATGATTATATACAATGTAGGATGTACTCCAAGTAATGTTCATGAGCTGTGTAAGCAACCATAATGACATTATAGGAATGTAGCTTCCAAAAATAAAAACAGGATAGATAGATGGATAGCTAGATAGATAGATAGATAGATGGTCAGAGTAGCCAAACTTAACAAAGACTAGGAGATTTTTTCCAGTTCAAATTTGAAATTCACTTCTATTTTATTTTGAATTTATTACCGGTAGTTCCAGGGTATATGTACAAATAGACTCTATTGAGAATCCATGTTTTTAATCATAGTGTATATGTAAAAATGTTATTATAAATCCTTGAAAACAACATTCCTTCTTCAAACAGCACCAATATATACCAAAGTGCTGTACAATTTTACAATAGGGGTATAAAATAGAAATTGCATTACAAATAATTTAATGTAAACAGCGATGCATAGGGCTCTTTTCTAATTACAATTCCCAAAAACCTATCCATTTTATAGGTCACAGGGAAATCAAATTTAGATCTTTGAAATGCATTATTTATGGTATTACCCAGTTATCAATCAATAAATAAATAAGTCAAACCAGAATAACCTATGTGGTGTGATAGATGGGTAGAGAGATAGACATACAAATAGGTAGACAAACAGATAGACAAACAAACAGGTAATAGATAGAAAAGAAAATGTTTTTCTGCACCAATTCTATTTTTTTCACAGCATTCATTTCAGATCCTGACGGTTCTTTTGCCTTATCTAGTCAGTATCCCTCAGACAGAGAGTTGTTAATTGAGTGTTTCATTAATTCTCGCCCTGCTGTGGTCCTGCTTTGCAGGCAGCGTGAACATATGGAGCTAGCACCAAGATCTTCACGAAGCGAAGCCGAGATATAGCAGCCCCCAATCTCATAAAATATGCAGTAGTGAAGGGAGTGTGTTCCCTCTTCTTGGTATAAATAAATAATTTCAGATTCTTGCAGGGGGGCAGCTCCTACCATGTAGAAGCAAAGATCTCCATTTGTTAGATTTAACTGTAGTTAGGCAGATTTTCCTCTAATGCTTTGCCTCCCATCTGCAACTTGGTCAGAATTTAAATGATGACATTTTCCACAAGTCTTACAATAAAGCTGACATCATAGCTCCATATTAACCCAAGGGATGATATTAAACTGACGTATAAGTAATAAAGACTATATCAAGACGCACAAATTTGGGCTGCTACCATAATTGATTTGTTACCGTGGTTTGGTGTCACAATAAGAAAACAGATTAACCAGCAGTCAATGGCTCTGTTGTTGAACATTTTGAAGCAATTATCTGTCTTTTCTCTCCTTTCACTTCATTCTACTGTTGGTGAACACAGATGTTTAATGTGAACATGATCTAAGACAAGGGTAGTCAACCTTCGACACTCCAGATGTTGTGGATTATATCTCCCAAAATGCTTTTACAGCCATGATGCTTACAAAGCATCAAGGGAGATTAAGTCTACAACATCTGGAGTGCCAAAGGTTGCCTATCCCTGATCTAAGAGGATGGGAGCTCTAGAGGTGTCAATGTAGTTCCCCGTGCCTCCCAAAATTGTGAAGAATGAACTTAGGACGTTGGTGGGCATGTCAGTGACAGCCTAAGTCACTGGTGATACCAAAAATGGGTGACCCTACCTAGAAAGGGGAGATGACTTGCGGAAGGGCCATGTTAGTTTGGTTTGAATGCCTACTAAGCTGATTGACAGCCCCCCTGGCCATCTTGATTTAGAGCAGACAATGCATCGAGAAGCTCTCTCTGCAAGGTCTTAGTGCCCTCATTTGATACAGTACAGTCGAGTCTAATGATGTTCTTGTGTTTTATTTGCTACGATCAGTTCTCTGGTGTTCCCAGATATCACACATATGAATGGTCGAAGTTTTGGCAGTCACCCCATTGGACCAGCCTTGGGACATGAAGACCAGAAAGGTGAGCAAAGGCAAAAGAAATTGATGCCACTGAATGTATAGATTTCCCTGAAATGGTTACAGCAATTTAAACTTAACATGCTATCTACTTGTTTCCATGCAATTCACTCCCTTTCATTTCACCAGGGCTAAAGATACTTATTATTTACCTTGAAATTGCATCTTAAATAATATAACACTTCTTTTTCATTCATATTAGTGCTTTCCGTAACTGCACTAAAGACAATGTAACTTTCACAAACAGTCCAGTGCAGTTTACAGAAACCATATCAGTTGCATCATGTTCACATTTTCGTGGAGTGTATGTTAGTTCCTTAAGATATAAAAATCCCTGGATCTTAGTTATACCCTTTCTATGTTAATACAAGGTAGAGAACATAGAGTTTTCACTGACAGCTAACGGTACTATCTCTTTCTAATCAGAATTCTGTAAGTGCTGTCTCTTCTTAAATGGACACTCTAAGCACCAAAAACACTTCATCTTAACAAAGTGATTGTGATACAAAGACTCTGCTCCTTTTCTCAGACAATATGAACTATTGCCATTTCCGAAAGCTAGTATTATTTGGCCAAAACTCACCTCTAGTGGCTGACTATCTGCACATGTTTCTTATTGAAGACCTTCAATTTTCAAAGGTCTTTGTTTTTGGCATTATCACACACAGCATGTTGATGGCAAATACAGACAATGCTTGAACATAGTGTTCATGGCAGATCATGCTGATTGTTGCGCATGAGATCATCGTGATTGATGGTCGTGCTGTGTACTGCAAAAAGGAGTTTGACTTTGAGCCAGATTGCAGGTATGTTTAGCGGAGCATTTTTGTAGTCAAGAGGGGTAAAAATCTACATTAAAATAGGAACACAACTAACTCAAAATTAAATATATTTATTTTTGACGATAGTGTTCCTTGAATTCATAAATTTTATACACTGTGCTTTCTTCTCTCCGTAAATCAAGACGACATGCCTTAAAATGTCCAAATCAATCACTAGCTGATCCTTTGGGATCATTCCTGGATCAGCCAAATAAATCTCCACATTGCGGACCACTGAATAAATGTGACTTTTCTTTCAGAACTGCCATTTGGTTTTTGAAAAGCATACCCTTTTCATTTGCTTTTTTGTAGATCACAGACTTTTGTAAGACCGTGCACCTTCTGCAACCGAAATTAGATTAGTCATATAATCAAATGAGGTGATGCTGTGTCCAAGTCCAACAAATTAGCTTTTTCAAATAACAAAACTGAAAATATTGCAATACTAAAATATTGCTGTTTGGAATATTGAATAATTCACAAGATATTGTATACGATGTTTGTAGATCTTTTAAAATAGTCATGCCCATGCAGCTAGGATATTTGTGCATCATTCTCTAATCCTGAACCTGTGAAAAATAGATCATCATAAATGCTTTTCTTGTTTGCATTTATTGCCTCGATAAACAGTGATATGTAACCTTGTATTGTAAGGGAATAAAAAAGTTAAGGCCCAAAAACTGAAATATGCTTGCGTTATGGTGGTGGTTTAATTTTTTTTTTTACCTATTCTATAGTAATTTGAGACAGAGTAGCACTCCAATTAAGATTCTACTAGCATCTCATCCATTACATATGTGCCACTTCTCAAATCCCAGAGAGGATTATAAATGGACGGAAAGATTCAGTGGCAAATAAGTAGTATTTTGTGAGTACTTTGTTGACTTTGTTCCAAGAGAATTTGCTGAGTTTAATATGTAAGTATTAAATATTAAAATATTTCTCTTTCTTTAATTCTGTGTATAAAATTAGGTTAGGACCAAGTAATAATTTTAAGTAGATGGGCTTAAAAGGACCCCAAATGCTGTAGCTAAGGCATTCTGTTTTTAAAGGGATACTTTAAGTACCATAACCACTACAGCATGCTCTAATGGTTATTGTGCCAGGAGTTCACTGGTGCTCCACTCTTTAAGAACTATTTGTTAATATAATTCACACATTTAGTGAACTTATCCCAAATTTCTTCTTGCACAGTGTGACGAAGTGCCCTTCGCCACTTGGTCCTGGAGAGGCCTGCTTGCCAGCCTCCTCCCCTGTGACTATGACTCTTTCCTGTATTTGGTTTTAAAGCCCCTAGTCTACCTTCAGACAGACTATTTATGTAGGCTGCATTATTTATCTTATGTTTTAGTCACCCTGTACCCATTATAGGTACAGGGTGTGTGTAATGTAATTGTTTATAGTGTGTGTGTGTGTGTACTGTGAAATGTATTGCCTGCTCTCCTGTACTGCTGAGGTTTGCTACCAACTAGGTGGGTTTGGCTATGGAGCTTGTCTAGTGCCCTCTGTTGGTAGCAACAGCAATATGCACTACCTGAATTGCAAGACTGGTTCATTTGCATATTCGGGTAGATTTGCATATTGCTAATTCTGCAGGCAGGTGAGATATTTACTGTTAAATATTGTCTCCCCCCACCCCTTTAAAAATGTGCCATTGTGTTGTGATAAGTCACTGTGTGTTTCTTGATATGGTTTGACTGTTTGTGATTTTATTGAGGTTTCACAACAATGTTATTGTGGTGACTGTATTGGCTGGTCCCAAGGGAATAAAGGTTTTGACAGTTCTTCTTGATCCCTCTAAATGTAGCCTTGTCTCGTTATTGGAGGGAGCTGTTCTAATCACACTGGGGATTGCTATGTTCTGCATGCTCCCCTGAGCTTGAGTCACTTAGCTCTTTTAAGAGCTTGTTCCTGACACGCTCTCCTTGGAGGAGGGGTCTTCACCACACAGTCCTGGATGCTGGAGGTTCATACAGGGTGGAAGGAAGAGTTCTTTCCCACACAGTCCTGGAGGACAGAAGCTGATCCAGGGTGGAAGGAAGACGGTGAGACTCCAGTCAAGATACGGCGGTTGCGGAGTCTGCAGTGTCTGCTGCAGCGCTTGGAGTCCTCAGGAAGCGCTATGAGCATCCGTCAACGGAGGGTACTCAGTCGGAGTACAAGGAGCTCCGTTACACACAGGTTTTATGAATAGTGATTTGCTATGATGTCATCATTTTTTTTTATCAGCACTGAATAAACCAGGGGTCGTCAACCTGGTCCCTACCACCCACTAGTGGGCATTTCAGGATTCTAGGTGGGCGGTAGTGGGTTCTAGGGCCCAAGTAGAATCCTTCCTCCATCCAGAGAGATGAACGCTCTATTCATCTTTCGCGCACTCAGTGGTTAGCAGGAAGTGCTGGCGTGATTATGAGAGTGCACAAACGCGCGTGTGTTTGCACACGTATGAACGTGTGCGCACGTACGAACGTGTGTGCACGTAACGAGTGTAACACGCGCGTAGAGGAAGGGGAGGAGTTGGAGTAGGGGGATACACGGTAGCAGGGAGCAGAGTACTTGTAAAATAGGAGAAAGAAGGAGCAGAGTACTTGTACAATAGGAGAAAGAGGAGCAGAGCACTTGTAAAATAGGAGAAAGAAGCAGCAGAGTACTTGTAGAATAGGAGAAAGAAGGAGAAGAGTACTTGTAGAATTGGAAAAAGAGGAGCGGAGTACTTGTAAAAAGGATAAAGAAGGAGCAGAGTATTTGTAAAATAGGAGAAAGATGGAGCAAAGTATTTGTAGAATAGGAGAAAGAAGGAGCAGAGTACTTGTAAAAAAGGAGAAAGAAGGAACGGTACTTGTTATAAAGGAGAAAAAAGGAGCAGAGTACTTGTAGAATACGAGAAAGAAGGAGCAGAGTACTTGTAAAATAGAAGAAAGAAGGAAAATAAAAAATATAGGAAGGAGAAGGAGAGAATTGTTGTTGGCTAATAATAATCATAAGTGGGCTAGCTAGCTCAGCCTTCCTGCTGGACATTGCTATAAGGAAGATAAAAGAAAAGAAAAATAGAAAAAGGTGGGGAGGGGGATGAGGAGGGGAGCTAATGCACGAATGAGAAATCATATTATGAGCAAACAGAGAAACCGTCTGAATATCACCGAAAGAGGAGGCCTTCATTTGCTCCTTACGAAAACTGAACCAGATATCAAATATTTAGTCTCGCAGCATCAGCCTCAAGGATCTCATTAATCACTAGTTAAAGGTAATTTCAATGTACTTTTTTATTTTCTCATTTTAAAAGTTACAAACATAAAAATAAATTTACGCACTTTTTTTTTTTTTTAAACACCCTCCTTTCTAAAAAATATTCTGCACTTGCGCTAAAAAACCCCGAAAACTGGTAAGCGGTAACAAAATATTTCCATCAAGAAAGATGCATCAGTGGGCGGTAGGTATAAAAAAGTTTGCTACCCCTGGAATAAACAGTGATTCCTTACTCCATACTACAGAGAACAAATAAAATGCAAGGTGGAGGGGATATGGATATCATATCAATAGTGATACTTCTGTATCATGTATTCATAGAAATAAATACAAGGGATTTGAAAAAACAAAACACTGAAGGGTTCTCTAATCTTGAACTGACCCATACATCTTTAATGCATTGTATCGATAATACATTAAAACTTTAAAAAAACTAAACAATGAGAAGATAATGACCAAGAGTGAGCATGTTTTTGTGCAAAGCCGCATACACCACATCATTAGTGTTGACCTTTGCCTACTCCAAACTACTTTCAGTCAGGAGCCCCTCATGTAGGTCAATGGACACTTAAAGGATCACTCCAAACAGCATTATCACTATAACAGGCAGTAATGGTTTTAGGGTCAGAAGTGCCCTAGTCCCACTTCATGTAAGTAGTCAAACTTCCTACCTCTCCTCTTTCACAACACTCGTTTGCACACACTGTTTAACCAACACACATTTTCACTGACAGACACACACATTCTCACTGACAGACACTCTGTCACTGATACACATAGACTGACATACACTCAGTGATAAACACACTCACTCACAGACACACACTATCACTGATACACATAAACTGACACACATACTCACTGATAGACTCAAATTCTCACTGATACTGACACACACTGTTTAACCAATACACACATTTGCACTGACACACACTGACATTCGCTCACTGACACACACACTTTCAATTATACTGACACACACTCATTGTCATACGGTGTATCCCCTAGTTTCTCAACCCATGGTATGTGTGACTGATGGTATGGGTACATTAAATGCTGGCCTGCACTCCGCCCCCAGATTTAGGCCAGGTGAACATAAATACAAAAATAAACTAAAATATAATAATAATTTGTGAGTGTGTGTGAGAGAATATGTATGTGTCAGTCAGTGTGTGTGTCAGCGAGTGTTTCTGCCAGTGAGTGTGACAGTGAATTTGTGTGTCAGTAAGTGTGTCTATCAGTGTGTGTAAAATCAGTGAGTGTGTGTGTCAGTGTGTATCAAATTGTTGCATGTGTGTTTCTGTAAGTGTATGTCAAATCAGTGAGATTGTGTGTCTGTCAGTGTCAAATCAGTGAGTGTGTGTCAGTCAGTGTGTGCCTGTCAGTGAATGTGTGTGTCAGTAATTGTGGCTGTTAGAGTGTGTCAATCAGTGAGAGTGTGTCTGTCAGTGAGTGTGTCAGTTTCCTCTGTGTGTAAATATGTGTGTGTCAGGGTCCTCTGTATGTAAGTGTGTCAGTGTCTACTGTGCATAAGTATGTGCATGTGTCAGTGTCCTCTGTGTATAAATATGTGTGTCAGTGTCCTATGTGTGTAAATGTGTGTGTGTGTGTGTGTATCAGTGTCCTGTATGTGTAACTGTTATGTGTGTATTATACTTTCATTTTGTGACTTTTATACTTTAAATAAGAGTTCATACACATATCATAAAATACACGATTATCATTATGTCATATTTATTTTAAAATATATTCTTTATTTAGGCTTGTTCTCCAATCAGGGACTAATTTAAATATCCATGCCTACACATTTCATTTGGAATTTAAATCAATAGAAATTACATTATCGAAGTAGGGGTTCTTAGGAATTTTTTTAAACTTGCAGGGGTACTTCTTCATAAAAGGTTGAGAAACACTTATCTAAGGGGTGATTTCAGATCTAGGGAATGTGGGGGACAAAAAAATTTCTTACCTGGGTTTGTGCAAATGGCAAGGGTGGTCCTGTATGTGGGTACTGAATATATAAACTAAGCGATAATACTTTGTTTTTATGTAAAGGAAAACACCAAGCACCATAACAACTACATTGTCAGCTGATTGCTCTCAGACAGTGAGTTAAACCCTAAGTGAATTAGAAATTTGGGAGAGCCGTAGTTGATCCTTTCCCTGGGGTTCAGTGAGGGGCTTGTGTAATGTTCATACTCTTCCAGCACTGTTTAGTAATGCTGGGGCTGGAGTGCCGTCAGAACCCCGGCTCCCAACATCAGTGCAGGGCGCACTAGGGAGCAGTGCTGGAAGAGCACAGATATTACGGCTCCTTCACCACTTCTGCCTCTGTTCTTCCTCAGTTGGCCACCTCCTGTGGGTGCTAAGGTGGTTAGCTCTTGGGATATAGTTTATCCATGACGAAAATAATTTAAAAAAAGCTCTTGTGTTTACAAGAGAATTGTTCACTAAGACCAAAATAAAACAAAAATAAAAAGCAAGAGATTGATTTGCTAATACGAGAAGGTTAGAACCACAAGCAAGCAAGGCTTCCATTAGTATAATAAACAATCTAACAAAATGCACAAAGTGCAAACATCCTATTTAAGTGCTAAGTGCAGGACAAGCCACAACACAAAATGCCAATACAACATTATAAATAGAATATAATATTTAAATATATACTCAAAATATTTCTTGAGTAATCAGAATTCAAAATGGCTGGTTTAATCCTACAATCCATATGGTAAATGTTTTGATTTAAGGTAACTCTTGCTGCCCCACCACCTTCTGTGTAGTGTGCCAGGAGATGTCCAAACCCACTGACAATTTTATTATAAACCCCCACACACAAAGACACTATTACATACAGAGCCAGGGTCTGCCTGAGTAATTTAGAAGCAAGGTTTCAGAGAATATTCACTCAACATTTGCAAAACCCGCTCAGAATCGAGGTGAATAAGCAACAGATTTGATGCAAAGGATTTACTCTTAGTGTCATGACCGTACCGTAACCCAAATGTGATTAACTGGTCTATTCCTGTCACATGCAATCACATTTTCTTTTAGTTGTAATATAATAGTTTGAAATAAGTGGTTTAATGAGATTGAACTCAACAATCAATCATTGAACATTTCTGCCATTTTGACTACAAAGGAACAAACAAATACCTCCTAATGTGCAAATTCATAAAAATGTCAGTGTCAATCCAGTGTAAAATCATTTGAAAAAATTTCCACATCCAGATTTTCTACGAAACCTTAACATTTCCAGAAACTCATTTATAACTTTGTGATACTGTCGGGGCTGACTTCATAATCCAGTCCTCAAGTCACGTGTTCAAGTTGGCTCTTACACATCTAAGACCAGTTCCACTTCCTCACACTCAGTTATTATCTTCACTTTGCTTTCAGGCGATGCTCTTATGTCATTGTACCTAAATGAGGAATCCTAATCTCCAGCTGTCATGAAATAAGCAGATAACCAAGAGGAGATAATTCTGATTGCAGTTCACAACCTGTGAGCTGGCTGCTTCAGCTTGACCCAGAGAATCAGTTAGTTATGTATCCGGAGGACTGTTATTTATTATTACTGCTATTAATAACCTCCCAGAACTCATGGACCTGGCAAGGCTTTCACAATTAAGGAATCTAGACCCACACTTCTCGTTGGTTCCCTAGTGTCCCACATTTATGGACACCAGGAAATTGTCCCCAGCAATCAATATGTGAGCACATACTGATGCATGTCGCTTCTTTGGGCTGCTCCTCTTTCTGGGCAGGTTTGGCCATTAGTGTTACTGTTGCTGTTAGGGTTAGTGCTAGGGTTCAATTTAATCAAGGTTCTGCACCAGAACATACTGTTACAGTTATTTTCAGCTCTTATCTTTAGTTCATGTCAGGAAAAGGCTTCCACTAATCCCACTAACCTTGTGCAAGCGGGGACACACATGTCCCAGTATTGCCTTGAGATTATGGGGCCCTCACTTCACTGGGCATTACAGGGAATAATGGTTTGATCCGCCGGAATGTATTTCCTAAATCTTCTTTGTCCCAGAGTAGTAATTTATAAACAAATATGGTTCTACAATAAGATTGTTCTCAATATTGAATTCTTACTAAATGTATATTGCATCATTAGTCGGGCAAATTGCTCTAGCCTCCTCTTATTCATGCTCCACAGTTAGTTAAGTGTCCATATAATTGACATGTATTGCTAGACAACTGCAGATAACCATGAAATAGCTAAATATGCACAGTAGCTCTGTTCATGGCACAAAATGGTGGTTTCTATGGTATGTCATATGAATCATATGGATCAATACCCAGATGAGAAAGTCATTAGCAGTTGAGACCACTTATCCAATCATTAGGCTATCTAAATTGTGAACTACAGTCTAATGCATCTAAACAAAATCTTCAAGGGACAATCATCTAAAAGAAGTGTTTTTAGTGCACAAACCATTTCCCTTTTTTTTCAGACAATGTAAAACATAGCCATATCAGAGAAAATAAGTTATTTCATTAAATGTACTGTGTTTGTATCCTTTGATTAGAGGATAGAATTATATTGATCAGGGGAAATATTTGCATGGTCAAATCGTTAATTCTCGATCGGGTTTAGATAATAAATATCATTATGAATGCAACATGAATATTACATTTTATAGGAACACATTTAAGTTGTGGTTTAACACCTAGAGGTAAGTCAGCAACAGGGACCTCCTGCACCATCAAAATAGGTATCATGTAAACCTGGAGACTTTAATAAGCTAGATAGCTCAGCTAAAAGGCATAATTCTAACCCATTAAGGGTATCTAGATTCCTGTCTAGCTCTTTATTTGCTCCAATGTCCTTCAGGCCAATTATCTCTGACCTTTTTAAGTAGTCTAAGGGAGACAACGTAGAGCCAAACACCAAGTATTCCCACAAGCGGTAACTTTGGTGGGTTTGTGTTTTGTTAGTATCTACAAAAGGTTACTAGGTGGGACAGAGAAGACCAACGATTTTGTGCTTTGACATCTCTTTTCTAATCCATTCTACCATGCCACAGAGGATTGCACTAACAGGGCTGCCTTAAAATATTAAAGGTTAGGTGCTCCTAGACTCCCCTTATCTTTGTTAAAATTAAAAACTGTTGTCTTTAAAATTCTACATCACTTTTTACAGATATGATATGGACAAGCCAAGAATTGATATTTCAAAAACAGGTGTTCCCCTTATTTTCATGAGTAACTATATTAGTATAGTATAATGTGCCCAAAGAAGAAGTGGCCAGCATAATTGCTAAACATTTTTGTACGAAATAAAGAAGGCTCACAAAAATAAGACAGTTCTGGAAAATATTACTGCACTTGGTGTCATTAAACTTACAACCAGAAAAATAATATGGTAACCCTTAAATGGACATGCATTGCTTGACAATATTTTTTTATAAAAACAGCAATCAAACACTTTTATACCAATAAACAGACAAAAATAAAGCCAGGAAAACTTGTAAGTATGTACTAAGCATTTATAAACGTTCTATAAACTTGGTCAGATTGCATTGTTAGGCATGCCTTTCATCTCCCTCCCAACTACCACCCATCTCAGTTTCAGACCAGTCCATTAATGACAGAAATGGGGCATCATTGTGCAGCAGCAGGAGAGAGAAACCTGACAGAGATCTTCCAACTGCAATCATGAATGCCCAATTCAATTTCTGCATTCCTAGGGATAGGGTTCTGATTGGTTACATCAGTGTAACTCCAGGAGTGAGTGTGGAAAGCATAAAAATGAAGAAGCATGTAAAAATGAAAAAAAAAAACATATTTACCTGCTTTTTTCAGCCTGTAGAGTGAGCTAACTGTCTCATTCAAATCTAAAATGAAAAATGCTATGAGACAGCTGTGTCGAATTGATGTATGTTCCTTTAAATTATGAAATCACCGGAGGAGGGCAATGACAAATAAATAGATGTAGAACAATGTGTTGATATTTAATAAATCCTTATCTGAAATTTCACTGCAAACGTTTTGATGAATTAATCAATATAAAGTATACTGAAAGGTATTTTCATGAAGGGGTATTGGGATTGGGAAATAAAGAAAGAGGTGAGTAATTCCGAAGATAGGTGGAAGAATGTTCTATAGTGTTTTATGTGTTTGCATGTGCGTGTGTGTTAAAAAGAGAGAGGTTCCGACAAAGGAAAAAAGAAAAGAAAGAAAGAAAGAAAGATAGATAGATAGATAGATAGATAGATAGATAGATAGATAGATAGATAGATAGATAGACAGACAGATAGATAGATAGATAGATAGATAGATAGATAGATAGACATACAGACAGATAGATAGATAGATAGATAGATAGATAGATAGATAGATAGATAGATAGATAGATAGACACACAGATAGATAGATAGACACAGATAGATAGATAGAGAAATAAATAGATAGATAGATAGATAGATAGATAGATAGACACAGACAAATAAATAGATAGATAGACCGATAGATATATAGATGGACAGACAGGTAGATAGATAGATAGATAGATAGATAGATAGATAGATAGACCAAAACAATTTCTGTAGCTGCTGTTCTAGCCTACCAGTCAATGTGGAAATTAGCTAGCTGCTTTTACATAGTGATGTACTCTGTGCTGCCACTGGTATTAAATATTTAAAGACCTTATAAATAATAATAGGCTGATAATATATGGTGTACGCTTTGTAGGAGAGGTATTCTGAGCACAGACTTCGCAATCGATTTAGTGTGTAGGATAATGAAAGTCAAAATGCTGGTTTCAGACAGAGGGATTAGCTCGGATTGCAATTTCCACCATTTTGTGGCTGGAATTCAGAACATACCATAAGTGAATTTGGCAGCTGGCTTCCTGTTTTATTGACAGGGTGGGACTGATTGATAAGTGTGTATACATTATAATATACTATTAGAGGATATTTTAGAGAATAAATAAATATATAAATGATTATGCAAAATTATAAATAAAATTCAATCACTGTGGAAACCAATAGATTTTTGTTTCTGCTGATTGCTCTCTGTTTTGCATTTTGCCAGAACTGCTCAAATTTTATACTGTGCAGTCTAACTGGGAAACAACATAGCATTCAATCCATTATAAAACTGTACGATATTTAATATGTAAGTAGGAGCAACGGTGGGTACCTGGAAAAGTGCAGAGTAGATCACCTGTGGGAAAAAAATTGTCAAGGCACAACAGGTGCTACTTCGGGAATACCTGCCGAATGTTTCAAGACATTCTATTGGTTTCTACGGTGACGGCCCTTTTCTTAGCACATCAATGCAGAATAGCCCCTGTTTTGAGGTTAAACAATATTCCTCTTAGCTTTTTCTAACAAATGTTACAATGTAAAACCAAAATGACCCCGAATTATAGACTCTGTGTTTCCTTCGTAATCTTTTCCTGCTATTCCAGCTTCACTGAGTAATTCTCCAACAATGAGATGTGCTTTCCTCTGTGGATTACATGAATCAGATGGTAATCCCTACAAGAGGACAACAGAATAATAATAACCATTAACCCCTAGCATACTGTGCACAGCCAAACCATTCAAGTGACAAGAGGCTAACTGCATATATTGTTCATTGCTTGCTCCCTATTATAAATGTGTTATTTTATCCATTTGACTGCTTGGGCGAAAAAACATTTGTTTCAGTTGCACCTCTGCATTTTAATTAATTAAGGGAAGTTGTATGATCTTTTCTTAATTAATATACAGGTACAGCACAATACAAAGTGATATACCCGCTCAAGTCTGACTGTTCAAAATACTTTTTTTCTGGAAAGTTCAAAACGGCTGCTTGAAGCCATCCAATACTCAACCTTTTCTCTAATATAAAAACATGACAAAAAAAAGTCTTACTTAAGCCAACCTGTAAAAAGTCACTGGAAGGGACTCTCTGGGTACCAATACAACTTTGATGCATTTGATAGGTTTTAGTCTCAGTAATATGCTGTATTTGTTTGCTTGTTCAAATCGTCATAGTTTTTGCACCAAAATTATGTTTTGCAGAATGCAGCACCATAAGTCTTTCTCCTTTGCCATATCCCCTCACACCAGAATGGCTTCCTTATCAGTGTATGTACACTAAAAACACTGAAAGAGTTGATTATAATTCACAAGTTGGCTGCAGAGCATCAGAGAAACAGGTAGTGATATCCTTACTATATGTCTCCCTGAAAGTCCTCTCCTTCTAATGCAAGTTGCTTTGTAGTTTAGATCATTCAGTACTGTCAGTGGCTGAGCTGTGTACATACATGTAATAAGGAAGTGCTTTTCAGGAGTAAGGGGTTGTGGCTAAAGAGGCAAGCCTATGTTGCAGTATTGAGCAAAACATTTTGGGGTTTTTTGTATGCAAAAACTATATATATATATATATGAGCACGCAATAAAATACAGCATACTAATGAGGCTAAAACACATCAAATGCATTAACATTGTATTGGTGCCCAGTGTATCCCTTAGAGCAGTGATGGATCAACTTGACACCATAATTTTTTTCTGGACTACATTTCCCATGATGCTCCACTAGCTTTTAGAGTCTAAAAGCTAGCTGAGCATCATAAGAAATATTGTCCAGAAAAAAATTATGGTGTCAAGGTTAGCCGTCACTGCCTTAGAGTTATTGTCAACCAATATTGATAAGGTGTGTGTGACTATCCTAACTTCTCTCTGTAAGATAGCTTTTATTAATCCTGCATTATTAACAAAAGCTACCGAGCCCTTCTTCTACCCATGAAAATATACAGTCAGGTCCACAAATATTGGGACATTGATGCAATTCTAATCTTTTTGGCTCTATACACCAACACAATGGGTTTGAAATGAAACAAACAAGATGTGCTTTAACTGCAGACTTTCAGCTTTAATTTGAAGGTATTTACATCCAAAACAGGTGAACGGTGTAGGAATTATAACAGTTTGTATATGTGCCACCCACTTTTTAAGGGACCAAAGGTAATGGGACAGATTAACAGTCATAAATCAAACTTTCACTTTTTAATACTTGGTTGCAAATCCTTTGCAGTCAATTACAGCCTGAAGTCTGGAATGCATAGACATCACCTGATGCTGGGTTTCATCCCTGGTGATGCTCTGCCAGGCCTCTACTGCAATTGTCTTCAGTTCCTGCTTGTTCTTGGGGCATTTTCCCTTCAGTTTTGTCTTCATCAAGTGAAATGCATGCTTAATCGGATTCAGGTCAGGTGATTGACTTGGCCATTGCATAACATTCCACTTCTTTCCTTTAAAAAACTCTTTGGTTGCTTTTGCAGTATGATTCAGGTCATTGTCCATCTGCACTGTGAAGTGCCGTCCAATAAGTTCTGAAGCATTTGGCTGAATATGAGCAGATAATATTGCCCAAAACACTTCAGAATTCATCCTGCTGCTTTTGTCAGCAGTCACATCATCAATAAATACAAGAGAACCAGTTCCATTGGCAGCCATACATGCCCACGCCATGATACTACTACCACCATGCTTCACTGATGAGGTGGTATGCTTTGGATCATGAGCAGTTCCTTTCCTTCTCCATACTCTTCTCTTCCCATCACTCTGGTACAAGTTGATCTTGGTCTCATCTGTCCATAGGATGTTGTTCCAGAACTGTGAAGGCTTTTTTAGATGTTGTTTGGCAAACTCTAATCTGGCCTTCCTGTTTTTGAGGCTCACCAATGGTTTACATCTTGTGGTGAACCCTCTGTATTCACTCTGGTGAAGTCTTCTCTTGATTGTTGACTTTGACACACATACACCTACCTCCTGGAGAGTGTTCTTGATCTGGCCAACTGTTGTGAAGGGTGTTTTCTTCACCAGGGAAAGAATTCTTCGGTCATCCACCACAGTTGTTTTCCGTGGTCTTCCGGGTCTTTTGGTGTTGCTGAGCTCACCGGTGCGTTCTTTCTTTTTAAGGATGTTCCAAACAGTTGATTTGGCCACACCTAATGTTTTTGCTATCTCTCTGATGGGTTTGTTTTGTTTTTTCAGCCTAATGATGGCTTGCTTCACTGATAGTGACAGCTCTTTGGGTCTCATATTGAGAGTTGACAGCAACAGATTCCAAATGCAAATAGCACACTTGAAATGAACTCTGGACCTTTTGGAACAGCTGAGCAGCCAATTGTCCCATTACTTTTGGTCCCTTGAAAAGTGGAAGGCACATATACAAACTGTTGTAATTCCTACACCGTTTACCTGATTTGGATGTAAATACCCTCAAATTAAAGCTGAAAGTCTGCAGTTAAAGCACATCTTGTTCATTTAAATTCAAATCCATTGTGGTGGTGTATAGAGCCAAAAAGATTAGAATTGTTTATGGACCTGACTGTACATCATGTAAAATAATAATAAAAAGAACCTTAGCAACTGTTGTAATAAACAAATGAAAGGATACTATAGTCACCAAAACAACTTTAGTTTCATGAAACAGTTTTGGTTTATAGATCATACCCCATGCAATCTCACTGCTAAATTCTCTACTATTTAGGAGTTAAATCACTTTGTTTATCCAGCACTAGTTACACCTTCCTGCATGTGATTTACCCAGCCTTCCTAAACATCTCCTGTAATGAGTCATCTAATGTTTACACTTCCTTAAATGCAATTTCTGTTCAATTTAGAATTTCTCATCTCCTGCTCCTGTAACAGCTTGCTAGATGTTTCAGGGGCCTCCTATGTGTGATTAAAGTTTAGAGCAGAGAAAAAACTTTAAAGTAAGGTAAAATCTGAGACAATGAAACCATTTTGTTTTTAAGCAGGTTGTGTCAGTCACAGCCAGGGGAGGTGTGACTAGGGCTGCATACAAAGAAACAAAAATTATTTACATAAAAAATAGAGTAATTCTGTAGCAGTCATTCCACTGCAATTACAACTGGCTGAACGTACTTGTCACTCAATTAACTGAATTTAGTGGAAACATGGAGGGAGACTAGAGGTGCTGTTTATGTCCCATAGGGAATCCAGGAACCCAGGTGATGCTGGGTGGAGACGCTATAGTCCATGGAGGATATTAGTGGTTTTTTTAATTTTATTATTATTTTACATCAGACAGCTGCTTTTCAAAGCAGCCACCTGTTATAAAAATTAGAGGCATAGTCCTCTTCCAGGCTACTTAAGAGGAGGAGGTTGGTGCCCCAGGTAACTGTTGGGAGGAAGTGCTGATAAAATTATCTTTGCTGCACACCCACTATCAATTAGATAATGTAGTGGGATTGCATTGAGGCTGTACAGCATGTCTCTCGCAATGTGTTCCTTGAGATCCTAGAGATCAACATGCTTTTAATGGGTAGAGAGAGTGGCAGAAATAACATGATCACAAAGATCACCATTGTGACCCATCCCATGGAGTTCTGCCTGTCAAGGGGAGGCTCAAGCCAGACGCGGTATCCCCCATTCAGCACTGGTATTTATTATATGTATTGCCAATTCAGAAATATGCTAAATTCAAATTAACACAGGGAGCACTTTATGCGTCCTACTTCATTATGGCAGTGGCCAGTGGGTAGAGGAGGGGACATAACACAGAAAGGTACCGATATGTCATGACACATCCCCAACTGTCTGTTGGTGTAGGGGTCATTGAATTTTCCATTGGGCCCAAGCCCCGGGTGTTTCTGGAATCAAGCAATCCCACCTGTCAACAACCATGCATGGTGTGGAAGATGGAAGAAGAGCTTAACAGAGTCCCAGAGACCTCTGCTCATTTTATCTATTTAACTGTTTTATGCAAATCAGACTTATTTTTATTGTTTTTTAAAAAAAACATTTCTTTCAGAAAAGTAGGTGTAAAAAAAACATCCAAGACGGTTCGAGGTGGAAACTCAAAACCTACCAGCTTTTCGAAATTGCCAAGCATGATGGAAAAATAACTGATCAATGCAGACTAAATTGTATATAACAAATAGATTAAATTACACAAAGATTAAATTGTAATGCAACATAAATATATTTTAAAAAATAACAATCCTTTAAACAGTTTTCTTTATGCAGGTTGGCTTTTGGGCTTTTCTTTCCCGTCAAGTCTATCTGAGAGCAGCTAAACTGCACTGAAGGTGCTGTACAGAACAAAAGGCCTGCTGATAGCACTAAGATAATAACTAAACCAAATGAGTGATGATCTTCATAACACCTGCTAAATTAGAAAGCGGCCTAGCAGCTGCTTTTTAATCTGCCAAATCCTATACAGGAAGGAAAGGCTCAGGAAAATTCTACAATGGAGTCCACAGAACCCCTAATAACCAAGTGGGTCTGTGGGAAATAGTCTCACCTATTCCTACATTCCATTCACATGTATCCCAAATGCTATCAACGTGCCTTTCAACCTAGTGCAGCAAGATTTATATTTATGCAGCAATTTTACAATGCTTTCCTTGCTTCTACATTTAATATGTCCTGGGAGATGACATTATAGTCTTGAGTTAGGCAGAAGCCTTGTTTTTTGCCAAGAATCACATTAAACCCCAAATGCTGCCCTCCAACATACAATATCACAATTAATCTGAACCATTGTCACTAACATTGTCCATACAGTTACCCCAGCACATAGCACATGCCAAATCTCCTGGTCCATCAATACCATACAACCCCCCTAATCCTGTAAAGGCATCCTTCAATTACAAAAATATCTTGGTCATATAAAAAAGAAAATGGTATTAAAGAAAAATGAAAATCTCTATTGATGGAGATCGTAGCCAAAAATGAATTGTCTATTGATTGCCTATACGTACAGGTGTATGTTATATATGCAGACAGTTTTTGGGTGATTGATTTACAAGTTGCAGGATCTGAGAAGGCGATTTTCTATATCAAAGGACACCAATTTCAAAAGAGAGAAAGTAAGAATTATGTAAATTTGGCTCATAATGCTGGATTAATATTAAAAAAAAAAGATCTTTTTTTTTTTCAGAAAAAGGAAAAGGGAAGTTTCTCCATAACACATAGGTGTCAATTTAATATGTTTTCATGTGCTTTTCAAATTATGTAAATATGTTAGAAAAACCAATAAAGTCTATGGGACTTTTGGTGGTTAATAATTTTCTAAACAGATTTGAATCATTTGTGAAGCTTATCCAAAAATATTAAATGTATGTCATAGTTAGGATCACAATTGAAGAGAAGTTACTTTGGACCACCTAGGTACTGTATGCTAGGAGGGCAGAATGGACACAACTAGTCCATTGCAAATCACTTATAAGTTGAGTTAAACCTTCCATTCATATGATGCTCTGTTTTATTTTGCTTTTAATAATTTATATTAAAGATGTAGCAAATGGCCTCGTAATCCAGTTCATTCCAGGCACAGGCAGGGCACACAATGCAAATGAGGTGGAGAAATAGAAACATCCTCTTCTCTGTATACTTTTGACATTTTGCTTCTGGCACAATTGGAAATTGTTTTAAACAGGTTTTTTTGCCTAGGATCAACAGAAGTGTGGATTGTGGAACCTGATATGGACTTGAGCCTTTTTTTTTCAACCTTCATTAACCCCTTAAGGACCAAACTTCTGGAATAAAAGGGAATAATGACGTCATACATGTCATGTGTCCTTAAGGGGTTAATATGTTCCTACAATGCTATAACTGGCTGGTGCAAAGGAGAGAACTTTTAATTGACAGGGAGCTAAGATGGAGGCACCCAACTGCCAGACAAATAAGTTTGTATTTCTACATTTAAAACCTCACAAATATATATTTACTTAGTATAGAGGATAAGCACAGTATTAAAAAGCATGGGAAGTCACAATTCTCCTTTAAGAAAAGCATCATTATGATCACAGAGAATACTGATAGGAGTATGAGGTTACTTACTGCTTCTAAATGGTATGGGAAAACTCCAACATGGTTTATAAAACCCCCTCAAGCAAGCCACACCAGGGGGAACGAGTGATTGATGATTCACATGCACCCTTTATAATTTACTATTATTAATATTATTTTTATTATTAATGGGGCCATAATTTGTGTCTCTATACTAACCTGAGAAAGTCAATGAATGGATCCACCTGAAATAATAATTCAAATGTTTACCCGTGCCTTTCCAGCATCTCTTAAGGTGAGACGGTTGGGAAAAAAAGCTGTACGGCTCTATCTTTTGTAGTGCAGATTTTACTATCATGAATAACTGTGAACTGAATAGATAGATAGATAGATAGATATTTAGCAAGTGACATCACATTGCAGCTTAGTTCTTGCACATGCGGGGCACACATTGGAGGAGGGAAATTCTTCCTTCACTTAGTATGCTCAATGACAAAAAGGGCAAAGATTGTACAAAAATTCACAGGGTAACAAAATGGAGACAATTACAAGGTTATTCACAAAAGCAGTAGTGCCCAATAGGTAGATCCCCAGATGTATTAAAACTACAGCTTCCATGATGCTTTATCATTGTAAAGGCATTCTAACTGCATGCAATGCATCATGGGAGTAGTTCTAAAACATGAGGATCTACCTTTTGGGCATCCCTGCACTAAATAGAGAAGATTAGAGTAGCCAAACGTAACACCTAGCTGACCAGGAGAATTTTTCCAGTTCAAATTTGAAATTTACTTCTAATTTATTTTGAATTTATTAGCTCCAGGCTATAGGTACAAACAGACTATAATGAGAATCCAGGTTTTTAATCATAGTGTATATTTAGAAATGTTATTATAAATCCTTGAAAACAACATTCCTTCTTCAAACAGCACCAATATATACCAAAGTGCTGTACAATATTACAAAAGGGGTATAAAATAGAAATTGCATTACAAATAATTTAATGTAAACAGCGATGCATAGGGCTCTGTTCGAATTACAATTCCCAAAAACCTATCCATTTTATAGGTCACAGGGAAATCAAATTTAGATATTTGAAATGCATTATTTATGGTATTACCCGGTTATCAATCAATAAATAAATAAATCAAACCAGAATAACCTACACGATGTTCCTTTTTTTTTTTATAAACATTTTTTAAAAAATGAAAAGTTATTATTTTGTTTATTACATAAACCACAGAAGAGATTACATTTCTTATACTGTTATATACAAAGTATAGTGTTTTTTTTATTTGCACACAATATCTTTGCATGTGACAGAAATTATGAAAATATTTCATTTACTGAAAGTGATCGTATTTTTTTACTTTTTTTTTTCTAATACACGGGTACTATAAATATCTCTACCAAAAAAAAAATAATAATTACAGAAATGCTTCCAATGGATATTGCTGAGTTTCTAAAAATGCAAATTAACCACAAGTAGTATTTTAATCACGTATCTATTCAGAATAAATTGGTCTTAGAATTCTTGATATGTTATGAATGAGAATTATAAAATTAAATGCTTTTTGAGACAGAAAACGCAAATGAGAGAGAGCATAGCTCTGTGTATAGATGTGTGTCCTGTCACTGAAATGGTTAAATGTAAAATAGGTAACTAATAAAGTTGTATAAAATAACATTCTTCCATTCTGATATTCAAAGAGTCACACTACTAGATCATTTATTAACCTTCTCAATGTCAGATGATTGTGTGGAGCCATTTTTTTCCTTCAGTACTGCAGAGTAGGTTCTAAGTATTGATTCAAAGACTAAAAATTTGCTCTAACAAACCTTTTTTTTATTTATTCTCTAAACTCTGAATTGTAGCAAACTAAAAACCAAATGGCGCAACTGATCTCTAAAAATCTTCTGGCCCATCTATAATCAGACAGGGATATTCAGCAAAATTTAAATTGCATATGGAATTAAATCCAAATGGCAAAACAGGCTTAAATAGCTGGGACTTTAGCAAGATGGAGATTTTATTTCAAACAATTTTAGCCACAATTTTAGAGTCTTTACTGTAATTCAGTGTTTTTAAAAAAAATAAAGGCTTAAGTGACTTTTTTTCATAGAAATTTTCAACTATTTTGACCTTAAATTTAAAAATCACTTTGAATTCTCACTTTAGTGATTAACCCTGTCAGTGGTCAATGATTAAACCACACAGTTTGGTTAGTGTAGCCTCCATCTGTCCCAATCCTATACCAGTTCTCTTCAATTCAGAGTTTAGCAGATATACCTTCAGAGAGTTCCATTAAGCCCTCAGCACTGAAATGGTTAAAATTTGCTTCAGAAAATGCAATGTGTACCTACACCTTGCTCTCACCACAGACATGTAAGCAAAGTGTGAGGCCCCTGTTGTAGTTTGCTTTATACAAGAATCCTGGGGGAACCCAGAGAAATACGATTTTAATTATAATTCCCAGCATGCTCTGCCCAGGCTGAGCCCATGGCTCAGAATAGCAATCAGTTGTGATGTCTCTATAGAAAAGACTACCTTGAAACGTTTCTATGTACACTGCAAGGAAAGTGTGTGTGTGTGTGTGAGGGGGGGGGGGAAAGGGGGGTGTCAGGAATTTATTAACCCCTTTCTATGTCTGGGTAAGGGAGATCAATTCTTCCTGACATGTGAAATATTATAATTCATAGAATTCATACCATCACATGAAAAAAATATTTGGCTCATACATAATGCATGGGTAGAACATAGCAAAAAAAATAAATCAAAATAGAATTATCACCTTTTTTAAGGCATTTGTAGGTGCAATAAAAATAAAATTATGCCATTTTATATGCATATGTATGACTACACACAGAAAGACACACACACACACACACAAACAATGCATACACACAAACAATGACAAACAAAACATTTTCATGGGGATATTATTTCTTAAAAAATGGGTTGCAACAAATGTGTATTTTATTGCAATCTTATGATACATTTTCCATAAGATTTAATTTTTTTATGTGGGCTATGGATGTGCATGGGTTAATGAATGAGCTGTGAAAAGCAAGTCTTTATTTTATGTTTCCTTGGTACAATGCATGCAGTTGCCTTGAAATATTTTGCAGCATTAATCATTTGAATCATGGATCAAGCCTTTACACTAAGGACTGTAGCTCAAGGCTATGTGGAGAGGATTGGCTAATGCCAGTGATACATCAAACAATGCATCCCTTTCTTCTGTCTTAATTATTACATGTAAATGAAAGAATACTGAGTCTGGAAGTGCCCTCTCACCCTCACCTTCAGTGTTTTACCTACACCCTGCTGGTGGGAGGGAGGGGGAATAGGACTAAAGAATTCTGACAGATTCAAGGCTGAGCTCTGAGTTTCTAGAGAATACACTGCATGCAGGGAAAGGTTACTGCTAATAGGATTTGGGGCACTTAGACAGATGGGTCACACCTGATTCACCGATATCATTTTATTTTTTTTAAATGTGTTATATTTTCAAATGAAAAAAATAAAACAACAACAACAACAACAAAAAAAACACACACAAAACAAAACATTGCAGCGAGTATTGAGCAAACAATGGTTATAAAACAGAAAATACATTCTGCATCAATTCTGCCATTTAGCTTATCTGTGTTTGGTTGGACTATCTATTTAGACATAAATCATATTTTGGCTCATTCACGGTTCCTCTCTCTCTCTCTCTCTTTCTCTCTCTCTCGCTCTGTCTCTATCGATCTGTCTGTCTATCTATCTACCTACCTATCTATACCTGTGTGCATCCCTACATAGATACATATTTTGTGTGTATGTGTGCATGAATTATGTATGTGAGTGTATGTATTTGTTTGCGAATATATTTTTGTGTGTATTTCCGGTACTCATTAAGTTGTTATTACCTTACTAAATATTTGGAACACCTGACCATTAAGCTATATTTAAATAACTGCATTCAAAATGTTAAATTGAGAATTCCATCTGCTTTACTGTATGTAGGCAGTGCTGCTGTATATCTGAGCAATTGTTTCCCCATAGTTCATTATTTATCTTTTTTTATTATTATTTTATCTTTTTATTTTTTTATTTTATTTCACTGGCATTTAAAAAAAAACAGTTTTAGATTGTGCATGTAATCTCCTTAAATCCAATATTTAATTTCACCATCTCCCTAACAAAATGTCAAGTGACTTACACAACGTAAAGCTAACTGAAAGCTGATGAAAAAAAATAAGATGTTAATAAACAGAGCTTCAGAAAAAATGTCTTGAAAAAAATATATCTATTATTTTTTTATATACATATATATATATTAAAATACTTAAACACACACGCAGAGATGACGTGTATGTGTGTATATATACGTGTGTGTGTGTATATACATCCATATGTACTTGTGTGTGTATACATATGTATACACAGAAACACACACATTATATGATACACAATTTTTAAAGATGTTACAAATGTAGACTACACTATAATTTTTCCAAGACAATTTTTGTCGTATATATACACACAAGCACGGAAAAATTGTCTTGGAAATATTATACTGTAGTCTACATTTGTAACATCTTTAAAAATTGTATATCATATAATGTGTGTGTTTCTGTGTATACATATACACACACACATATATTTCTATGTGTGTGTGTAAGTAATTTAATATATATATAATTTTTTTTTTTGGGGGGGAGGGAGGGTTTAAATAACGACACTGTGATTTTGAAAAAAAAATATGAAATCCTAGTGACTTTAATAACAAGCACAGACACACGGGAAGGTTATTTTTTAACATTATTTTCTCAACAATTCCGCTAATTTCTTCCATTATGTAAAGAGTTAAACACCTTATTAATATAGCCATTATTTGCATTTTTGTACCAAAATAATTAAACGGGGCTACTTCTGTTGTATCTTCTGTTGTACCATATGTAAAGATAGATTGAATAAGGATATATCGTTCTGTTAATGTCAGAGTGAGAATTACCAGAAGATCGAAAAGTTGTAATGCACAAATAAAAAATATATCAAAACATTTTCATTGTTACAAATTAGATAAAATCCTTGCTTCGTTGTTTTTTTTGGGGTTTTTTGCAGTTATGTTTTAACCCAATATTGGCTAATATTGACACTAAGGTCACCCAGCCTATTGCCACCTGGGATGCCAATAAAAACCATCACATGGGCATTTAAGAAAACTCGCTAATAAAATTTTTTGATAAATATCTTTTATATTAATAAAAGCTAGCGCATAAAAATATATATTTTTTCATTTTAGCCTTGTGTTTTCCATTGAAAATATGCTATATATTTTTTTTCTGAGCCACAGCTTGTTTTTAATTCTATATTTTTCACTATGAATTGTACCAGTTCATTGCCAATCACGAGGCGCCAGCTCATGAATTAATATGGTAAAGGCTAGGGAATGTTAGAATGAGTTCATACTGCACCAATCTGAAATATTAACGGGATAGACCCTGTGCCATCAACATTTTTTTATTTTATTTTTTTACAAACCGATAAAATTAGAAAAAAACGATTTTATGTCACCGATTTGCAACGAATTCCAATTAAAGGCGTACTCAACATTTAATTGCATAAACTATAACTGATAGCCCTGCATTTATTTGCCAAACATATTAATTATTAAACGTGTTCTCTGCAAGAAGTCACTTAATGTCATCTGCTGAATTAATCATTCTTTTTGCATTCATTAAAGGATTTCAACTGGTACTAAAATGACAATAAACCATGACTATTTCATAATTCATACACATATATATAAATAGATAGATAGATAGATAGATAGATAGATAGATAGATCTGTGTATCTTGCAATTACTATTATACACCTTTTTGGTTTTGCAGAAGTGTTCAAGATAAAGTAATAAAGTCAACGTTTTGGCTCAGTTTTTGTATTTTGTATTATTTTTTTATATAGGGAAGAATTCGATTTAAATATATATAATTAGTCAATTTTACAGAAGTTGGCCACACTGCAAAAAACAAAAAAACTATAAACTGATTAAAATGGTAAAATTGGTAACCTGCCTACAAGGTGTTTATTTTAAGTTGTTTATGGAGCTCACCCCATGGTGTGATCATCAATGGGGGCGGTAGGGGTGGGGGGAAAGGGGGGGGGGCGGTTAGTACAAGGTGACTTTGGGAGGTAAAATTGCTGCAGTGAGTTCTTTACTGACCTAGTGTTATGACGTCAAGGCTATGCCACTTCACACTGCAAGGGGGCAGTCACATAGGGGCATTAACCCCTTCACTACCGGTTGGCTGAAAATTACATTCCAATGTCCTTCTAACACTTACATTTTTACAATATAACTAAAAGAAACTGTCAAGGGGTGTTGGATACATTTTAGTAGAAATTACTATGAATTCTTTTTATTCCTCTCCTTAAATAACAGATCAGATCATCTATGTGCCCATTCTGAAGTGAGGTCTTGAATTAAGGATTTAAAAGCCCCCTTCCATCAAATTATCCCTAACCTCACAGTGGGATTATAGGATAATATACTTTGCAGGCCATCACCGTAATCACTTCTACTATTTCACCCTCATAAACCTATAAGCACATTAAGATACTCTGTACCCACTCCCAGGACAAGCAGTGGACATAAATTAATCAACGAGAGATTAAAATGTATGGCCTTGTCAATGGAAAATCGGATTTTATTTTCTCTGGATTACTATTTTTTGAAGGAAATGAATGGATGGATGTCTGTGAATATTACTGACTGCTTCTGTTGCCTATACCCCACAGAGGTTACAATATAGCACGTGTCCAATGAATAAAAAAAATGCAAAGATGAATGAGTGAATGAGATTTTAATTAAATTCTGTGTAACCGACATAAATCAGAGGTTCTAGAATGTGTAAATCCCATTAGAGCTTTGCCAGAAGCAATTGGGTCTACTTGGATTATTCTAATATAAATAATACATCGTATATGTAACATATTGCACACAAATGTGTGCATAATATACACAGCAACACATTTAAAATCAGCACATTTATTTCAAAAATAAAAAAAAATGGCTACAATATCCATAAATCGAAAGATGCCTTGGTTTTGCAGTAGATATTTATTTTCAGAATCACATTGAGAAATGATTTATAGATATATTGCAAACATTCTTTTTAACATTCGACAGGAAACAAAATAGCTATAGGTTTTAACCCATTGAGTGCCGGTCATTTTTAATCCCACCCCTTACTGGCACTCACAGGTTAAAACTCAAATAAGGAAGAAGATATTTAAAAGGAATATTGTTACCAGATATCTGCTATTTTTATTTAGTAATTAATACAATAGGTACACAAATATAACAAACACAAATATTCCTACCATAATATAATAAATAAATAGACAAGATTAATTTAATACATGATGGAATAAGGATTGAAATCAACGAATCAAATACCTGTGTAAGTGGCCCAGGGTATTCCCCGCAAATTTCTTGAATTCTTCTTTTTTAAACTCCATTTTTTATGTTCTTCCTTTGAAAATTTCCAAAGATCAGATTTGTGCTTGGAATGAAAAAGTTCTCATTACGACTTTTGTGATAGATTTGAAAGTGCTATCTAACTAAGGATGCAATAGGAATGTTTGATTATATAGAGTCTTTTTTTAACTAAAAGAAAAAATAAATAAAAATAAGGTTGCTGAGGTCTGGCCTTGTGAGAGACAGGTATCACTACACATCAGCTTAAGTAGTAATGGGGGAAGCCATAGGATTGATAATGGGGGAGATAGGACTTTGCACTAAAGGATAATATCCCTCCTTCTTGCGTGGGATGGCCATAGAAAAGAGAGAGAGGAGAAAAAATCTCTCCAGTCACTGCTGTGTGGAAGATCAGCATATACCAGTAGGCTGGAGATGATAGGTGTTGAGTATCAGTCTAGGACAATCAGAGGTTATTACAAACTCAGTGATTTATCAACATTCCATCTGAAGGTTCCATCCGTTTCAGCTTCTAAAACATCAGTCCAGGTCATCAGCTCTCAATTTCACGGTGTTTATTCCAAAATCTGTCTTCACCGTTTAATCTCCAATAGATCTCCCATAATTAGTAAAGTGTGGGTAAAGCTAGGAGCCTGTGATCTGTGATGAGCTATCTTCTGTCCATCTCCCCTACCTTCTCTTGTCCAACCTTCAGCACCATGGACAGATCCACTCAAATTACTATATTTGGATGTGGATTAGACGACATTTCCTGCAGGTCCCAGCTGATTTTCACTGAGGGAGGGAGGGCTGGAGAGAAAAAGTGTGAGGGGGGTAGATTTATAAGAGACAATGCTTAGAATAATCTGCAAAAGGTACTTAGCGAGATGTGAAGAAGAAGGGGAGTGGTGCAAGGTGGTGTTTGGGGAGATATAGGTGTGGGGGAGGGGAGAGGGGATGCTCGTGCACTCCAGGAAACTAAGATCTATATTACAAGTATGAATGATGTGTTAACCCTTCTGAAAACAGATTAGTTCATAAGACACGTGAGCGCTTTTCAATCCAATTATCACATCGGTAGAGGATTGTTCTGCTGCATGTGATGTCTAATATGCCACTGAGAAGATATGGCAAATAGATCCAACATTCTTAGACAGATAGAGAACGAAAGAAAGAATAATAGATAATGGATAGATAGATAGATAGATAGATAGATAATAGATAGACAAATAGAGAAAGAATAATAGACAATGCATAGATATATAGAGATAGATATATAGATAGATGGATGATAGATTAGATAGATAGATAGATAATACATACATAGAATAGAGAGATAACACACACACACACACACACACACACACACACAAAGATAGAATAATATATAGATAGTACATTAATAGAATAATAGAGAGATGGTACATTGATAGAATGATAGAGCGAGGTATAGAATGAATAATGGATGCATGATAGATAGTCATAATAATCATAACAGATCATTAATAGATATGCACCACATTTAATCCAAAATACATCTATGTCAACAGTTACTCTGAGGTTTATTTGTGTAAATGTATTAACCAACAGCAAACCTAAACTGTTTAGTGGGGATCATGACCCAATATCTTAGAAAGCATTAAAACATGTAAATGTACAAAGAACCATTGGAATACAGTGCTAAATATGCTGCAGTCAACAGTAACATTCAATTGGTTCTCATAGTAACTGCGTCACTTTTAGAACCTGACTGACAATTCCTCTTTATACCTGACCCTTTCAGCATTCCATAGAGTGATATAGCTGCTTGTGCAATAGGTGTTACAATTGGCTCATCACCCACCGTTATCTATTCTATACAATAAATCAGTTTAACCTGTAGTTCCGGATTACATCTCGGGATTACTTCAACGTCTTCTAAGAGATCTGCATGGTTTATTTATCAAACACCGAACTGGAATGAATTGAAAACTGCATTGCAAAATTAAGGCTTAAAATATCCAAACTGTGATTATAGACAAAATTGAGATTTTTGTTGGATACATTCAGTTAATGCCTATTTTGGCATTGAGGTTTTAATTCACTACAATTTGTTATTAAAGAGATAAACCCCACTGTGGGATTTTCATAATATTATCACATCATTATAAACAGGGATACACTACCCCCCTCCCAAATTATCAGCCATCGCACATCAACTCCCTTTCAGACACTCCTGGTCCAAGGTTTCCCAGATTGTGTTAGCTCTGCCAGGATTATTTAATGAGATTTGTCAACTTCATGTTATTGTAATTCAGCCCGATCACAGTAAAAGGTTGGGGAGGGTGGAGGGGGGTGTTTAAACAGCCAGCTGGAATTTCACCAATACTTTTTAATTGGGGATGGTAACTATATTTGGTGATTGTGATGGTTAATTAATGTGAGGATCAGGGACATTTACTACACACAGATGCTAGAAAATGGCTGCTAATCTATGGCCAACATCCATCCATCCATCTATTTATCTATCTATCTATCTATCTATCTACTGGTGTTTTACATTGGAAAACATTCAATTAGTGTAACAAACTGTGTGTAACTAATTTGTGTAGCAGTGATTTATTGTCAGTCCAATACAGGACATTTTATGAAGCAGCACAGATTGCTTAATGAAGACAGCAGTGTCTGACACACAATTGGCTGATTAAATTTACAACTGGGATGCACAAAGGTTATTCTTGCTGTACAATGTGGCTCTCTTTGAGCATTAAATGCGTGTGACTGGAAAATACCACAACGTACTTTCTCTTAACCTATTTGTATTTAACCCTTTGAGTGGGATTAGCACAGTTGTTGTATAAACATATGTATATATGAGAAAACCCTGGCAATTCCCCATCTGAAAGTTTTTTTTTGTTTTCTTTTTTAAATACTTCATACAATTTAAAAACAAACTCTGGGATCCAAAGTGTTAATACAAATGTTCTAAAAAGAATATTCTTGTACATGATTGATACAATATTTGCACTGTGCCCCCTATAATTTGTTACATTAATAAGGTAAGACCATGATATTGATGTGGGTCACATGGACAGGGCAATGAGTGGATTTATTGGTTACAGGGTGATATTGATCAGTTTAACAAATTTTTTGATCCTCTATTTTAATTCAACAATATTATTATCAGATATGAAGTATTTAACATGTTAAAAGAACAAATTAAATAAATGAAAATAGTTTTTTTTTGTTTTTTTTTAGAACTTTAAAGAAAATGTATTTTGCTCCAATGATCACAGTATACTGGGATTTATTTACATGCTGGGATATTTGCTAAACTGTGAACTATCAAGAATTTAAGGAGGCAAAATAGACAAACTTCAAACCATTTTAAGTTCAGGTATGCTTCTAGCATGAATACATGAATTTGCAGCTTTAACCCCTTAAGGTCCAAACTTCTGGAATAAAGGGGAATCATGACATGTCACACATGTCATGTGTCCTTAAGGGGGTTAAACTCCAGACCCCTTTGAGAAAACCCACCGGGATTTCGTGGTTTTCTCTGAGCATTCGTCTATTTGGTTGATTTGTTTATTTTATGCCACCTTGGTTCAGTAGATTGAAACTACCAATCACCGACCACCCTCCTTGCTCATTGACTTCAAAGGAACCCGTCAATTAAGCGCTCTCAGGGTGGCCGCCATTCGTATATACGAATGCCACGTGGCGGAGAAAATGGTGGCCATCTTGTTTGTTCGGGACAAAGGCAGTAGGACTTGGTCGTCGAGTGTCTGGAACTAAAATTGGACACTCAACTTCCTGAACACTGGTCTCAAACATACGAACGATGGAACTTTATTTCCCGAACAGCTAGGAGAGCGCTTTTCGGTACTTTGATGCATTCATATGAGGGGAACAATCACTCCTATGAGCCAGGAGGCTCCATTTGTGGATTATGGAGTTATTTGACATTTTCAGAATTGACCGACCACTCACACTGAATTCGTGGAACTATTTTGGGCAAGAGCTTGGTGTGCGGTCGGTAACTTAAGACTTAACTTAACTTCCACACTTTTTAAGAACCCCTGAACCGATCTGGGTGAAATTTGAATATGTTGTTCCCCCAGATCGGGGCTATCAGGAGATATGACATTTGTGGGGATACCTTATGCATAAAGGGGTGTTCTGAGTTTTGGGGAAAATGTGTGCACTTCGCCTGGAGATTATTGGGTTATTCCTTAACTTATCTCCTTATCTCACAGAAGGAGACAGGGAGTGTTTAAGTGTAACTGTATCTTATGATTGGCTATTTAGTTTGTGTACTGTGGGAGGTCCTCCTGCAAGGGGACCTCCATAAAAGCCTGTGTGGTCTCAATAAACATCATTCCTGTTACACCCTTCATCATGTTTCGGCTGGTGTTTTGGTACCTGATTGCTACTAGGGAAAGCTACACTAGAGGATTTCGTGGCTTTGGGATTTAAACTACCAAATAGAGGAACCGAACGGCAAGCTATAATCACTCAGGCTCTAGGCCATTCGGCTCAAATCATACGAACCCCCAGCTACCACTTCAGGGTTCGTTACAACCCCTAAAGTACTTTACAAATTTGTATTCACTTTTTGTATCACACAGCTTTGTTACAATGCTGCTGACCATCCCATGTGTTCCCTATTAAGGGTTAATAAGTATGTAGGTGTGTATATAAAAATACCCCTCTCTGTCTCATTAGAGATATCTTTGCCAGAAGCTCAAGGAAGCAGGATGAAGGGTCAGTGTAGGACCCACTAAGGGGGGTCTGCCATTGGAGTAACTAAATGACCTCCATTTGTTTAAATATACGTAGGGATTAAGGAGAGAGGGCAGGTAACTTTTTTCTTTGGTTTTTATCCTAAAGTTTTTAGCTTGCTGAAATGTTTTATGTGTGAAGTGTGTCCTCTATATTTCGTTTTACAAAAAGTGTAAATTTCAATAGAAACAGTCACTTTTATAAATTAACCTTCTTACACCCCGTCAATTGGGCATCAGGTTTTGTTACATCCTGGTTTGGTTAGCTCAGTGGAGCTAAACTCAAGAGGCAGCAATTGCCAAAAGCTCCTGCCGTGCAAAGACTTCTCACTGAGCTGCACTGGGAAGTCTGTGATTGGACAGCCACAGAAAGTCTGGGCTGGGAAAATGGGGGGGGGCTTGCAAATGTTACAGACAAGAGATTTGTCACTTTTGCAAGCTGTTTTTAGATATACTCGCAATGGAAAAAAAATGCATTATTAAACCCATGTATGTTTTCATTGGGAGTATATCTACTAAACAGTGATATTATATTTTATTACTATTTGTCCCTTTAAATTTATAATTTACTTGTAAATTCCCTGTGGGGTGTATTTATTAAATACCAAATTGTAGTATAAAGAAATACAAATTACAAAACAAAGGTCAATACATGCACGTTGGACCATTTTTCTTTTTCTAATGCTGCTATTTTGGTTTAAAATTTGGGCACGCATGAATGTTTAGGTACTGGCATCAATGGGCAGTATAAGGTGAGGGGCATAGATGATCTTTTTGTTAAATTCCTTCCCCATTCAAAATACTAGACCAGGAGAAGGCAACACAAGGGTATTCTCTAACGTCTAAATGAAGCCAGGGTTGGCAAAATTCTTTGAAAATCACTGTATTTCCACAGAATTTTCAATTTGGATATTTACTGAAGACAAAACTTGTGGAAATTCATAGGGTTACTGTGGCGGAACCAACCTCGCCACTGGCCACTGGAGGAGCCTGGTTGCCCACCTCTTGCCGCTGGACTATGGCCCTGCATTAAAAACCTTTTATTTTCCCTATGTGAGCAGTGTTACCCCAGATAGCTAAGCCATGGAGCCCATTCGTATACCGAAAGACTATGGGAAAGACTTTGGCTCCATGGTGATTGAACTGTATGTATGTAATCTGAGCGCCATTCGGTAATAATGTGCGCTCAGATCTAAGCTATCCGGGGATATGTTGAATGTATATGTTTTATGTAGTAATTGTAACACTGTGTAATTTTATGTCTTTTTACTAACATATGGCTAATGGAGTTTTGCCTCTGTAAT